GTCGGATTAAATGAAACGCCGTCCGGGTATGCCGTGAATGTCGTTGGTTTCGCATTGTCTAGGTATCAAAAGTCGCATGTCTCATTACAAACATTGGTCAAAGTACCACATGTTCACTGAGCTAAGGTGTCTCTGGAATGTAGTTATTGATGGAAACATAATCCCAGTTCATGCTCTCGCAGGTCCGCGCGTAACCTGACTCCCTGTGGCTGCTACATTGTAGTTCCATAGGGAAGGGCAAAGTCCTGGTAGCGCTCACCCCAACCAAAACCGCTAATACTCGCTGCAGTGCTACATTGTTGCTGCGCAAGCATGCTGGGTAGCAAGAACTGCTGAATTGATGCTGTGGTCACTGGAGCGCTGAAGTACTGAGGCTCACTGTAAGCCGCGGTGGAGTACGGTTGGCTGTGCGACGGAGCTGGCGACAAAACTTGAATCTCATTAAGCGCAAGGCTGGCAGCCCAAAGGCTCTGGTGTGAATCGCTCGAGGAAGTCGTGCTGGGGCTGGACGGGACAACTTTCCATGAATCAACCTGTTCGGTGTGAGGTTGATGGATTGGACTGTGCCACCAGTTATCAGGCCCGGTCGAGCTGGGAAGGAGTGGAGTAGGCCTCACCACATCAACAATGCGGGGTGGAGGAGGTAGCAGTGGCAGAAACAATCCAAGAATGGCAGCCTTGGCCTCATCGCTTCGACCACAGAGTAGTTCACCAGCACCATCCTCCTCCATCCCCTCGAGCGCAGTCGCAGATGTGCGATATACGAATCTGTTGGCGGCCTGAACGAATTCCTCCTGTAATTTCTTAAGCTGTATCTCTTTCTCCGACCAGTTCCAGGTGTTGGCCGCAGTGTCCACGGAGTAGATGTCCTTATGATACTCAACTAGCGATTCAATAGTCTCTGGAGTGAGTTTGAAGGCGACTTCGTTCTGGGAAACCATGTCAACGTGAACAACGTACGCCTCTACGTGAAGAAGTTGGTAGTTATACAATGCTTCCACTAAGGGATTGTCGTCTTGTCGCAATTCCGATTCAGGAGCCTTTGGAAGCATAATCGAACAAAGAGTCCAGATGGCATTCGGCGATGAGAGGGTTTCGGTCAGACATCGTGTGTGCTGCGTGACGTTATTAAGCGGACGCTTGACCCGGTTGACTCTTTTCAATGTAACAGTTAACCACGGTTCTACCCGGGAGTTTAACACGACATTTGGAGACGACCTTGGCGCGAAGGCAGCAGCGGACGCTGGAAGTAGAATTGTGGGCATTCTGGCTGAGGGGCACTAGGGAGATAGGGCCAAGCAGGGGAGCGCTTCAATAATAAGTAGATAGAAATTTAGAATGAGTATAATGGTCCACATATATATATTTATATATTATAATAATAAATGCACCATTCGCCCACGCTTTGTATGAGAGCAAAGAAGCGCCAAGGAGGGAGGGAGAAGCGGGAAGGGAAAGGAAGAGCATAAGTATAAAGTGAGGGTGGCGGGAGGAGGGTTTTAGAGGGCGCGGGGGAAGCGGTGGGAAGATGCGGTGGGCGAAGGGTTCAGCAAAACGATGGAGATGAACGGAAGAAACAAAAGAAGAGGAAGAAGTAAGGAGATGGCGAGAATAGCCAGAAGGGGAAATAAGGAATGCTCCGAAGTAGAGGAAAGGCGGGGGCGAAGCGAGGTTATATCAGCGCAGGCCCGTTCAAAATCATGGCGCGCTGACTTCGAAGGCACTTCGCGTCCACACGATGCACGGCGTTTTACTTTGCCTTTCAAATTTTTTTCCCTCCCGTTTCAATAATTTTCTATCCATATCGTTTTTTGCTCAAGTTATGCTCGGCAAGTGGGTGGTTGCAGATGGTCGCAGATGGTCGCATGCAGAGGTTTTAGGACGGATTGCGGTGGCGGATACGGTATCTCTGTATGCCATACTCGGTACTGTATTTTAAACCAGTCAAATGCAGCCTGCCTTAAGTAGCTTGGCTTCAGTATGCATGCGATGCCGGGCAAAGGCTGGCCCAGCTGGCTCGTGGGTGGAGTGGAGGCTGTATTGTAAGGTATGGTATGGTACGACGGATATCAGCTCTTGTATCGCTCAACCCGAGCCCGAGCGGGACTAGATAGACTCGACTAAGGAGTCACCTTGTCAGTCGACGGTGGAGGCCCGGCCAGATGAAGAGGATAGACGACGAAAAAGGAGCAGCAGACGAGATATCCTTTGCCGATGACGACTCCAGGAATCCATACCCGTAAAAGGCTTCAGTCGATATGCAGCTCTCTAAACATGCAATAATAGTGCAATTCCTCCGTGGCGAGAAATTTATCTACAATCCCTTCCTGCGCCGCTTCTGGCACTCATGGGACAATACTGCCTCCCCTCGACGGCACATCAGCCCACACCTTGGTGGACATAAGTATTCGGATAGGTAGATAGGTTTTTGATGAGCTCCGGGTCCCAAGCTTTGTGGATAATCGCAATAACAATGGTTGCAGCTGCCGCGGGTTCTCTAATTGATAGACTCTAGCGGGGATCGATGGTAGTGGTCACATCTTGCTGCAGGTGAAATTACCACAATAGTTTCTGTCCTTCCAGTGGTTGGAAAAATAAATGCGGAAAATCTTTCTGCACGCTCAGATGAACCATACCGGCGAAACTCGTGAATGTTCCTCTGTTGCGGGGCGCAATGCCATCAAGCCTACTCGCATATCAAATGAAAAATGAAAATAAAAATTTCTAGTTTCTGTTTTTTCGCCGATTGTACAGAGTGTGAAGCCATCTAGACTCGCTTTCATCCCGTTTCTTCTGGATCGACTTTGCTCAAGCGCTAAGGCCCGAGCATCATATCCAATGCATCCCTAGCCCGTGTTGGAAATTCAAGGAAGGAAAGTCACTTTTTGAGAACCGATGAATGCATTGAACAAGGTAAAATTCATGCAACTTCAACCCCCCCCCCCCACCAAAAGGGTGTCCCAGATCAAGTCTTCTGCATCGGGCGAGCGTCAACCCATGGATCTTGAAAACCCTGTCTTGCGCTTTGCAATGGCGCCAGACAAGGGCAAAGAAAAGTGGTCAAGGCTTCCGTTTCGAAACATATCGACCGGCTCGTGTATGAGAATAAGATGTTTTAGTTCAACAAATGGCAGGCGTCAGCGAGGATATGGACCACCGTGGGACGGGAGGCAGGGTCAATACTGGGCGGGAAGCGGGTTTACCAGACCTAGCCGGCGAATGGACTCCAATAAGTTCCAGTATCGAAACCTTTTCGAGGACAGGTTCAGCTGATGGTGGGTTGTGTCTTGGAAAGGTTTGGGCATCAGATTCGCCATTCCCCAACGACCCCAAATCCTGCTACTTTGACGAGATCCCTGTTCTGATCGCCGATTGGGTCGAGCCGGTCTCCACCATGATTCCAGGCTTTCTGGAAGAAAACGCCAGGCTACAGCCCGCTAAGCCCACGGACCAGGAGAGCACTGGACATAGCCCGTTCCTGGCATGCACATCATTTTCAACACAACGTCCCGGGCCCTTTGTGCACAAGGATAAGCTCCCCGAGAGCTGCAGGGTGTTTTTCAATAAAGCGTTGATATGGCGAGGGAATGTTCCCTTGCTTTCATTATGGAGCGGTAGTTTGTGCTTTGTACGAGTCATATTTCCTTTTGTGGTCGTCCCGACATTCTGGGCTTGGTCTTGACTTCGATGTTCAATCACTCACCACCAACTGTAATTCTCACTCACCCGGGCACTGTTTCAGAATCAGGTGACAATACCTGTCCACAGTCATCAGCGTTCCAAGGCTGAGATGCCCCGTGATCTCCAGCGATCTCCAGGGCTCCATTCAGCGGCACAGAAGCTGTGTGTAATTATTACTAGCTAGTCCTGTGAAGTTAGGGGGTCAGCAGTGCCGTCGGCTGCAACAAGCTCTGGCATTTCCACCTGCGCTCGTCAAGCTCAAAAATGGGCTGTTTCTACTGGCCATTCGCTGTCCGATTCGAACAAGAGCTTTGTAGGGCCAAGCGACCAGATGCTGCAGCACACGCGCTGGGAGAGGCAGCTTCCACAGCATGAAGCTTATTGTCCAGCTCGCAAAGGTCGCTTTCAACCGGCTCTGTGCGGAGCTGGAGGAAAGCTGGCGGGTCACAAATAGACGTCATCTCAACTCTCACCGGCAGATGACACCCTAAATATTTCATATCATGAGGCAAAGCTGGTCCTGTCATCTGTCATGCTGTTTCTGGCAAATCATGTTGATACTGATCACGCCAGACTCCCTCGGCAATACGATAATCCTGACTGTGCCTCACTCCGTGGCTGTGCTCCTAAGTCAACGCTGCATAAGGCAGCGACTCAAGCCTCTTTAGCCCGGGTGACATGCATAAATATTTCGAAAATTTCACGCTGTATGAACCTGTTCTAAACAGTAATACTGAATATGAAGAAGCATTCTACTCTCTGGCAGCAGAGGCAAAATGAAAATGCAGCCTGAATTCCATCCATGTGTCCCCTCTTGGCCTGCCCTGGGCCACAGAACATACCTCTTCCCGTCAATTTTTGCATCAAAAACTCCCTCCAAGAGACGCGACATTTCGCCATCCCCATCGTCGCGCGTCCGGGCGAAACCTCAACGCCCCATGACGCCATGCTGGCTCTGAACTACTTGGACATCCAAGCTGAAAAACCCAACGGACGCGGGATCGCTGTGCATTTGGACCAGTAGTTTTGACTGCAGACAGGCGTTCTGAAACCGCAGCAGTAACATCTTTTCTTTCCAGCGTCGCCCACGGATGAGAACCCTCCCAAAAAAAAAATTGATGCATGCACATTACGTGAGTCATGAATAAATCTGCAGTTTCATCAGAGCCCGTGTTTTGTTTCATCGCCGCCCTGTCCAGCGTACTGCTTGGCCGGGCGCTATCCCCGTGCATGCAGCAAGACATCACCCAGCCCAGCTGAATCTGAGCCCCCGCCACGACGTCACCTACTGGAGAACACTATAATTTTGACAGCCCGATGATCAGAGAATTATGGGCCCTGAGGGAGACGATTTTCAAGTTCGCATTTTTATCATCCATATGTCGATTTTCTTCTTGACGGGCCCACCTTCACCGCCGACCCGGAGATCACTTATTCCCTCAGCGGTGGAGGGGGGTTGGGCCATCAGAGATAGACTTCAGAGCTGCTTTCGTCGAAATTCACATCTCCACCACCAAATCAATTGCCCTGGCGATATTGCCCATTAACTTTGACTTTCCCATAGCATACGCAGATACATCTGCCAAATACAACCGCCCTCCCCAAGTGACCACTTCTTCCAATTTTCCCAGGAGCTTTCACCGCCTCTCCTTAGAGCGAATTTTCCATGCTTGCGCTTGTCTGCGAACTACCTTCGTTAGATCGTGTCTTTTTTGGGGGGGCCTTGCTGGCCTTAGGAAAAGGCAGTCAGGTCCGTTCATTGTTCAGTAGATTGAAGAAATGACCAAAATATATATCACAAGGGCACAGAAGATGAACGTGATATTCTCGCCACACTTTCATTTTAAGAAATAGCCCATGAAAATGATTCCGACTTTCATGAAACCCTCATCGCCAAGGGGAGAAAAGAAGATGCACAGAAATATGTAGCAGCCCAGCAGCCCACTGTAGATGTCTCTTGCATGGCAACGTAAGAATAAGTGCTGACATAGTTTCCTGGTTAGTTTATCAAACTTACACCCGCGGACAGCGGCTTTAGCAGTTTCAACAACCCTTTCCCCCCCTCCACCCCGCTCTTTTTTTTTTTTTTTTTTGCGTGCTTGACGCGACCTGTGCGGCATCCGAGCGAGTTTTCAATGATACACGAGAGCGCGTGACGGTCTCTTAGGCTTCTTAAGTTTCCGAGCTTGCCTTTCGCATGACGCAGATGTCATCTCATCGCTGACATGTCTCCGTGAACTTTGGGGGCGAGCACCAGGTCAGAATGGAATCAATTGTTGCCTGTCTTCAAAACTGCGAGAGATGCACAAGGGCCCTTCCGACGCGATTTTCCCACGATGCTACCTACGCGTACAGTTTATTTCAGGACTCGGGGGGTTTCACCGTTGAGTTTCAAGTTTTGTGATGTGGGTGATGGGAGAGGGACATCTTTGTCGTTTCTTTGCGATGTCCCATCCCAGCCCACGAGAATTCTTGTTTCAAAATTCCTCCAATGCTTTCAAGCGAGTTGCAAATATGTGGTGTGCGGATTCCAAGTCTATGTTTGGGAAGGTATTGTTCCGCTTTTTCATATTTACGTGAAGGACCTGCCACCTGTTGTTACGCTTTCACGGGGAAGCTTCTCTCTGGTTTGATGCAGGGCGACTTTTGCATACTATTTTCTATCACTCCTTGCATTCGTATGATATGCTAGTGCGCATGCGCACGAAATAGGGGAATCAAATATTGTGCTTTTGCAAAAGGAACCCGATATCTGTATGGCAGATAAATGTGAGAGAACCTGTGAATGAGCGGCGGGTGACTCTCGATGCAGTGGCTATGACCTTCCTTTCTTCGATGTGCAGGCGCGGCGTAAGCTTGACACTGTAACAGACTCCTCATACATGTGCTTGATTTTGCGAAAATTTGATGGCACCATGCTATGCCTTAGGGCAACTCCTGTCTTTCTACAGGGAGATGGAGTAGCTGTGACAAATTCGGTTTTTTCGATCATGGGAGAAGAAAGAAAGGCCGAGGACACCCCAACGCAATGCATCTGGTATTTTCAGCTGATCTCATACTTACTATAACATTCGCTTGCATTTTATGTATATGGCTGCTGCGAGGCTGTAAAAAATGGCGCCATACTCTCCCATGGGTTGGTCAATTTACTAGAGCGAAATCAGGGTGGCAGTATGGGTTTTTTGCTCTCTTTCAACGTTTGTTCAGCCCTATCCCCGATTTATCGCAAGTGGCCAAGGGTAACAGACGCCGAAGAGATGGGGGCAAGTAGGTAAATCAGCCTTGCGAGGTCCGTGATCGGTTGAATTTATGCAATATCGGTCCTTCTAACTATTAATGTCCTGCAGCCTGATGATTAGCACCTGCCGTGCGATCCGGATGGATGTAGGTTATTACATCCTCGCGCGATTGACAAAACGCGGAGAGGCAACCCTGTCGCGGGAATGGGAATTAGCAGGCTGAATGCCATAGCGGAAACAATTGAAGTGAAACTGAAGCTGTTCCTTTACGTCGATATGCATGAGGGGACCAAGTGTCGGACACCTTTCGCCCAGGACTCCAAGAGCGCCAAAAACCAGCCAGCCAGTGCAGAGAATAGGCATAACCAGCGTCATGTCGCTTTCAGGATTGAAATCGATTTGAATCGATCTCAGCCTTCCATGGGCTTCCAAGCCAGACACCCCCGTATTCCTGATGGTGGTTAACATATCGAAAGGTTTTTTTTCTTACGCCGCTCAACTAGAATTAATTTTAGTAATTTGGGTAAAAAGGATTTCTCGATCATTAGTGACTATTAACTACCCAACGATTGATGAATAATATTACAAACAAAATTCATCATTCGAGATCGTTGTTGCTGGTCCTTACTCACGTTGATAAAGATACAACAGAAAAGCCGAATCTCCCTCGGGAAGCGCCCTTGTTATACGAGTGCGAACAGTTGCCCTCCGCAGTTGATCAAGTGTCGATGATATATTCGCTAGTCGAGATTTGCAGCCTACCTTGGTTTTTTGGATACTGTGGAGGTTATTCAAGTTATATATCCTTTTGGAGTCAGAAATTTGATGTTGTGGGATATGGGGATGCTTCTTGGAGAGCTGTGAGCTATGAATTCAACAAGACGGAGTAGGTTGAATGAATGTATGGAAAAAAAATTCAAATCTATATATGTTTTGTCCTGATAGGTATCGTCCTTAGACGTCTTTTGCCGAGTTCTGGAATGTCACACTTCCCCAGCAAGATTCCCAGCATATTTAATTCTCCTCTTTTAAACCCATAGATGAAGGTTCCACAAAGTTTCGCTCAACGCGGAGTAGGAGGAATAAAATGCGGATTGCACGCCCGATGATGATCGCCATGGGTGTGTTGTTCTTCTCACCCAGGTTTTTCGCTCATTCCACCTGGGTAATCACACCAAATATACTAGTTGCTGATCCATATAGACTTAGCTGACCGAGCTCACATGAACGTTGCATTATTGGCGAGAGGATTAACTATGAGCAAATTCCCGCACTATCTCCATCTTTTTTAGCCTTCTGGTGATATTACGAGAGTCCTTGGAGTCCGGTTTCGAACTCAGTAAACAAGATATCGGAGCGCTGCTAGGATAGTCGAAATAAGCGGTAGACAGCTCCATGGGCATGCAAATTTCCCTGCTTGAAACAGTCTCGGAGTTGCGAAGTTCGACAGGATTTCTCAATTATGGGTCAGCGGCAAGGGCCAGGACGTTAAAAAGCTTCTTGAGAAGACCTGGGATAAGGTCTCCAGGCATGCAACATATCTGAGAAAACAAGCATTATCATGCCGAAATGGCCTGCGGGATTCTTATCGCTCAGAACTTTTGAAGCCGTTCACCATTTCGCGTTGTCAATTGAGAGATTGACTCCTAGGTATTATTCGAATAACTCTAAAAGTCCCCAGGTAAATCTGCTGGGAACACCATGATACCACTCACATCCCAAACGTTCTCCTTAGATTTGATGGGCTATCGTTGGTATGTATCTATAACAGATATATCCGGCAAAAGCTCCTTCGAGCCAGGAATTTCAGAATTCAAGCCAAGTCCAATCTCCAGGCCAAAGGACGCGAACGACCATATTCTCAGTTCGTGTCATTGCTACCCAGCCTCGCAAAACAAACAAATAAAATCTCGACTTAAAACGTCCAACAAAGGAAAACAACATACAATCATTCCTTCTCATCTCCTTCCTTCCTTTCGTTCCTGCTCCTGCTTTAGAACAGGTGCTAGGGGGTGAATATCATATCGGGGTAACACTTCGAAACATCGATGAAATTCTCAAACGGCGAGTTTCTTAGACAAGTACAATCCGTGGTCCGCCATGTTAACGACCTCCTAGACGGCAAATCAACGAAGGTTACGAAGAACCTGCTCATGGCCACTGGGTCAGCCATCACTCCTGAGTTCTTGAAAAATACCAGAAGCCTCCCCGACAACGGAAGCAAACTTTTTTCGCGTGATTTCGTTGATATGACCAAGAATTTGATCAAGAAGGCAGCAAGGTACGTGGACCATCGCAAATGAGCACCAAGGATCCTGAGCGATGATATCTTGAAATAGTTGATATTGTAGATGTTCTGCTCGAACCGCTTGGGTCTTAAGCCTGTCGTTGACTGGAATTGACGAGTGACGAGATAAGGATGGCCACAGAACCAGGAGAGAGATCACGGAGCCCAAGCACCAGTTCTGAGGTGCCCGAAAGGTGACAGCATCAACGAATAACTCCAGGTAGTTTGATATTTCTAGCATTTTTCTCCACAGGTTCGGGATGAGGTTGAGCGAACGGTATCTAGATAACTCATATATCTATCGCTACCACTGTCGTATGATAATATCCACGAGTAGCTTGTGCATGGCGACATGTCCAATGTAGTTAGGTCATCGAGCAGATATTCAAAGAAATGAACCTGTGTCTTGATGGATCTTGATTTTTAAAGGAAATCCATTCCCAATCCCGGAAGGTCGACCTGTCGCACATATACATTTGGCAACCCGTCTACCCGATATTCTGCTATGACCCGTTCCCCCGATCGTCATAATACGTCTTTCCTCCTCTAACAACATTCTTTTGTCATCTGCGGCTTCTGCAAAAATCATTAACATTCGTAGGTTTCCAGTTAACACAAGGCCCTTTCGTAACTGGTATTGAGTTATTTCCCAACAGCCCGTAAGCAAGAGTGCCTCGAAAATATCTTATAGTCCAATTTTGTAGATCGGGAAGATGAGTAGTTCAGAGATGTATTCTTCGCAGCCGTCAAAAGGATGTGCCGCAAATATACGACTGCACCAAATTGGTGCATTTTGAGGATGACGTGCAAGATACCCACCCCATCCATTTCTGTCTCAACAAGGTCGAGAAGAAGAGCTAAGCTTTGCCCTCTCTTTCCCTCTTAATCTTCTGGAAAACCCTCCGCTCGGTCTCTCTCTCTTCTGTCTTCCGCTTCATGAGCTTGTGCAAATTTTCTCTCTTCTCCTCTGCTTCCTTCATCCGTCTTCTTATCTCCCTCGCCATTTCCTCCTGGCCCTTGACAGCAGCGACTGAAGTTGAATATTCCTTTCGCAATGACTGTAGCTGGGCGCGGTACTCGACAGCGTCAAGCGGAGTGCAGGTGATTGGGTGGTAACGATGTGCCGGTAGAGCATCAGACGGGACGCGAATCTCTGGTAAAAGATGGTGAATTGGCGTCGTGCGTATTTCCGCATCAAGAGGGACAGGCTCTGACGAGTGACTTGACTGTCCTTCAGGCAACGCAGGCTCTGGGGGTGGTGATGGTGGTAGCCGGCTCATTGTCGCGACGTGATAAGGTTCGAAAAAAACCCTCCCCCCGTGATTTTGCCCGGTAGGAACACGATGCACTGCACTGGATAGCTCTGTATGTTATCTCAAAGGTTTTCTGCAGTAGATACAATAACAGAAATAGTGATTTGCCATGAATCAGCAAATAGTTCTGGCAAATTCAAAATTCAACACCAACCATGGATCCAGATAAACTAAACAGGCACGTGATGATAGATATAAGCTTGACAAGAACCCAGAGGTAAAAATACATTGTTTCATCCAACCAATTGTAATAGTTAGATCAAAGCAAACATTCTCTGTTGTTTATGTCTGTGGAATACTGAGGACGGCGTATATACAAATCCATGGAAATTATAGGGAAGCAATCACCCGACAGATCTGCTATGTGAAATACACCACCCAAATTGGACAGGCTGCACACACCTCCACAATGCAGGCCTTTGGTGAGCTATTTCAATTTCTCCTTGTCCTGCACAGCAATGAGCCAAGGTGAAACCCTGGGAATACATGGTGTACTCGGCCAAAACGCTAACCGGCACTCTCACAGTCCCCAAAAACAGGCGGGTAATGATATCTCTCCTCCCCTTGAACTAATGAACACACGCTCACCTCAGTTTAACCACCCTGCAGCCTAAGTTCGAATTTAAATTGCGGGTATGCTTTGAAATCCTTATCACCCCGCTATACATGGACTAGAATAACTTATTTATCAAGATAATTGACTTGAATAACATCCCGCTTGTTGTTGGGTTGTCTTACGCGAAATGGCACCTCCCTTCGTCTACTTCAGCTGAGCATCGTGGACAGACGGATAAAGCCGTCATCCAGGACCATCGAGCTTCATGGGACTACGAGAAAGTTCTTCCCGTCAGACTTACTGTGGACCGAAATCAGATGCTCCAGGAATGCCAAATCCATTTCGAGATTTTTCAAGAGTTTAACACCGGTGGTCGCGGGGATAAGCATCTTCTAGGAAATGTTCGACTGAATCTTGCGGAGTATGTAGAGAAGAATGAGGATGGCGAAGGAGTCACTAGGCGGTATTTGATGCAGGACAGCAAAATCAACGGCACCTTGAAGGTTGGGATTGTGATGCATCAGGTCGAGGGAGATACCAACTTTATCACGTAAGTGTCTGAAAACACCTATTCGACAACATCGCCGAATTGACTATTTATAGACCCCCTCTCAAAACTGCCATGGTATTTGGTGGGATTGGAGGTTTTATATCCGCGGAACAGGGCGACTTGCAAAACTCGTCCAGTATTCCCTCAATTAATAGCTGGAGCCGAGAAGCTGGCGACCTGCAGGACATGTACCGCCGTTCACTAGCTGCCTCTTGGGCGTGTCGAGCTGGTGAACTCTCTCCTGATCGTTTGATCGAAGATATTTTCGCAGGAGGTGACGGCTGGGAAACAGGTGGCCCCAGTTTAAGACTAGACGATGATAATGAAGACAGGAGGTCCTTTAGTGATGCCGACTCCCGACGGACAATTCGTGACGGCACGGATGATGGGAGGTCTAAATTATCCTATGGAAGGCATCAAAGAGGCCTCAGCAAAAATAAAGAAAACCTGGAACATTCCGGATACGGGATCCGAGAAAGAACGAGGAAAACCAGGGAAGTTTCTGAGTTCGACCTTCGTGAAGATCTGAGGAGCTGGGAAATTTTTTCCCCTCAGTGATTTGTCTCTTCAGCATCCCCCGGAATATGTCTTTTATGGCAGGAATGTGTATAAGTGGACAATATTGATAGGGTCTGGGCCAAGTGCCGAACGGATCTCTAAAGCTCTTCCCATGTGAATTTATAATATAGTACTAAAGGCACGAATGACCTTCATGAACAGCAAGTTCTTGATATGTTGCTGACCTTGATATATAGGTCACTAACCAGCACCACTTTTGTGGCCTGAATATGGTCTACAACAACAGCTCACTTTTACTGGACTTTCATATACTGAGCTTGGACCTCGAACAAATGGTAATTCATGTCAATATTTAACAACTTCTGGCACGTTCTCACGAATTTGGTCGTTGTAAATGTTCATCATGAGTTATCTGACTTCGCGTCGCCCTTTTGCTTGATTTGAAATATTCCTAATCCAGACCAACCACATAACTAGTTCTCAGTCACATTTAGCAATCGGTGTATTTTCATAATTACCAGTACTTGCCCAGTCTTGCAGGTGTTTGTGTTGGTTTTGTTTTGATGATACAGATATGCACATCCCGACGCAAGCTAAAATTTATATGGTATGTCCATTTACATACACTACGCATACTCTTTGGCATGCCACACAAGATTTACTACTAGTTTAAGGGCTGGACATCTCCCTTGGTATTCATCAACACAGAGTAATTGTTGGCGCTACTGGCCTTGAGGTAATCGCCCAAAATCACGTGATATTTATTCATCTCGATAAAAAAAAAGTTTATAGCTTCCATCAGATGGAAGCTTGCCAACTTTTCAGGATGACGTGAACGGAAACACAGGGCCATTCGTCCTATCGTCCCCTCATTACAGATGTTTAAGGCGTCGTCACAAAATGCGGCGGCCTGTCTTCGATGCCAATTTTGTACTCCCCGTTCTCCAAAAGCCCTGACGACTTGCCTCCTCTCCCGTGTATTTGACCTCCGCCAAAACCGATATAATAGCACAGCACCCCCGAGTCAACCTGGCGAAAAGGACCCTAAACTATACCCGGTATTGGGTGTCAAAAAGTCGCGCTACCAAAGACATGTTGCGCGTTTGGATGTGCAGACGCTGGGGGAGGTCGGTGAGGTGGTGATACTCAAGGAGAGAGCGAGTCGACCAAATCAAATGACCGCTCGCAAATTTTCAAGGATACTAGAGAAGGAGACTGATGGCGACGCTCCTTGGGACAATCCGTCTGAGCTCCTGAAAGAAGTCGATAAGTCAAGATTACAATTGGGAGACGCCAAGGAGGTGATCGAAAATATTGACACGATCCGTGGGAATCACGAGCCTGGAGACAAGCTGGACCGGAATGAATGGCGTAAACTTCGGACGATATTAGAAAACGGGTTTACGGCTAATCAGCTAACCGATTACCACAAACAATTCGAACCACCTTTGAGTTCCTCTGACCAAAACGACGGCTTGACGGGACCTCATTCAGGATGGAGGCCCGGAACGTCACTTTTTCTGGAAATGGACCCTGAAGCCCAAAAACAAACGGCATCCAGGATCGGGAGTCTTGGGAATATGGCCGGCAAGATTGCATTAGCAGAGATGGTATTGCGAGATTGCTGGCAGCTATCTGTTTCGGGTGAGATCGGTCAATTGGACATTCATCTGGCCCCCCATGAGATTTTCATGCTTCTATTGCCTGATATCAGTCCTCTCAAAGACCTTGCAATCACCTATGCCGCCAAAATAGATGTTTCACGATCTTTAAATCTTGTGAGAATCACCGCAAATGAAAGCTCCTGCGAACTTGTTCGACAGGGTGTGGTGGGGTTTTTTCCTCGGATAATGTCCAGAACAGTAGACCTCCCCAACAGAGGTTTCGTATTCCATGGAAAGAATAGAAGATTTGAGGAGCGATTTTTCCGCTCCATGCAAAAGTCGCTCAATGTATTTTGCTGTAAAGACCAAGGAACAAAGCAGATTAAGATATATTTCGTTTCGGAGATGGAGAAAGAGGCGGACGAGGCGTACCGGAATATTAAAGCCGCAATATCAATGACGGAAGAGGACCAAACCCGCTTTTGCACATATTTTCCAGACACTGAATCAGCGGTTTTGTACTCCGTTTCCTACCAGGAGTTTTTGCCATGGGCTGACCGCCAGAGACGATGGCTGAGATGGATGAAGCCGCTTTCCGAGGCAAAAACTCCCAGTGGAACTCAATCGGAACCACCACCAGCTCTCATCCGGAAAAGTCGTGGATCTGCTTTCGAGAAAGTATGCAATAGCCTTTTTAAACTGCCAGCTTCACCCACTTGGCGCAGCCCTGGCCAACCTCACATTCGCGAGGTCATTGTTGCTTCCCTTGGAAAATCACTGTTTGCGCACCAACAATCAATGAAACCCGGAAAAATGAAGTTTAAATCCTTCAGTTCTACAATCCCTCGCGCTTTTGCCACGAATATCTCCAATCCTGTGTCCTTCCTCCAGGGCCTTCCTCTGTTACCCAATGTGGGAAACGGTAGCTTTCACCGAATTCGCCTAACACCTTCAGCTGATAACAAGACCCGCCTCCCACCTATAGAATTAGAGCTCGACATCGTGTCACAGTTCATCCGTGGGCGTCAATTCCTTTTACCAATTCTACGAAAAGCTGCTGCCGTTGTCCATAGAGTGAGTATGGACGTATTACTTCCTGAGACGTCACTAGACCTCCGTTTTAAGAAATTCACACACTATGACCTCCTTCAAGGCCGCAAGCTATCTACCTTATCTCAATCCGAGAAGCAAAGGGCCGATATCTCCAGCATTTCTGAAGTCATTGGAAATCTGGTCTGGGAAGATGCATACAAGCAACCTCGTATACCCATTTCTTGTGAACTGACCATCCCACGCAAGCTGGTCATTCAACAACAGTCCTCCGCCGCAACAACAGCGGATTCGCAAGGAAGCGGGGAAGGAGAAACAGACTTCGTAACGGGAACGTACATGCTTCCTCCCATCCGTTACCTCAGATCGGCTCAAATATCGCGCTTCAACTACAAGGACCTAGAGCTCTGCTACTCACACGTTCACATGGGCCCTGCGCTGCCAGAACACATGATCGACATGTCGATTTCTCTGGGGCGGGATGACAACGAACTTCGCCCGACGCTGTGCCAACCAAACACCCATCTTTCGTCCGCTGTTGCGAAGGATAAGTCTAAGGGGTCACTTCAGGCTGCGTTCAAACTATTTTATACCCGCGCTTGCGAGATGGCGTTTGAGCAGAGCGCGGCTGCGGCGAATTATAAGGAGCGGGTTGCAGCCGGGGATGAGTTGGCAGACGTCACCACTTCCGTTGGAGAGGATTACAGGCCATACGCCAACCTTGATCCGGAGGACCGGTTTAATGAATGGATGGAAAATGGTTCAGAAGGGGAGTCTGAGGATAGGTTTAATCGCAAGGTTCGGAATGGTTCGGAGTAAACCGGTGTGATGCTGGAGCGATCTTCAATATCTCATTTCTCCCTTGTGGAGGTACATTTTTATTCTTTTTACCTAGCCTACGAAAGACCATATTGCATTTTTCTAATTTTGCTTGTTATTTATTTTCGTTGTGTGCTCCTTGTGGTCCTTGGTTATTTAGGCTAGGTGGGTCGCTGGAGCTGTTTAGGCTGCGAATTGTACACATACAAAAGGAGGAATTAGCTTTGCAGTTTCGCAAAGGGCAACAGGAATTAAAGCCCCATTTCTAAATATTGCTTGTTACTACTCCTATTCTTATTCATGTTCATGTTTAGGTTCTCCTTGGCTATATACAAGTAGGTCTCATGATACTTCCTCTGCAGTTATAATACAAAATAAATAAATAAATAAACCTCATATCTCAATAAGGCAGTCCCACATTTTATGTTTTCTCAAATAGGTCTCAAAACAAAACCCAGTTATAGTAGATGGAACAGTTAAAGAACACAAAGAATAGATAGAAGATACATGGCACTTCCTAATCCTCTCAATCATATATCTTCTCTATTCCCACCGGACACATCCACTAGGGCCATCGCCTGTGACAAAGATAGGATTTGAATCTATGGACGCTCGGTATATCCTCTTGTGTCCCAAGAGTAATGATTCCGATCATTCAGTGCTTCCTCGCGCAAGGTCTGCCAGAGGTAATGCGATATGCCACCCTCCTTCCAAGTTGCTTTGAACATGGCACGATCAAGTTGAGCGAGAAGGATGGAAAAGACCTCCGTTAATAACTAAAACCTCACCAAACCGCTGCAATATGGAAAATATATGCCGCGGCAAACCATCATTCGGAGCAACCGGTCAATCTTCCAAAACCCGATAGACAGCATCCATGCGGTTGGATAAACTCGATCAAGATCAACCCGTCACGCTAACGTTAGAGACCCGCACCGTGGAGCTACGGTCTTAGCAGAGGGTTGGGAGCTCCTCTCCCATCAAGACCAACGATTTCCGAAGACGCTAGGGAGTGTCTTGTAACAGCGCGAATGAAAAAAAAAAAAAAAAAACATCCGACGGATACTATTAAATAGATGCACTGATCGGTTCACTCCGCCATAGCATAACCCAAAAGCCCGCCATATGCTAACGTCGGGTTTACCCAATGAATGGGTTTACCAAAAACTTCTCCTGGCCTAAGATTTCGTAGTATGTACCAGCTATAATTGCTCGATCCGTATGATGTCAAGTAGATGCTCAAGCGACACACTTTTTTTTTCGCAGGAATAACGTCACCCCTCCGGGTACCGGCAGCATTTTACACGGCACGCTGCGTAGAGTGCTTTGACAGCGTCGAAGGACGTGCTTACATACACTAATAAGTTCCAGAAGCCCTGCAGTGAAAGAACAACTGCAGCCAAAAGACTCAAACCAAACATTGGTTTGTCCGGACTAGAAATGTAATGGATGCGGTTGATGGTGGACGGGGTCTTAAGGATGGTAATTCTCCTATGTCAGCATTCCATCCAAAAAAGTTGAGGGGATGAAACTATGACAATTGCCAAAAAAAAAAAACCAAGGGGAGATGAATTTATGTTGGTTTGTAACGAACCCAAGTCAGGAGTAATGAAAGGAAAAACAATGAGACTCGTTTCATGTACAAGAAGGTTGCTTGATGTCTTTCAACGGTTTGGGAACTTGGTAAGAGGGAGTGGCTGGTGCTCCGACTTCGGTTGTGGTTAAAATCTGAAGTAGGGTTTCGTTTCAAAGACACACCGTATGTCCTTAAAGGGATGCTCGTGGGCAAACTGCTGTTTCGTGAGTTAGGATTTTCAAGGTCTTCAATCCCGATATCGTTTGCTTCAAAGTCGATGGTTCCATTTTCTACTGGTGTTGCATGTTGTTGCATGTTTTCTCTCGACTCATCTTGAGGTTGTTCGTGATTAATGCCAAGTCCCGCACTATCTGGTATCCTGTTTGGTGTTTCACTAGCCATTGCCAGATTTGTCCTCGAGGATCCCCTTTCGCTGTCAAAAATACCTCCTTCTCTAAAATGTTGAGCGTCTTCAGAAGATGCTGGGAATCCAGAAGTCGCAGGATTTCCATGCTCATTGTTCAGCGCCTCGGCAGCTACGTTTGGTGATTGAAGGGACCTCGGCACAATAACAGCTGCCTCACAGGGACAACGCTGGTGACCTTTGTCTGGGATATCATCGACATTATCCATAGAGAGTTCCATGATCTTCTTTCGCTTTGTATTGATATCAATACCCTGATACAGAAGGATCGAAATCGTGATAATCACTGTGAGCCAGACTGGCCCATAAAAGAAAGCCAAGCGAATAGGTTGCCACTGTGGTCTAATCCAGCACCATAACTGCAAAATCAATCAGTCAATCATCGGGGAACAACAGCACAAGACCAGCCACGCGCTTTACTCACGGGAGTATTTCCATATATATGACCATTTTCATTCGTATTTACGAATAGAAAGGCAAATGCGGGCAAGAACGGGAGTACATAACACAAGATCAAATATCGCCATTCTAGCTCTTTTAGTTCAGCCGGCCTGTATCTGTGGGATGATGTTAGGTAGACATTGATGGACATGCAAAAGATCCAGAAAGCATTTGTTGGCAGGAACCTAATATCACGTAATGTCAGTGTAAGCTCATATCCCTTCTTTTATCAACTGGAGACTCAAAAATGGAAATGGTTTGGAAACACACCATTGCGCAAGAAATGCCTGGCAAATACAGAGGCTACTTTTGGGACCTCGACTGATCCCATCCCCCCCAATCATGGTAGCAACATTCGCAAGGACATTGCCCCACGTAGCATAGAACATGAGTCTGTTGACCGGTGTTTGAAATAGCCTATTCCACAGAAAACTGGTAATGACAAAGAATGAAGAAGTGATGGAGAGGGCAGACGCTGCCCGAGCACTTGTATAAATCGTATGGATCTGGCTGGGTGATAGCATCACACTCAGTGTGTGTTCTTCTGCACGCATGATTTGCGATCATCGAGATGCCCGATATCATTTTGCAAGGTTTTTTTCGATTGAGTGGAGAAGCTCCAACTGTCTGTCTTTTCAACAAGCAGGACGCCACGGTCGTCATCTGGTTTGAGCCATGAAACGGCGGGGTTTGGCTCGATAGAACTTTATCATAGCATGTGGAGAGCGGGCGGTTAACGCTGAGATGACCTTTTCGACAAACCCTACCGTGGTAACTCGATCAAGGCGGCAAACCATTTTTATTTTTGCTCTCTCCACGTCCTGGCTTTGCGTTGAATCAGGGCTACAAGGTTCAAATACTGTCAGGAAGGATGTCCATTTTGGAACTTTTTGCCGCCAGCCAGAAAGTGCGCTGAGTGTCCGAGGTTGCTAACTTGTTCGAACTCAGAAACTCATACATGCCCAGATGCACCAAGAATATCCTCTTTCAACCAAACTGACTTTGTTGAACAAACTAAGTTAGTTAACTAGTTAACTATCATGAGCAATGATCAGTAAGCGCCGTTGGAGGCGCGCTTGCCAAGGGGTCATGTGATGATCTCCTTGCGGTTCTTGGCCTTGGCCAGGAATCTGGGGACTGGCGTAACTGGCCTGTTCGCACTCAACACCCTCAAATTTCAAACCTTTCCCCAGGCATCAGTCGGCAGGTAGACCGACATCCCCGTCAATAGGGTTCTGTTCTAGGCAGTGTGGGTGCGGTGGTCGCCCCGTGGGAATTCGAACACGAGAGCAGCTAACGGTTCCAGCTTTCGGCTCGAAGAACGATGCTACCCCATGAATTAATTCCGAACAACACGCCACTCGTTTAAGAATCGATAACTTGTACGAGTGGAATTGGCAGAAACCCATGGCTATAAAGCCGGAAGAATCATCTGGCCGTTAAAAGCCCGGCCTCGCTAAATTACCCGCTTTACACAACCCGATGTCGCTGTTGATCAGAGCTCCAACTCTTCTTTCAAATGCCGATCTTGTCTTCCGTTTCAAACATGCTTTTCTAATTATTATGCTTATGACATGCAGCCACGACTTATTAGGTGAAGGTATGTATATAGTAAAGGGAGCTTGAGGATAGGATGGCTATAGTTCTAAAATAATGGACCATATTTAAGGATGGAGAACGCCCATCAATTGCGACTTTAGTTGTTGTTTTTAATCAGGAGAAGACGAAAAACATGTTCGTCAGGACTGGATGGCGGGGAATTGAACCCTCCGCGGCTTCTTTGTGGTTGCTTGCCAGCTCCTTACCCGCTATCCATCTCTTATTCTTGCTTTAACTCCCTTGGTTATCTTGGAGCCCTTAAGAGGGATTGATGAGCTTTGGCCCTTCCTTCCATACCTTGGTGAAGTTCCACCCCCGTCGCTTCTTCCCTCGTATTACCATCTCTTCACATCGGTCACTTTTAGCCATTGCCACCCTATCAAGCATTGACCCAGTAAATAAGCTTATCCAAGGAGAGTAAGAAAAAGAAAAGAAAAAGAAAAAGTATTCCAAAGCGAGAAGTTGGAAGTCCGGCATCAAGCCTGGGCGAGGCCAATTCTACCTTTTAACTTAACACGGGATGCCGCCCTCGGTCATGGACTTGATATATAAGGCTTATCTCACATGTCGCTCACCTTAAGTATTGATCCTTGATGCAGTGATAAAAATCCCACATGCCATTGTTTCAAGTTTCATACTTCAACAAGAGACGGGAGTGATATGTGCTGTGCAAAATATTAGCAACCTATGCCTTTGTGCAGCAGGAAACCTCTCAACAATAGAAGATCACCTTTATCCTCGCCATGCTATAATAATCTTGACGATTCCTCATAAACTATGAGTTTAATTACAAGGAAACTTAAACCCTATTAGAATCTTTGCTTGACTACGCATCCCGCACTATATCTAAGCTTAACTGAGTCAGTAAGATCAATCCTAGTTGACTAAAACCCAGATGCGGAGATCAAGGAGGCGGAAACGATGACCCAGGTGATACCAGAGCCTTGGGAGGGTTTTGCTAAGGACAACATGTCAAGCCGGGAATACCTGCTATCTAGTACTCCTGTAACGGGTATGTCCCGCGCTTCTGCAAGGGACGCTATGTGACGTTAAGTGGCCTGTCTTTCGCAGAAGGAGAATAGGGAATGGAGCAACCGCAGCAGAGATATGGCAGGGGGCCAGATCCCTCATGAGCACACACAAGGATGGGGATCAGATATAGAGGCCACTTCAGATAGAATGCGCGGTGGCGAAGAGGTCATCGCCCGAAAGCAGGTGACAGTGTACGCGCAAATTCCGAATCCTTCTCACCTAGGGACCGCAACTTTGATAAGCTGATTTCCTTTTCAACTCTGTGCTCAAAGCTGCTAACAAGTCCAGAGAGGAAGCGCTGGCAGAATATCTACTACTATTTTCTCACGATCTGGTGCCAGTGGAAGGCCAACTAGCATCTATCCCACTCCTGGGAATCGAACATCAGGCCATGGTCCATGGAGTGATAAGGGCATCTCTGAACTTTCATTGTCATTTCGCAACTCACATTTGACATCTTCTTTTATTTCTTCTATGCCCCTTGAAGGGCACTTTCAGAGCTGGAGGGCTACAACGGTAGAAAGGGTTTGCGGCTCAAGCTGCGGGGTCAAGTTTAAATTAGAAGTGCGATATCGGCCAGTTAAATAAAACGCAATGTTAAAGTTTGATGTCAAGGTCGATTCGGAAACCCCACCATCACATCTAAAATCCACCCACATAAGGGGGTTGATTGAAAAATAAAATGCCAGGGATAATAAGCCCCTCTTAAAAACGAAATATAAAATAAAACTAAAAATAAAGTATATAAATGAAGTGAGAGGCGAGGGGTCATGATTTATTTTATTGGAACTCTGCACTTCGACTCTATTTAAAACTACAAATACTATATGCATAGAACTGAGAAGGCGGTGCTTTTCTGGCCTGTGACCATGTTTTAGGCCCATCTAAAAACACGGTACCAATGCTGCTTCATCGATACGTAGGGCCTAGTTAGGTAGGCTAGTCCAAGGGGTTAAAATTAAAGTTCACAAGGGACTGGGAAATATAAGAAAAAACCATGTCAGTCAAAGAGATTCGATCAGACATGGCTAAAATGATTTAACAAATGCCCGAAATCCGGGCTGCTTGCAATAATGGTCATTGTCAGTAACATCCAATCAACATGTCTCAGGATTCCGATGTTGGAATTGGCTGTTTTAAGAAGACCTTGAGAGCTATAACATATGTATACCCCGATGGGCACACCCTGTTGTAGTTCAATGTCAAAGTTTAAATGTAGGACAATGTCACCTTACCTGGTTTTAAAATCTTTGTTTCGTTCTAGTTCTTCTTGGCATATCGGGGCTCGTGACACATTCTTCGGTCAATGGTCTGGAAGCTGTATTTTCCAAGCTGCCCTATCATCGAAAGTCCTGAAAACAAAGACTTCCCCTGATTTTCATTGAGATATCGTGGACCGTTAGAGGAGAATGGGAAAGCCAAACTGAACACGGATCACAGAGAAAACTCGTCGAGTACTAGAATTCACTGACAGTTGGGAACAGGAAATTGACCGGATCAAACAGTATTCCAACATGAGAGAGTTCGACATTGATTCGAATGGCTAACCCACAAATGGTGCTATCATCAAAAGTGCATCTTGCGTTCCTTGGCCATTACAGTGTACAGAACATGTGCATGCGTATTTGCTGCTTCTACCAACGGTCGAATTTGGTGGCATCTTGCCTTTCGCATCCACATTTTATGCCTTGACCCAACATTCTACAGGGCCAAGATCAATGTTTGATACTCAGATATCCAGATGACTATAGAGCTTTAGAAGAGGCACAAAGGTCGGAGAGAACGAGCAAAATGTCTCTCAAATCTGTACTGTTTATATCGTCCAAGCAAGGCAACAACTTCATAATTTTCCCCTCGATTTACAGCAGGAACATCATATGGCCGCGACCATATGTCAGTTCATGGGAAGCCGAGGACATCGCAGCGTTAGGAGTCCCTCGCGAAGATTCAACAGTGGAGTTACCGCACCCTTTCCCGTCACCAGCTGCAAGGTTTAATTCATCCATGCTAATCGTTCAAAACCCCAGACGCTGATCCTGTTTTGGAGTCGAAGGTTCGATTCCGTAGAAAATTCGCTGACGACGAATCAAAGCGAGATACATTTTGCCAATACCAGGACTTAGGATGGATTTTACCCCGGTTGGATCCAGATGCAGGAGCAACAGTGTTAATCCGCAAGCAGTGAGGATATTGGCTGACAAGGAGGGAGAAGGGAGATTTTCGCCGACAAGGCGGCAACATGGACGAAAGAACGAAGGCTGGGTTTCAGGATATCATGGATAGTTAAGGAATCAGAGCCTGAATTATCAAGAGGGCTTCTGGCCAACCAGCATCCTTTTTTCTTGCCATTTTCCCCGCTATATGAATAGTGTGTGGGACGATACCCGCCGGCCCATCAATCAAAACTTTTTTATTGCCAATATATTTAACACAGCTTTTCACTGCGTAAAATTGGGTAATGATGTATGTTGTTTTTCTAGGCCGGTGGAGGTATGCAGCAGTTTGCTGGTGGCCCGAAAAGTTTATATGCAATCAAATGTCTGACGTAGGAGGGGTGACGCTAGAAAGAACCACCAACTCAACCTCAAGAGAGCTCTAAAGAATAAAACTTCACCACTACAAGATCCAACACACTGTCCACAAAGAGAGGCGATAATTTGCCTAGCAGCCTCCCCGAGGTCCTTCTGAGTTCCCTTTTGAGTTCCCTTTTGAGTTCCTTTTTTTTGTAGTTTTGCTGTCCACTTCATGACCTTCCACGAACTGCTGCGACCTGGATAAAAAACCGATAGGAGCAAGCCCGTCTTCATCATGCCACTCCTTTAAAATTCACCGCGCGGATTTACATAGACTTTGCAAGATGGAACGTACGAGGATCGCAAAGGTAGGGGTGGACAGTTGCTTCGAAGCCCGTCGAAAGCACCCAGATAGCGCTGACATTCCGATTTTGCCTGTCCTTTAAGGTGGATAATGTGACACTTCTGAGGCGGGGGGAACAAGTCCTCGGCACCCTGCATCTAACACCTCACCACCTCATATTTTCGCATACCCCGCCAGCAACTGCTACAAGTGCAGACCAACAGCAGGGTGATAATACGATCCCGAAACCTAAAGAGCTCTGGATCACATATCCGATCATTTCCTTCTGCACGTTCAGACCGGCAGCCGCATCCTCGAGGCAACCCTCCTCGATACGCCTCCGATGCCGTGATTTCACATTTGTCTGCTTCTCCTTTCCCAACGAGTCTAGAGCGAGGGATGCATACGAGAGTATAAAGTCATGGACATGTAGGCTTGGTAGGATCGAGAAGCTCTATGCGTTCACCTATCAGCCCCCACCTCCGGAGCGGGGTTTTAACGGATGGAATATCTACAATCCACGGGAGGAATGGCTGCGCTTGGGTGTTGGAAAGCCAGATTCGAAATGTGGCTGGAGAATATCCACTATCAATCAGGACTATTCGGTAACACTAAATCCTGATTCTTCTCTATAGGATTAGACAAACTGACATCTGGTGTGCAGTTCTCACCCACCTATCCTTCTCTTCTCCCGGTTCCTTCGATGATGTCGGATAATACGCTCAACTATGCCGGGAGATATAGGTCTAGGGCTCGGATACCTGTCCTTACTTATCTCCATCCTGTCAACAGTTGTTCCATTACCAGATCCTCTCAACCGCTAGTGGGTGTTCGTGGGAAGAGAAGTATACAAGACGAGAAACTTCTAGCAGCTATTTTTTCGACATCCCGTCCGGAGAGACCTCTTGCGAACTATACGCCTCCGTCATCCTTGGAGGCTGAATCACTAAATTCCAGCCAGGAAGAACAGCCAAGTGTTCCGGCTGATTTTGAATTATCCAATGCTGAGGAGCTTGAAGACGAGGTGATATCTGCGGCAAGGGAGGAAGGTGCCGCAAGCCAGCCCCAAATTTATGGAGCGCAGCAGCACAATCTTATCGTCGATGCGCGTCCAACCGTGAACGCATTCGCGATGCAGGCTGTCGGTCTAGGGTCCGAAAATATGGACAATTACAAGTTCGCGACCAAGGTTTACCTGGGGATCGATAATATTCACGTTATGAGGGACTCACTGAATCGCGTTATTGATGCGCTCAAAGAATCTGATGTAACGTCATTCGGGCCAAGCCGAGATCAACTTGCGAGGAGTGGATGGCTTAAACATATCAGTGGGATACTCGACGGAGCGGCTTTAATTGCGCGACAAGTCGGCTTGCAGCATTCTCACGTGCTCATTCACTGCTCGGATGGATGGGATAGGACTTCCCAGTTGAGTGCGTTAAGCCAATTATGCCTTGATCCATATTATAGAACGATGGAGGGATTCATGGTTTTAGTTGAAAAGGATTGGCTTTCTTTTGGTCACATGTTTCGCCATAGATCTGGGTTTTTAAATAGCGAGAAATGGTTCCAAATCGAAAATGACTTCCTGGGCGGAGATGCTAACCGCACTGGTTTTGGCGATGCCGGTGGTGCGGGAAAAGCGCTCGAAAATGCCCTCCTCAGCGCCAAGGGCTTCTTTAACAGAGATAATATGAGCCGGGACTCCCTAGGTGATTCAGACGCGGAGGCGTTGGATTTGGATAGCTCTAAAAGACCAACTTCGCGGATATCTACCCCGTCAAATGGTGTAGAGGTGACAAAGGTCAAGGAAACCAGCCCTGTTTTCCACCAGTTCCTCGATGCAACATATCAATTGCTATATCAGTATCCTACACGCTTTGAATTCAACGAACGCTTTCTTCGCCGACTTTTGTATCATCTCTACTCATGCCAATACGGGACGTTCCTCTTCAACAGCGAAAAGGAGCGCGTGGAAGCGAAAGCCAAGGAAAGGACAAGAAGCGTGTGGGACTATTTTCTTGCTAGGCGAGAACAGTTCATAAACCCACAATATGACCCCGTTATAGATGATAATAAGAGAGGTCGGGAACGCCTGCTTTTCCCTCGGCCTGGTGAAACGAGGTGGTGGAGTGAGGCCTTTGGCCGCAGCGATGCAGAAATGAATACCCCGCGCAGCGGTGGCATACCTCTGGATAAGGATTATCCCTCTGGTTCGAGGACACCTGTACTAACTGGGGTTGAGACTTCCGAACGCTCTCTCGGTAGCTATGCATCTGTGCAACCAACACCCACTAATACTAGCAGTATGTCATCAGCGGGGATGGCAGCACTTGCTGTGGGCCTATCGGGTTTAAGCCTACCTACTGGTCGAGAGAGCAGCCAGGGAAGACGAACTGAGGAGATGGAGAATAAGGAGATGGAGGTTGAGATGCAGTAGATTAGATGGGGCACTATTCATGTGGTGCCTCCCGCTCTCCTCTTTTGCTTTGCCTTTGCACTTGGGATTTTTGGACAGTGGCGTTTAGTCTACATACATCATCTCATATACAAAGGGTTCTCTACTGGCCTCGAATGGAACACGAGCCCTTGTAAGGAATAGCATTTTTATTCTTTTTTATCATTCAGTAACAAAAATTAGAAGGGGTATTTATATTTCAACTTTTCTCTGGCAAGTCCGCCATCAACAAACAGTCGTGGGTATTCTTGTTCCAGGCACTAAATCAAAACGGGCCTAGCGGCACCAGCTGTTATCCCAAAGCGGAATCAGGGCAAACCCCAAGCCCTACTTCGATATATCCCCCACTAAAACCTACATGCAAGCGAATTCTACCTCACTGCGAAGAACGAGAAGCAGCACTACCAGCTGTCGCCGTCACCAACGAAGCGCCTTCCCCCCTCGAATCCTTAGTCCCTGCCGGTCCCTGTTTCTTTTTGTCAATATTATAAAACAAACAAAAGTAACAAATTGCAATCATGGCTGCCGTCCAAGGAGCGATCTCGAAGCGCCGCAAGTTCGTGGCTGACGGTGTTTTCTACGCTGAGTTGAACGAGTTCTTCCAGCGCGAATTGGCTGAGGAGGGATACTCTGGTGTTGAGGTCCGGGTTACTCCCACGGTTACTGATATCAGTACGTCTCACTACATTTTCTATATTTTTTTGTTTAGATTGTGAGATGGAGAAGGGTGAAAAATCCGAAGAGGCTACCCCAGTTTATGTTGTCATCGGGGCCACGCAAACATATATGGGAAAAGGAATCTCTTTTTTTTTTAATCTATATTGCATTGCATTGGGCATGCTGCAAAAAGGAATACTGATGAAAAAGTGGGAATGACACAATGAGAACTATGCGGGAACGGCCACTGAAGGAGGGCCATATAAACTTCCACATCTATCGAGACTAGACGATACACTAACCATCTCACTCTTCTCGTTTGTGATAGTCATCCGTGCCACCCACACCCAAGAAGTTCTGGGCGAACAAGGCCGCCGCATCCGCGAACTCACGTCCCTCATCCAGAAGCGCTTTAAGTTCCCCGAAAACTCCGTCTCTCTCTACGCCGCCAAAGTCCAGAACCGAGGTCTCTCTGCTGTTGCTCAGTGCGAGAGCTTACGATACAAGCTTCTTAACGGCCTTGCTGTTCGAAGAGCATGCTATGGTGTTCTTAGATTTATCATGGAGAGCGGTGCGAAGGGTTGCGAGGTTGTTGTGTCCGGAAAGCTCAGAGCTGCCCGTGCCAAGAGCATGAAGTTCACTGTATGTTCTATTTGCCTTTGATTCTGAAGCACCACGATTATTTCTCATGGTTGGAATACTTGAAGAGTTGGAGGTTTTCCATCGAATCAACAATACCTATCCCTCATCCTGTCACTCCAAAACATCAATCACCAGAAAAGAATTCCCCTTCAACATCTTGAACATCTTAACCCATCAACATTAACATCAACTAACCCACACAATCTAGGACGGCTTCATGATTCACTCCGGCCAACCCGTTCGCGACTTCATCGACAGTGCCACCCGCCACGTCCTCCTCCGCCAAGGTGTGCTCGGCATAAAAGTCAAAATCATGCGCGGCAGCGATCCCGAAGGGAAGTCGGGTCCCCAGAAATCCCTTCCAGATTCCGTCACCATCATCGAGCCCAAGGAGGAACAGCCTGTCTTACAACCGCTCAGCCAGGACTATGGTGCCAAGGCTCTTGCAGCTCAACAATTGGCCGAGCAGCAGCGATTGGCCGAACAACAAGAGGCGGAGGCTGCGGGCCAGGCTGCTGGTGGTACGGAAGGTGCAGTGGAGGGGGCTCAGGAGTGATTTTTTGCTAGTTAATGATGAATGGAGCTCGTTTTTTTTAATGTTTTAATTTTTTTTTTCCCCTCAAAAGGTCATGTGTTGATCTTGTTTGGCGTAAAATAAAGACAATGTTATTTTCCTTCCTCCCTTTTGTTCAATTAAGTTTCCCATTTCTTTCTTTTCTATCTGATGATTCTGTTGAGGTACATGGAGAACTCCTTTTTTCCTTCTAAGCATCTAAGCATGTATGTGGTGGATGTGCGGCCTCCCTACGACAACTTGATTGCAAATAAGATGAGAGAGAATCGGAAAAAAAAAGTAGGTGGGTCAAAAAGTACACGCGAAATCTTTTGCGATAGATGTATTTTTCCTACCTTGGTGTGTAGAGGAGCATGAATGCTTGGCATATTACGCCTACAGTTAAATCAACGCCCATATTTGTGACACCAAGGAAACCAATCTAAAGAAATGGTTTAACAAGCCTAATAATGCATTCATCTCCATTTCTTCGTCCCAGCTCTAACTATACCTGTGCAATGCGACTTAATAATTTTGAATGATGCCAGACGCCCAGTGTTTCTTTTTCCTTCTCCAAAATCATCATTCATACCGACAAACAAATCCATAGCACATCAAGAAAAGTGACTTATCGATTGATATGCTTTGCCAGCTCCGACGAACTCTAACCCGGCTCAATAACATTTGAATTTCTCGAGCGTAAGGAGAATAAAAGGTAGGGAACACAAGGGATATTAATTATTCCCGTATCATAGGAAAGTCTCAATGTTGATCTCCAGCGTGCTGACGGGATATTTCAAATCGAACTTCCCCAGCACCGTCGGGTGCAGAATACCAAAGGATCCAATGACATGATCCTTTCCGGAAATTCGGACGTGTACTGAGGCTGCATGGCCAGTGAAATATGTCGGATCTAAGATGAGCAAAAATTTTTTGAAAATTAGCAAAGTCCTCATCAGGTATTTCTCAAAAATGTTCCTCCCCAACCATTTTCAGGTCGATACTTTGGTGATGGGTGAACGAACCGTCCAACTCTTCAATCCAATACGACGCGTTCCCCATAGCCGGATTATCCAACCCTTCTTCCCCAATAGTAAACGCAGTCTTCAGCATAGCCATAATCCTATCGAGCAACCCATGTACAATCTCGAACCCACTGGTCTTCCCATACCAGGCCGCCGCGAAATGTCTCTCGTTCGTACTCTTACGCTCACGCGAAACATCCTTGAATGCAACATCACTGACCTCAAAGATCTTCATAGGGATCGCATGATGTTTATTTTCTCCAATTGTCTTCAAAAGGCCCGGCAGCAGGCTCGTGCGGACAACCTGAAACTCTACTGTTTTGGGATTCGCCAGCTTGACGGCTGTATTCCCATCATCCTTGCGGTTCAGCCAGGCGAAGTTCTCATCGTGCGAGCAGAGTATAAGGGGCATGACTTCAGACCAGCCGGCCATCGCGGCCTCTGTTCTGATGATATCGGTGAGTTTATTTACGGGCAAGGGTTGCGCGATTGTGCCAGATATATTGGGGAAGTATCGCGGGAGTTCATTGAAACCGTATGCGATGGCAACGTCTTCCATGATATCTGCTTGATGGAGCACGTCTGCGCGGGTTACAGGGACCCGAACATCGACTAGATCGGGGGAAGTTTTGGACGGCTCAGCAAAATAGGACATGCGCTTTAGGAGATTGCAAATTTCTGCGGCGGATAAGGAGAGACCACAGCATTGGTTAATGTAGGATATACTAGCTTGGGTAGGACGAGGGCTTAGATCGGGGGTCTGGCGAGTTTCGTTGTTGTGCGCTGATACTATTCTCACAGGCTCCACTGTGAAGGGCTCTGATGTATATTGAGAGAACATAGTAACCATGATATTATTCACAATCTCAACTTTAGTCTTATCAGTTGCCGTATACTCGAGGAATACATTTTTGGTGTTTAAGGTGATTTTCGAGTGGTCGCCATTGATAATTGGTGGTAGCGAACAGACTACACGGTTTGAGTCATAAATCACGGGATATACAGGAGAATCCCGGATAATGTGAAGATATTTCCCTATGTGTTTATCCTTCTATAGGAATATTTTAGTATTGTGGTGTCAATGGCAAAAGAAATGCAGTGAAACATTACCTCATAGAACTCCATCATCTCCTGTCCATTCATCTTCCGTGTTTGATTTAAAGGGACGAAGCTGATATCCTTTGGAGGCAAAGCCTCATAAGTGAACGGCCCCTTGAGTTTATCCAAATCATGCGTTCCAATGGCCACCAATGTTCTTTGCCGGGCAAGGTTTTGGTGCAGTTTGTCCTGAAGAGCAATGAAGGATTCATATCGAGCTTGGTCGAAATGGATATTCCTAAGGATGGCGCCCGAAATATAAGGGCGGATTTTCATCGTCTAAATTTAAAGCTCAGTAAATGCCAACGTTTACATATATATGGGTGTTTATGCCTATTTCTCACCTCCTCTTTTACGATAATCGTTTCCAGTTCTCCATTTGAAGGTGCAACAAGGCGATACTCGGGCGACAGAGTTCGTTCACGGAAGATATTCAGCATGAGAGCAATGCCCTCGATGCAGAGGAGATCATATCTAGAAATACCTTAGTTCAGATCATATTACATAGCATAGACGTATAGCAGTAGCCAACCGATTCGCAGGGACCTCAATCTTCAGTTGCGGAGGTTCTTGTTTTCCATTTACAAACGGTCTTTCCAAGTTTTCGGTCTGTGATTGTTTAGAATGCATAGGCCAGGATGGGTCAGACAAGGGGTATATTACATCTTCGTCCAGTTCAAGGCCTATAGAGGAATACTGTCAGTCTGGGTATCCATAGTGGGAGGTTTGTGATACATAGGTGAGAGCACCAGCTAGGACGCATACCGAACTCAAAGCATAGTTGGTCGAACTCCTCTGTAGAATACCTGGCGCATTACAAAACAAGCAGATAAACAAATGAGACAGGTCCAGAGAAAGGTACAGAAGCCAATTGACTCACTTTCGCCCCAGTTCCTTGAAGAGGGCAGCTTTATCAACAGCAATGGTCGGCATGGTGGAGGCGTGGGCCTAATTTGCGACCAGGAAGTTCAAACGTTGCGCACACAGTTTTCTGAAACAGATATATTGGTGCAGATTCAATACGGAGGATTCCCTAAACCAAGCTCAGGGTATTTAGCAGATTGTCGACAGAAAATTGAAATTAGCTGTGGTGAAAAGCACAAGCTTTTTTTTTCAGCCAAAAGTTGATCGCTTCATGGAGGGGAAAAAGACCGTGAGTCAGCAGCGGCATTCCGTGTTGCACCGCCACAGCCAGCCCGTCTATTGGGCAGCCCACCAGCCACATTGCTGAAGAATCGACACGGAACAAAATACATCACAAATGCTATCCAACAAACAAAGACCAACTTTTGTCCGACCTTGTCACTTACCCTGTTCTTCCTGTAAAGCAGGTTTGGGCTTCCACTCTTGAGGATATCCAAGGTGCGTTTTGTGTTGATTGCACTCATGCTGCTTGTTTGCCTGGCGGCTTTTTGCGTTGGCGGTTGATTGGCCTGTTTTGTTCCCTAGGCTCAACTCACCCCACGAGACATCCCAGACATCCATACCTTGTACCTCACCATGACATCTCTCCCCTCCGTGCTGCTTCTTTGCCGCTCCAACTAAACCACTCGTATCTATATCCGTTGCTCTTAGGTCTATCTACGCCAAGGTCCACGCGTGGAATTCCCTTATCTGCATATCGGGTCCCTCTCTAGTTCTTCAACGATCTCCATAAGAACTCAATTGGCACGCCCCCCTCCGGTCGAACACACCTCCTAGAAAAACCTGTCGCGATATCGGCTCATTCTCCGCCTTCCTTCCCTTCCCTTAATCAATACACTCCTTTTCTAGCTATGGAAGGCCAGGGCGAAAATGATGAGCTCTACCCTGTCGCCGTTCTGATAGATGAACTGAAGGTATGCCCTCCCACTTCTCCTCTGGCCCCTCCATTCGCTGCGGCGACCAGTAAAACAGCACTCTTATCCAAGATATAGCATGAGGATGTCCTCCTCCGTTTAAACGCCATCCATCGCCTATCCACGATTGCTCTGGCCCTTGGCCCGGAACGAACGCGGGACGAATTGATCCCTTTTCTTGATGGTTTGTCTCGTCCAGCTTTTGCCTTGGTTTGCGGATCCGCCGACGTATTGAATGCCGCAAAATGCTGACCCAGACTACTTTCTTTCTTCCATCCAGACTCTGTCGAAGATGAAGATGAAGTTCTGACTGCGCTTAGTGAGGAGATGGGTAATTTCGTCGACTATGTTGGTGGGCCGGAATATGCACATATTCTCCTATCTCCCCTAGAGAATTTGGCTGCAATTGAGGAACCCTTGGTGCGAGAAAAGGCAAGTTGCCCTTTGGCTCCCAAATGAAATGGAAACCTGGTATAGGTACAACCAGACGCGCCCCATCATCTACTGACAATATATCGATATTCAGGCGGTTGAATCCCTCAACAAAATTTGTGGCCAGCTTTCTGCCAAGCAAATCGAAGAATATTTCATACCCCTCACCGTGAGCCTCTCGAAGGCGGACTGGTTCACCTCCAAAATATCTGCCACAGGCCTCTACAGTGCTCCATATTCCAAAGCCTCCCCAGCTTCGCAGCAAGGTCTTCGACAGCAGTTTGGACATCTGGTCCACGATGATACTCCTATGGTTAGACGCCAGGCGGCAAATAACCTCGCTAAGTTTACCAAGGAGATGACCACGCAAGTAATCATAGAAGAAATAATCCCTCTCTTCCAATACCTTGCAAATGACGACCAGGATAGCGTGCGACTATTAACAGTGGATATCTTGATTTCAATCTGCGAAGAGATCCCAAAAGAACAGCAGTCAAGTCACGGTGTCCTTTTAACCGCGCTGCGAAGTTTATTTGAAGATAAAAGTTGGCGGGTTAGGTACATGGTTGCTGATAGATTTGAGAAGGTACAGTAGAATTAAGATTCGGGTTTATGAATTGTGATCATCACCGTGTACATCAATACAAAGCTGACTGGTGACTACGTAGATCGCAAAAGCTGTTGATGACGAGGTGCTGAATCGGGATCTAGTTCCTGCTTTTGTGAAGTTGCTGAAGGATACTGAGGCAGAGGTCCGCACAGCAATCGCCGGACAGATTCCTGGTAGGAGATGAGTTGCGGCAGTACGTGTGGATATGTTAATCTAACACGTTTATAGGTTTCTGCGAGCTGCTGGATAGAGACACCCTTTTGAATGAAATAATGACTAGCATCGAAGACCTCGTGTCTGATCCTTCCCAACATGTGCGCGCCGCGCTTGGTACACAAATCAGTGGGCTGGCGCCAATACTTGGCAAGGAGGAGTGAGTGATGTATTCTCTCTTCTCCTGATACGATAGATTACTAATCCAGCTCGTTACTTTAGAACTATTGCACACCTACTCCCTATGTTTTTACAAATGCTGAAAGATGAATTCCCCGATGTACGCCTCCACATTATATCCAAACTGGAATTGGTCAATAAAGGTATGTCCTACACAATTCAATAAAAGATATAATATTACTGTCATCACTTACATATCGTAAACAGTTATTGGTATCGAGCTTCTATCCCAATCCTTACTCCCTGCGATTGTACAGTTGGCGGAAGATAAGCAATGGCGTGTCCGTTTGGCCATCATCGAATACATCCCCCTTCTTGCGAGTCAGCTTGGCGTAAAGTTCTTTGACGAACAGCTCAGTGCACTTTGCATGGGCTGGCTTGGGGACGCCGTATTTTCCATTCGCGAGGCAGCCACTCAGAACCTGAAGAAACTGACCGAAGTGTTTGGCGTGGAATGGGCGAAAAACTCTATCATTCCAAAGGTCATATTGATGGGCCAACATCCAAACTACCTTTACAGAATGACAACTTGTTTTGCCATTTCCGTAAGTCGAACGCCAAACAAAACCTCAAATTTTTATTTTTCGTCTTTATTTTTCTTGATTCTGTATTTAGTTTAATTGAGAAACTGTATCTCAACGAAGCTAATTGCGCAATGATTAGACACTCGCCCCAGCCGTCAACCTCAACATAATCGAGACCTCCATCCTCCCGATTCTGGAGCGACTTGTCGGCGATGACATCCCGAACATCCGTTTCAACGTTGCAAAATCTTATGCTGTAATGATAGATACCCTCCAACGCCTTCCCGCAGAAGGCACGTTGGCCGAACTCGAGAAATCCGGCCATGCAAGCAGTACTCCGGGCCCGCGCAACCACGCCATCGTACAGCAACAGATTCTTCCAAATCTTGAGAAATTGCAGCAGGATGATGATGTCGACGTGCGATATTTCGCTACCACAGCTGCAAGCAGCTTTTCAGAAGCCATGCAAACATCCCCATGACTTTCTCCCAACGAATTTGAAAAAAGAAAGATACATTTCAAATATCGCAACCTTCCACACCCACAGCACGGCCCTTTCTTTGTTTTAATCAATGGCTGACTAAATACATTATTCTCATGCATGCTTGTGTTGCTGCCTCTTCCTCTCACATTCGCGCTGTGCTTTATGAATTCGTTGACTTAGAGAAGCCACTTTCCCTTTCCTTTTTTTTTTCTATAATTGCTTGCGAGGAAGATACAGACCCAAACCCAGTAATCAACCTAGCTTTTCTCTCACATTATTTCTTACGAAATGGGAAAAAAAGGGGCGGAAGAAACCATGTGGAGAAGACATGCCCAAGTACTTGGAAAAATTCCTTTTTACCTTCTTAATTCTTTCTCTTTAATGTCAGGTTAGAAAGTGGAAATGGAAATCACCATGTGCCCTTTGACCAGTAAGTAAACAGGCAAGTATTGAAAACATTACGATCATCTTTTTCTCCCTCTTTTCTCCTAACCCCTTTGTGTTGTTCATTTTCATCCTTCCCAAGTCATCGTATTTCCTACCCCCTCGCGCACCGCACACCCTTACTCCTATTCCCCTTTCTTTTTAAACCCCCCAGATGTAGAGTACCAAGGACCTCTCTTTCTATCCGTCTTTCATGGGCGTGTGACATCCTATTAAGTTGCAAAGACATACGCATTGAAAGGAGGCAAAACGGTAAAAAGGGAGAGAGGGAGAAATGATGAGGGCCCAAGGTGGACAAAAGAATCAAGCAGAACAAGATGTAAGAGAGCAGAGAGCAGATAGATAAGACAAGAAATCAATTAATTCATTTTCTTTTCATTCTCTTCTCCTCGCTGAATGACAGTCGGCTGGCATTAGGCAACAGAAGTGTTCCAGGCATCCAAATCACGTGTTCTGATATTAATTCAACCTTCGCAGTTCAACATCGATCGTGGATGCAATCTTCTGTCTCATTGAGTTTCTCTACCTTTTGAGCTATATATATATTCAGCAATCAAGAGTGTTACATTCCTTTACTATAATTTCTCGAAAAACCTAGAAAATCTAACACATAAACGATTCCCTGGCGGCTCACCCCCTTTTTTTGATTCCTTCATGCATCGTCTGGACCATTTCAAGCACAGTTGCTCAGTGGCATGTTAAATATTAACTACCAACCTGGTATAAAAGTGGTGTCCTTACGGCCGTAACATTTGGATATACATGCCATTAGCCGCGGAGCTTGTTCTCAATTTCTACCTTTTTTTCGCTGTCAAGCAAAACTTCTCCTTTCTGGATATATTGTCAAGCAATTGATGTTAAACCGTTTCCCTTCACCCTATTTTCCGTCTATTATACCATTTATTTAACGTTTCCATTTTGCATTGTGTCTCGGCAAGGTGGCTTCAGCTTCACAACTTCGCTAACACCTTAAACAGCGAACGCCATGTCTGCCTCGGGTACTTGGCTTTCACCACTATGGGACTACCGATATACGTCCCCCACTCCCGAACAGCTCCGTGAGCGGCGCGAGCTCCTCACGTTACGTGGTCAATATGCTCAGCTATCCACCCTGCTCCTGATTTTGTTCTTCAGCGCCTATAGATTGGGCGCACGACGGATCAGAAGCAGCGGCAGAGGCAAAAACCAAGATGCCAAGTCATCCTCATTGCCATTATCAGTATGGCTAGATTCTCCACTCATGCGCAGTGGGGCCGAGACGAGGAGACAGTATCTCGTCGCGACGGTATGGATGGCGTGGTTGCTTGCGCTTTCGGCTTGGAGGACGGGTAATGGTATGGATACATATATATTCTCCTTATTTCCTTCACGCCGCTCTTCTATATATCTCCTGTATATACGAAATAGGTTTAAAACACCCTGTACACATGCCAAGAAGGACTTCTCCATGCTGACGAAACAACAAGACTACCTTCACTTCACCAAATCGTTGGGCCACACCGCCCTCGCCACAATCCCCTTCAACCTTCTGCTCTCCCCCAAACTCTCCACAACAACCCACCCCTTCAACCTCGTCTGCTCCCACCTCCTCCACCTGCCTCAGACCCATTTAACCCCCTACCATCGCCTCTTCGGCCGGCTAGTCATTCCCACGCTCATCTCCCTGCACTCAGCGCTGTATCTCATGTTCTTCGTGGAAAATGGGGTGCTGGAGAAGAGGCTCAATGACCCGGATGTACAAATTGGGATTATAGGGGGTTGGATTTTGGTCCTGTTATGGGGAACGAGTGGGTGGGTAGTGGGGTGGGTGAGGGGTCAGGGGAATCCGACGTCAAGATCATTAGGGTCGGGGTCGAAATCGAAGCGGATGGCATATGTCGTGCATGTTGCGTTGGTTATTGTTCTTCTAGGAGCAGTGTATTTCCATGTTGAGCATGCGAGGAAATTCGTGGTGCAGGCTCTGATGATTTATGGGGTTGACGTCGGGAGTTGGGTGATTAAGCGTTTATAGGTCAGGGGTTAGAGTATGATTGAAAGGCCAGGTTAGTGTCCAAACTTTTTAGGTCTGTTGTTCCGATGTGCTCAGATAGAATACTCTGTCGCGGTTTGTAGGGTTGTGAGATTAGGGTTGTGAGATTGGGGTTTTCATTTTGGAAGGGGTTGGATTAGAGTGAGAAAGGATCCTATTACAGAGAAGATATTAACTGATATTCGCAGAAGGATGAGATGTGTATTGTGCTTGTATATACAATGATGAACGAATTGCTATATTGATAGGGATAGAAGATAGTAGATACAACAGTGATAAATAACAGATGAACATGTATCGTACACACAGTCACAATATGGTGCTGGAAGAAAGAAAATACACAAAGAAAGGTAAATGTGATACGAGACCAGGAATTTTGAACAATGCAACTTTGGCAGATCAGCTTTGCTTGCAGATGATAAATTGTGGATTGATATCATGTAATAAAATGGTTTGAGCATGGTAGGGAATATCAGTCAGTGTACAAAAAGTGGAAAGATGGTGCCAGGTAAGAACAATTTATGATGGAGCAAGCAAAGAAAAAATCAAAATTCTCGAGATAAAAATAATGATCATAAGCAATAATATAACAAGACCAAAGTAGAACAATTTTTAGATGACTTTGCTGTGAATGACACCTACAGCCAGGGTAAAAAAGCCAGACGCAATCAGGTGCTGGCCATCGCAGAATAAATGAATATTAAACAGCAGAAATCTTGCATTCCATCACCCATAGTGGATACAACCCCTTCCATAAAACGGATGGTTTATAGTAGTTGGAAGAGGATGCAAAGTGTGCACGTACTGTATATGTGCAAAGTAGTTGCACCAATGACGGAACCGGAAGGACATGCCAGTACATTGGCAGCGGAAAGCCACACATCCATTCCGGTCATCCCCTCATTTCCACAGTATCTCCTTCTCCTGGCATTCTACGACTAGGAATAGCTCGCGCCTCAAGCTCGGGAGGCCCACCACGCGTTTCATCAAGTAACGCAGACTGGCGCCGGTGAAGCTCCTCGAGGCGCTCCACGGGGTTCTGTAAGTCTCCAGTATAAGTAGGTCAATCCAAGGAGTTGCACGAACGCATCGATCGTGAAACGCACCCAGTTCTCCTGCGATGGGACACCAGCGGCAGGGGACAAGCTGTCATCATCCTCTTCTCCTTTTCCTCCTTCGATCTTGGAATACGACTTGCCCATGTATTTCGATCGCTGGATAGGTGCAGGTGTAACAGGAAGACTGGGTCGCTCTATTTCCGTGGGGAAATCTGTGAGCCTTAGGCTGGGCCTTCGGCCTTCATGTTCTGTTCCGAAACCGTCTCCGGTGGTGCTGGTTACCCCACCTTGTAAGACCTGGACTTGCCCCCTCCGCGGCCTTTGAATGGAACGCATGTATCCCACAATTTCGGGAATTTCGTCCCATGCGTTTGAGTGAACGTAGTTCAGCCACGGATCCATAGAAGGCGGTGGGCCAGTTGACGGTGATGGTGCAGAGTCAGGTAAAACCTCTATTCCATCTTTCCCTTTGGCTAATAATTTTGAATGTGAATCTGATGCTATGCCGGGTTCTATAGATTCGTCCAAGAAAACGCGGGTAGGTTTTGGGGCGTAAGTTTCCCATGGGAATATGGGGGCTAATGTTTTTGTCTTTTGCTGCCTAGGGGGTACTTGGTAGTACATATTTTTAGGAACCTCCGGGTATGACTTTGGTGGTTGGAAAAGTTGAATATCCTGTGACATAGCGTATGTATGTGAAGGTAAACTGAATGCCTCGGGTTTAGAATCTGTGGGGGGAGGTGCCCTATAGTTGTTTGTCAGTATCTGTATGATTGTATGAATATTTTCCGCCGTATCTCATTAGATTTGGAGATGCATACCGGGAAGGGTCCCATTCAGCCTTTGGCGGTGAGAATGATGTCTCTGGTGCCGCCTTAGGTGACTCAGGCTCCTCGGAAGAAGCAGTGATGTGTCCAAGTTCTCGTTGTTTAGTCGATTCAGTGGGCCCCTGTGGCAACTGTTGAAGTGCAGGTACGTCTGTCATGCCGGTAATAGGAAGGCTTTTAGGAATTGATATTTCCTTCGAATCGGAAACGATATCAAGGAGAGGAGCAGTATGTCGGTAGACCGACACATGCTCTTCGCCATGGACGTATTGTGGGACAGCGCTGATAACAAAATCATGGCTCTTTTCAGGGGCTTTAGGTTGGGGGATAAAGCTCGTTGGTCTGGCTATAATCGCACTATTTTCATCAGAAACTGCAGAACTGTCAATTTCTAGTACATGTGGAATTTTGGGCGAGAGCGCGCGCCCAACGTCATGCAGTTCGTCGCCTTGCTGGATGGCTTCATCAGCTTTAGCATGATGAACTCCAACTTCAACTCCAACTTCAGCAGGAGTAGAAGCCGAAGAACCAAGTGGGTGGACATGAGTCTGTGGTCGAACTTGTGCATAGGACGTCTCGGGGGGATGTATGCTTTCCAACGATTCAGCCGACTGATCCCAATCACGCCCACCTGGGGCTCCGGGAATCTGTTCTGCATGAGCTTCAGGTATTCGACCAGTAGGCTTCTGCCCCATCACGTCAGCTCTCACGACTCAATCAGCAATCTCTTCATCAGGTCCCCCAACCCCCATGGATTGAAAGACACAGTTCATACATACCACTGGTTTATAATGTCTATCGTAAGTGGCCCACCACCTCCCCAGCAGTTGATTATACGGACTCTCAAGTGGGAAGGCTTGTCGCGGTAAATTCCACGGCTTCTGCATGCCAATATAATGTACTAGACTAATATTGCTGCCAAAATGGCGGAATGCTGGAACATACTGATAATGTCCACTCGGAGTACAGTTGTAAATGAAGCTCAATCTGTCCCATTTCTTAAAATGTATATTCAGCAGGCCCTGGTCCGCCCCATCAAAGCTAATCCCTCTCTGAGCAAGAGCAAGGAGAGAGTGATAATCCTGCATGTTGGGAGTGAGCACCATGAGCCCAGTGTTAAAGCAGTCTGGCCAGCCGATATCAGGCACGGCAGCAAAGTGGGTCTCGAGCTTGAGAAGCTCGTTAGGGGCCCTCAGAGATACCACATCGGCATCAATGTACACGATCTTGCTGTATTGAGTTTGTCTCCAGAGCTCAATTTTGGAGAAGGTTGATATTAGATCTGGCCTGTTCATTAGGTATAGGTTCGCGGGGTTTCGATTGACGAATCGGTTGATGGGGATTATATCGTCGTAGATGGCCTTTTATACGTTTAGTGGGCGCCGGTTAACAACATATTGCCAAACGAAAAAAAAAAAATAAAATAAAATAAACTAAAATAGCAAACAATAAATAATTGAAAGGACACATGTTATACCTTCAGCTCACCGAGCGTCGAAGGCTTGAGGGAGTCCAGCGAAACCAGCACAACGAGCTTGGCTTTGGAGCCCGAGTCTCGCAGCGAATGGGCGAGCACCATTGCACCTAAAAAACCGCGACATCATGATAAGCAGAGGGGGGGAAAAAAGGCAACTGTTCATCGTGAACAACACGTCTAGCTCTCGGATATCTCGTATTTATTTACCTGGGAGGTAATTATCGCTGAGCAGCATCTAGACGCAGAGTCCGGTTAGTGGCTCATCAGGCCCTCATCATTCACATTATTGTAGGTGCAAGACTCACGGTGCAGTAAACAGCTTCACCCATGTCCGCCATGACCAGCAGGCAGTGGCAAAGACTGCAATTTGCGCCTGAGGCCCGAAGAAGATGGGAAATATGACGGATGAGGAAGGGTTTTCGACAAGAATCACGGTTTCCGATGGGAAGTTGGTGAACCCGTCTTCTGCGGAACTCGCCTGATGTGTTACTGGCGTCTGTACATGGATCGCACTCCGCCGAGAAAGACAAAGACCGGGATGACTTTTATCTGAGCCATTGGCAGCGACATATGAGAGAAAAGCAGAAGAGGGGCAGTCCAGCCTGGAATCCCGACAGCGAACGCGCTGTATCACAACAGGGGCGTTGAATTAGTTAGCTGGCTAGTTAACAGTTAGCAAAAAATGACATAATTCGAGAAGAGACGGCACGAAAGCTGCGCTAATGCAGCTGATATTTACTTGGCGGCCAAATGATGGCAATGTTCACGGAGGATTCAATTCCATCCAAGACAGAGAAAGCAGATACACATGTCTCATGAGGAGTTGTTGATTACTTCTGCAACGCAATAATGGCAAATACAATCGTTTCTCGTAGCTAACTTGCCGCAAAATCCAATTCCAACATAAATGAACATGCCATGATAAATCGCTTCCCAATTCCACCCAGATTCAGTGGAGCAGGAAACAAGCCAGGAAACAAGCCAGGAAACAAGCAAGGAAACCGACAAACACCTCCCTCCAATTCCTCTCTTCCCTTCTCCAATCCACAATCCGTAAGCTCAAGGCCACTCAGTATCATTCCCATCCCATCCATCCATCCATTCATTTCCTCACAGTCACAACCGCGCCAGGATACACCTCAGCAACCACTGCGCCGACATCACCCTTTTCACCACCAACAGCCCACTCAACCGCCTTCTCAATAGCCACACGCGCTTCAATCTCTACCGGCGGAAAATGCGCCGTCCGCGGTAACATCACCACTTGACTTCCATGCACCAGGTAATCTGCAATCCCTTCCAGCCCCACATGGGGGTCCAAGGCTATATCCTGCTCTCCCCATAAAATGGTCGCATTTGCGCGGAGCGCTCCGATGGGTCCTTCTTGCATAACCATTCCAGTGCTAGTCCGCCGGGGCTCCCCAAGCCCGTATAGGGCCGAGATTACCTCCAGCGACTTGTGCCAGGTTCCTACCGCAGCACCGTGGCGGTAGTAGGAGGCCATGTCACCGAAATTACCTCTCTCGATGCGTCGCCAGACGCTGGCTGGATACTTGTCTCCATCGGCTGTGGTGGTTTTGAATTCTGCAGCACCGGGGCCGAGTGTGCTGGCCATGGATTCTTCGGCATCCCGAATGGTAAATTCGATCACCTTCCCTGCTGCAAGGACGTGCAATGTTTTCAAAAACGAATAGTTGCCCCCCTTGCCTACATAACGTACCATGGGCATAGGGATCTGGAATACAAAAATATAGTCAGATAGGATTAGTTGGCGAAACAGCGGCTTCAGCCCAGCTATTGCCCGTAGAAGAAGGCTGTGGGACTGGAATGGGTTGCGTAAGAATGTTTTAAACATTTTCCTCGAGGATTCCAATGCTCGAGTGAGATTTGACTGAGCTAATGGTACCTGTTCAATGTACAAATATGTTAGCCAGCTGGATACGTTGGAAATAAATAATAAAACATAAAAAATAAGCCTCAAAAGCCAAACATACCAATGGACCATTCGTCAATATAAACCTATCCGCCAACTGCGGTGCTTCTGACGCAAGGCGAAAGCCCAACACAGCTCCCCAATCGTGGCCAACGTAAATCACCTTCCCAGCCTGCCGCTTCTCATCTGCTGCTCTGACTTCGTCATAATCATCATCCGCATCAATCCCATACTTCCTCCTGATAGCGATGAGGAACTCAGCAAGATGTTCCATTACCTGCGTCGCGCTGTACGTTGCCAGCGAATCGGTCCCGCCGTAGCCCGGCAGGTCAACGGCGACAACAGTGCTGCGCTCCCAAAGTAACGACGACGGCAGAATGTGTCGCCATACCGCCCAGCTGTCCGGAAAGCCGTGGACGAAAACGACGAGCGGTTTCCTTGTTTCCGTTTGTGTTGATCCTAGTCTTGGTGACGATAGATCTTCTGAGATGGGTCCATTGGCAACATAGTGGAATTTGAAGCCATCGCGGAGAGTTATGAAGTAGTGGGAGAAACCATCCCATCGCTTAGAGAGGTTCCAGAGGCGGTCCTTCGCTAAGTATCGCGCGTTCAAACAAAATTAGCCGATTGAGTTACACCATTTTTTCTTTCTTTCTTTCTTTCTTTCTTTCTTATATCCCCGCCCTCCTCTCTGAAACATCTAGACCAAACTAGACGAATCGGAATCCTAGAGCAGGTAAAAATCCGTAATATAACACAGATAACTAGTTATCAGATATACTTACCTAGTAATAGCTCCAGCCTCTCCTTCTCTGTCGGCCGACGAAAGAACGTCCCCGCCCATATTGCAATAACCCCATACCTAAAAAAGGTGGAGATTCCATAGAAGGTAGCAAGGGTCATAAGCAGACCCTTAATTATTGGCGTAGATCCCCCCATTCTTGTTTGTGATTGCATTCGTGGCTCAGAGACAGCGGGGGTTTTTAGGAAGGGTATCCCGTTTTCCCAATTCGCTGCAGTAGGATATGCGGTAGTCGAATAATAACGACGATGCTGTTGCGAAAACAAAATGTGGGTATCTCGGTATTCGAATTGGGTAGATAAAACCGAATAGGAAGAAGCAATAGAATGAAGAATGAGCAAAAGCTCCAAATAAGCACAGTAAAGATTCCCCCTCCTGTTGGGTGCGTTTCGATATTATCAGCACACCTATGGCATATAGAATCCCACCCACTTTTACCCCATTCGCAAAAAAAGGGCGCTTTCTCGAATTTTCATACGTCCCATCCACTACGACAGGCCGATAATGACAAGCGTCCGAAAGTATTCTGAATCATTGACCCCCTAGTTTGTATGTACCATGCGCCTGTCTAGCCACTTGTTGCCGGGCTTTCATGGGCGTGGTGCATAATAATAATAGTTGAACAGTCAATGAAAAATTAAAAATAGACGGAAATCAAAATCAACTGAGATCAATGTTCTTACCCTCAGAGAAGCCTTTGGTCGGCTAGATTAACGGATGGTTTAAGCTGTCCGGAGGTCCAGGAAATAAAAACTGAGCTGTTGGTTTGGAAACATAGGTGCCATCGCGGTAAGGAGAATGCACAGCTACATCTTCGACAGACGGCAGCCGCGGCTATTGCCTTGACTATGTTCACAGTTCCTGCAAGTTGACGTAGAGTGATGATGAGAATGATTCAGGGGGATCGATGTGTTTATATGTATGCTACAGGTGGCCAAGGTTGTTTGTTCTTGGCCCTCTGGATGTGACGTCATTACGGTCTGCAGGACTATGTAGTCATTTTAATGCCTACTGATGCCTACGATTCCAGGAAAGTTAATAGGTGCTTTACTGGCATCTATAACCAATCGAACAAGCTGAATAAATGGTTCCAATATCTATCCTTGACATATCAGATCGCAAATATACCACCAAGTTATAAAGGGAGGTGAAAAGCACGGAGCTGAAAAAGACGATGTTCCACTCAGGGGAGGAGGAATAAAAATACAAAAATCACATAAACAAAAAGAGTATATGTATATGTAAGAGAGAAAAATGAAGAGTGGACAAAAACAACGGTGAAATATCGAATCGGACGCATTTGAGTATCCGGGGAAGGTGTAGGACACTCTGCTGGGCCTCCTGGAAGAGAGTAAGTGGACGAGAATCATAGTGACAAATGATTTAAGGGTAATAGACAAGGTGGAGACAAAAAAAAAAGAAAAAAAGGTGGTAAAAAGGTGGATACAAGAAAATTGAATGCAAGATTCAACGTGAGTAAATGCTACAAATCAACCAACCACATCACACGGTGCTAGAGGAGGGAAGGGAAAGGTATAATAAAGAGCTGCGGGATGTAAGTTCCATGAGTATTCCGTGTTTAGCTCAACAAGTACGTGTCTGTTGCCGGAACAAAGCGCGAGAGTGAGCGAGAAGGGAATGGGGAGAGGAAGGGGGAGAAGGAGGGAGAGCAGACCAAAAATTATCAAAGGAAGGGAAGTATCCAAGGGGCCCCGGCGAGAAGAAATAATATAGTATGTAGTGAGAAAAGAAGACGCTTGACAAAAATCACAAAAATTATGTACTTGTAGATATAAACAAATTTACCATCTGACCCAAAAAAATTCAGGTCCCTCATGGTCGTTTCGAGTTACATTTAGGGAGAAAACCCTATACTTTCCCTGTTATCATCCACAATTCTCCCATATCTAAATCGAATTCCACCAGTTAGTCATTGATCGGATCTCAATGTATGAAAATAAAAGGGGAGGGATGACGTAAAACTCACTCCAATAACAACCTAAAAAAATAAACCTCAAGATCATCGTTTCGTAACACTGAGTTCGCCCACTCCTTCCCCTGGTTCGCCAATTTTTGGGCAATTTCCTGTCCCTCCTTCTCCATAGCAAGATATCGTACAGCTTCTACATGTTCATCACCGCGCAAGCTCAGGGGCACATAATGCACCCACGCGCGTAGTCGCTCATCATGCCACTCGCGGAAAAGCGCAAGCTTATATACCAAGCTATTACTTTGCATGAACGCATAGTAACGGCCACTAAACGCGTTTCCATCAATGTCGAGAAGATGCTTGTAGTTCCACGCATCGTGCTGACTAGCAGGTTCCACAACGTCGAAAAACTCAGCTTGCACTTTGCAGTCCTCCGGGTCGCACTGGCCGATATGGCTGAACTTGACGTTGAATATGTCTTTGAATTTTTGTCGCGCGACGTCCTTGAGAACCCATGCATTTTTTCCGCTGGGAGTGGTGGATCTTTCAAGGACCTTGGCCGAATCCAGGCCATTTATCCTTTTGACAAATAACTGCCGGTGCTGTCGTCGCCAGCTGCCTGCTCTTGAGAAACCGCCTGTTGTTGACCCGCGCCAGTACATTTGCTCTTCTTTCTTATCCCATTCGATATCCTTAGCAGCATCGTATGGAACCTTTTGAGCCCAGTACCACGGGCTTGGGTATATGATATCTTGGAAACTGGACACTTTGCTCTGCGAGAAGATGGGGAAGAGGTCATGGACGACATTAAATGCATTGGGGCGGTCGAAAAACCCAAATGTATATTGGAGAGAAGGGGACAAGCATATGTCCGAGAAGGCAGTGCTGTTGGACAGGAAGCCAAGCTTCGAGTAGGAGTAAGAGGTGATATTGTCGGCGGCTGTTCCGTCGAGGTTACGGGCGGGGCTATCCACGGGGCAGGACATGCGCGAGACTATCCATGTGGGCTGGTGCGCATATCGATTAAATTGCGTGATCCTGACCTCGTCGACCCTGTCGCCCTTGTTCATGTCCTTGGGCCGTGGTGACCAGGAATTTTTCGGTGAAGCATTTCCAAGAGCCTTCGGCAGAGCGTTATCCACGGCACGAACCACCAAACGCTGAAGGTCGTCGTGTGGAACAACGACTCGAGGTTCATCATGGACGTTAAAGGCCAGATCCATATCAGGCAAGAATTTCACAAATGGCTCTAGCATATTCTGCAGCGCATTTCGCTTCCACGTTTCACCCTCATCCCCACCCGTTATTTTTGAAACCTTGCCGTCGCGGATCAAGATGGCGATAACACCGTTATCAAAACCAATCACCTCCATCGCTCTCGCTCGAATTAATTTGGGCTGCAGTCCCCAAAACGGTAGAAGAGAATGATAGATCGTATCGAACTCGTCAATCAGCTGCACGTCCCTTTTTTGTGCAAAGTCGAACCACACGTCGAAGTTCGGTGGGGGAGGCATCTTATAGCGGCGGCGGTATTCCTCCACTGCATCCTTGAGCGTCTTCGATTGCCGCGCACGAACATCGTCGAATTTTCTATTCGCATCATCGAACAGCTCGGCGATTGGATGGGATGGCCCTGTGAAGTCATCCGCGGTAATAGGACGTTCGTGAGGGCTATTTTGCTGTTGCTGGTGCTGGTGCGGCTGCGGCCGCTCCTGCTGCTTGGCAGGTTCGAAACGGTTGTTTGTTAAGATCTTCCCCTTGTTTCCACTTTTCACAGCTGCAGCTGGATGCCCCAGGAGCGACAATGAAAGCCCTACGAGGCAGACAATCGCCAGAAGGACGACTAGCCGTTGCGTTCGCATCCCGGTGCGGACATGCATAACGCAGAAGGCAGCAGCATTCAGTTGGATAGCAATGGCATTTTTGAGAAGGCAGGCCGGTGGGCAGAGAATGACGGGTGATGCCGCCTGTGAACGGGAGCGCGCGAGAGGACTGATTCCAAGATTAATGCTAGCTTGCGCGACGAAGAGATGATACTTTTTTCTGCCTTTTTTTCGCGGAGGTGCCAGAGGAGAAGAGGAAGAATTTCGGAAGCAGTCGAAGGCCCCGTTCAGCGGTAAAACGGCGCTGGGATTCCCCCAAAGTAGTAAGTGGCAGCCTGGCGTGCAGAAGGGTGACGAATGCACAGGATGACACACGTGCCCAGGATCTTGGCGCAGGCCTAACCGTGATTGGCTTGGGCTCAATGTCCAGCCACTGCGTCATTGCATTCAAGTTATCTTTTGGATGAGAATGACGAGGGCTCTTAGTCAACTCAAATCCTCGATAAATCAAATCTAGAAGCAAGCAAGCCGCGAGGAATAGAAGTTTGGACAGCGATAACATAGATATGCATTGGCTGCGGTAACATCTACTAGGAAGGCCTAGTCAAACATAACATTTAGAAAATCACACACTAAATACTCCGTGCTAAGATAACGCTAGATTTTTCAAATCAAGAACTCCAGTGTCAGGTATCAAGTTTGAAACCCCCCTGTGATGCCAAGATATCACTAACACAAACCCAGTTATGTCAGAATGCTGCTTTTACTCTACAATTTTCCTCCTTTTCCAGATTCAGAACAATAGATAGGGCATACAGTTGAACGTGGTTTATTAAAACATGAACGTGGTTAATTTTTCGGACTGGAACAACTTTCGGCGTGGTTAATGTGTCCATCAATACTGTGGTTAAAATGTTGAACATGGTTTTTTAAAGAACATGCAATTTTAAACCATGAAGTGACCAGGAGAATGTTGGAATGGCCTAATAGAGGTGCCAATCTAGGTACCAACGTTGTTCAACTTTGGTGTCAACTTATGATTTTCAAGAACAGGAACGCTACCCGCTGCTTGACATTTACGCCGTAGGCTCGGACGACACTCATCAAGTATAACCCTGGAAACCCCACTTTGCATCCTTGTCTACATATGTTAGTTTCTTATTGGAAGTCTGCAATGCTGATTGAATACATGTATTATTAATGTCTCATATTCAAACTGTATGAGGGGAGTTGGCTCTGACTCTATACAACTTTATGGCGGACCACTTAAACACTAACAAAAAGGGAGAGGAGGAATTACAACGGCTCCAATAATGATAACAATAATGAATGTTCACGTGTTAGGAATGCATCTAAACTTGGAGGGTTGCGAGACCATGTAGCTCGACTAGCTCGACGCATGTGTGGAAAAGCGCTGTCTGTTGAAGAACGAGGAATAAAAATGAGGGCGCTAACCCAACCCGAAACCCTAAATCCAAAACCCCAGACTCCAGACTCCACCCTGCAAGAACGGTTTCTTCAAACAGGTGCTCCAGAGATTCACCAGCATATGGTCCTCCATTTTATCCCTTTAGAACGGATATTTAGGACGGAAAGGAGCATCCGATTCTTTTCACAAATGCTAAAATCATAGTTTGTGCCCTTTCCTGGAGAAGAGCACGGATTGCTTGACGTGGCGCGACTTGCCCGTCTTCTCGTCAAAGAGGGAAAACCCGTAATGAGCAGCGTTTGGTGGCGTGTAGACTGTTCCCCGGTTAGGATTGGTCCAAAATAATTGAATCAGTAAATTTAAATGCACGAACAAGGATATTGCCCCGTTCGGCAGGCACTTACGATGCAGAGAAATGGCAAAATTTGTCGGATCGGGATTGGAGATTTTATGCAAGCCCAGCTTTTTAGTTTGTCAGTTAACATTCTTCCAGAAAGCTCTAAAAATAGGATCAAGGAGCTTTTATTTGTTTTCTTTTTTTTTTTTCCCCTAACCTTGTCTGACATGTATGTGACTTGGCCTTCTTTATACACCTTGTCCCTGGTGACAGTCAAGGGCGATGGCTCCCCCTTCTGTACCTTGTCCGACTCTGGCCACCCATATAACGTCTCTCGGAGAGAACCTTTCAGCACCTGTGACGTAAGTAATATTAGTAGACAAATTCCCACTGTAACTATCGAAATCAAAAGGAAACGGGGATCCTCTGCTGATACTAACCTTCATAACACAGTGGGCGTTGGCGTGGTCATGAATAGCGCTTCCCTTTCCAGGGCTCCAGACCAGGATAAGCTATTCACACCAGTCAGCACGCTCATAACACAGAGACCCCGTGAACATCAATTCATCTCAAATCATCAATCCATCCTAACCGATGGTCGACTCCCACCATGGAGACTCACCAGATTACATTTGCCATTGCCCTCATCAACCAGGTTCCTCGTATACGCTCTGCCAGCGTCACCAAAGGCATACCGTTCCCATTCGCTCTCGTTAGAAGTATAGTCCTCCATAAGCTTCTGGATATCCATCGGATCGACGTCGTCCGAGTCTAGGCCTGAACTGGGACCAAGGACCTTATTGATATCTTGTACCAAGCAGTGGAAGGCATCGAGCGGGGTGGGGTCCGGAGAGGACTCGCTGTTCTCGAGATATGGCATTGTGTTGGAATGTTCGTACTTGTTGAGCCGGGGGCTGAATGCAGGGACGAGGAAAAGGGGATTCCGGGGGGATTTTGTGGGGATGATCTGGTGATGATGTGGGGACTATGGGGTTGGGTGTTGGGTATAAATGAATGTAACAATGAGACTAAGACAACGGAAGAATGCGTTGGCGGGTGTGGCGGAGGCGACAGAGGAGCAAGCGGGTGGAAATAATCTTATCAGATGAGCGGATTCAACAGGCAAGAGCCTAGATGGAGTCCAACGGTCCAGGGGGGGAAGTGTTGCTACGACGCTGAAACAATAACGAGCTGCAAGACCTTGCCATGATAATAAACGGACACGTTGGCTACTACTCCACTGCGATTTCCGCGTGAGTCGAAATTTCCGCGATACTGTTTCGGTCCATGGGAATCCCAAGCCCGAGACTACACGTCGGCTGACCCCTCGGGTGACTCACCTGACCTACGCTAGTGCTAGTCACCTGACCCAAATAATTTCTTGGCACAAAATGGGTCAGTTGAGGATAAAACAAAAATGAACTTTTACCTTCTCATACATCTATAATACACACAGTGAAAATGAATATTATAATTCTTTTTTTGAATAATAGAAATTGATTAAATCTTGAATATTATTAAATTGAGAAGTATATATAAACTATGAATGAAAATATAGTATATAAAACTAGTTCTTTACTATTATTTAATCAGTTACTGACTAGTAAGTTACTAGTTAGTTATAAACTCATTATTAACTATTAATATTGCACTAGTGAATTACTGATATATTACTAGTCAGATACTAGTCAATATAAATTTAATATACAGAGTATAGTTATTTAAATTATTTAATATATTAAATTACTACTCTATAATTAATCAATGACTAGTCACTGACTAATCAATACTTTTTTTAATTTATTTATTATTACATAATTCTTAGAGACTTTACTTCACTCTGTGAGTCTGTCTTATATAAAATTGAGTGATTAGTAGTGGACTAGTATTGATGATGGGGGTGCTAGCAGAGGCTCAGGGCAGTTGGTAAGAGCTTGTAAGAGATCAAGTTGGTAAGGAGCTCAACTGACCCTTTGACTAGTCACCATTTCTATAGGGTCAGGTGACCTACACTAGCGTAGGTCAGGTCAGTCACCCGAGGGGTCAGCCGACGTGTAACCTGCCCAAGCCCCAACCAACGGCTCGCTGTGCCTGGTTTTGTGCTTATCGGCCGAATTTCCGCATTTTCAACCACGTTGACCCGGCACTAAGCGAATTCCGGAACTATTCGGGCCGGGAATCACCTGATTTTTTCGGAACTGCATTGCCAAGGCTTGACTAATAGATGACTAAGTCCGATTCTGGACTCAAATCTCAGATTGACTTCGAACTTTAAGCGCGATCATAGAGATAGAGCTACTACATTCCTTCATCGGCTTCCCGGTCCCTCAATATATATGTATATATTTCAACAACGCTTTGCTTTCTAAAAAGATAAAAGTCACAATTCCGCAGTTCCGCAATCATGGCGACGACTGTGGACAAGGTCCGTTTCCCTCTCCTCCTCCTCCATCTTATCGGGAATTTGCCGACTGACACATGATGGCGCCCATTTAGATCAAGGAGATCGAGGCCGAAGTAAGCCTTTCTACTAGCAACCATTCGGAACCTGGGGTCATTCCCTTCCCCGAGACTAACCACCCTACAGATGGCTCGGACTCAAAAGAACAAGAACACGTCATTTCATTTAGGTGCGTTTTGCGCATGGACATTGTGCGCGGAAGCGGGGTAGACTGTGGAGCTTCGCCGGAGCTGATGGACCTGTCGAGCAATATCTGATTTCTTTTTTTTTTTTTTAGGACAACTGAAAGCTAAGCTCGCGAAGCTAAAGAGAGAGCTGCTTACTCCTTCCTCGAGCGGCGGAGGGGGCGGAAGTAAGTTTTGTTTCCTTCTCTTGCTTTCCTATCTGGTTGTTTATCATTTCGTCATTGTGGATGAGTGTTAGCTGACGGTGATTTTTTTTTCTTTTGTTTTTTCCCGCCGCTATTAGGTGGTTTCGATGTTGCGCGTACTGGGGTTGCAAGTGTGTATGTCTCGGTTCCCATTTAACGATGCTGACATTATTTTCTTTAACTGACTTCACTTTTTCGTGTGCTTTAAAGGGGGTTTATCGGTTTCCCATCCGTCGGGAAGAGCACTTTGATGAGCAAAATAACAGGACAGCATTCTGAGGGTACGCCAACGACTAATATGCCTGTTTATTTGCTGCAGCAAGGTCCTAACGGAATTTCCTGTTGCAGCTGCCGCTTACGAATTCACTACCTTAACGACTGTTCCCGGCCAGGTGATATACAATGGTGCGAAAATCCAAATTCTCGATCTTCCTGGCATCATTCAGGGTGCCAAAGATGGCAAAGGTCGGGGTCGGCAGGTTATTGCCGTTGCCAAAACCTGCCATCTCATTTTCATCGTTTTGGACGTGAATAAACCCTTGACGGATAAAAAAATTATCGAGGCAGAATTGGAAGGCTTTGGGATTAGGATTAACAAGTCACCTCCAAACATCGTATTTAAGAAAAAGGACAAGGGCGGGATTTCTATCACCAGTACCGTTCCTTTAACACATATTGATCATGACGTAAGTTTGGCTGATCCATCTTGCGGGAGCTTTTTGCTTATGCTTGTGGTTTTATTAGGAAATCAAAGCTGTGATGGGCGAATATCGGATTTCGTCTGCTGACATTGCCATTCGGTGCGATGCTACAATTGATGACCTCATCGATGTGTTGGAAGCGAAGAGCCGGAGTTATATCCCCGTAATCTACGCATTGAACAAGATAGATGCCATATCCATTGAGGAATTGGACCTCTTGTACCGAATTCCAAACGCGTGCCCGATCAGCTCTGAACATGGTTGGAACATTGATGAGCTACTCGAATTAATGTGGGAGAAACTCGATCTCAGGAGAGTCTATACAAAACCAAAGGGGAAAAGTCCAGATTATTCCTCCCCTGTTGTTCTGCGGAGAACTGCCTGTACCGTTGAAGATTTTGTAAGTTTAAACTTAAAATTTCAACCTTCGACATCATTGGGAGACGCGAAGCTAGCTAACCTGTTTATTTCCGCTACAGTGTAACTCCATTCACAAAACCATCGTGGATCAATTCAAACATGCGATCGTTTACGGCCGTTCGGTCAAACATCAACCTCAAAGAGTGGGACTCAGTCATGAACTTGCGGACGAAGACATCAGTATGCAACAACTCCGTTCCAATTTATATCCCTTATGTGCCGTGTCTTTTACGATAACTGAACCCATTGCTTACAAAAAATCCGTTTGTGCAGTTACAATTATCAAGCGATAGAGATATCAACCAAGATAAAAACGCCCGCTGAAAAAATTATATATATATATAAAATAGAAATTACCCTAGCTATGGAACTAATGAACAGCACCATTTTCCAACCAGGGAGTACCGATGTTAGACAGATGAAACGCAAACGAGCCAATGGCTGTCGGTCCCTTTTGATTAAGCTTCGATGTGTGAATCAGGAGACATCCCAATTGCACAGAAGCTTGGACAATGGTAATGGTTACCCATCATTCCGCCTCCGCATCCACTTCACCAAACAAACAATGGGAACCATAGGGTCGGTCAATGGAAATGATGAGGAATTGGGCAAAAGTTATTTTTTTTTCATGGGGAAATTTCCCCATCCTTTTTCTCACTTTTGAGTTTCATTCTTATATTAGATTTTCGATTTTAGACTTTATACCCAAATGGATATCTATGTGCAATTTCTATACATGACATGGTTGTTGGTCGGGACTATCATCGAGAATGTGTACCGTTTTCCGACTTGTTCAGAATTTTTTACATTTTATCTTTTTTTATTTTTTTATTCTTTTTCAATAACGACATCCATACACTTTTTTTGGTGGGGAGTGCGTGTTAAAGAAAAGAAAATTAAAAAATGGAAATATGTAACAGGTAGTTCAGGGTGTATCAGGTAGGGTTTTTACACATATTGTCTCTTTCCTTGGATATATATGCAAGTAAATGGCGGAGTATAGAGTGTATGTATGTACTGGGTGTACCCTATAACGGAGTCCACTTCGTAGCAATACGTTTATCCTCAGCGTACGGTACACACTTTACAGTATACGTATATATTCAATCTGCGAACCGTGTCTATCTATGTAAGTACCCATTTTCACCTTGTGTTTGTCATGCAAGGGTGCAAAAGGGTTCTTTCTTGTTCATGCGCGTTATCTACTTCCCTCTCCCACTCTCACTTTTTCCATCCCCGGTTTCAGATGGGCAAGTTTTTTATCAGTCGCAACGTTCCGTAAACGTCCGAGAAGCATGGACACCTCGAGGAGAAGAAACCGAACCCCTCAGGCCGGCCATCAGCGGAAACTTGCCGAAAAAAAGAAAAAAGGGGGGAGGCAAACAGGGGAAAAGCTGGGAACGATGACCGAAAAAAGATTCGTCATAAATATAAAAAACATCAAAAGCTACGCATCTTTTTCTTTTTTCTACAAGAATGTACTGTCATACTGCAATATATCACTTTTTTCTGTGTGTGTTTTTTTTTTTTTTTTTGTAGAATTTTGAGAATTCGACGAGCTGTTTTAAATATATCATGCCGAGATGGCTATCTCGATACTTCACCATTTTCCAAGGTTCATTTTTTCCGATTGAAATGGAGGTATACATTTTCGGAATTGTATAGATAACTAAGTCCTTTACTTATTTGCCCCTGCTTAAAAGTGAAGTCATATTTCTTGAACCTTCCATTTCCATTTCTCTCTGTATCTCTGTATTTTTATCCGATAGTCGCCCTTCCCAGATTTTATGATTATTTATTATTTATTGCTTTTTAGGAAAACGGCTGACCTGAACTGCATGCACGAAGCCGCCTACAAAAAACCCCTTGCTTAACCCTCAAGCCGGCTAGTTACCAGTCCCACTTCAGTCCATCGGACGTGGGATTCCAATCTGTGGCTTCTCGTTTTCCATCTCAGTCCTGCTCGTTTCTGTGAACTGCAATGCCATCCGGACATTCTCGGTTTTTGAAAAAGGGGGGATAGATGGATGGGTGGGTGGAAAAGAGAGAGAAAGAAGAAAAAGAAATGAAGAAAAGAATATGCCACCCAGCCTTATCGATCGGGCATGTCATGTTTGCTCCTTTCCTTTCTTCCAAAGGCCGATGGTCACCCTTGCGTCGGGTATCGGTACAGAGACATCCCTCTCTCCCTCTCCTTCTCTCTGTTTCTCTTTTCTTGCTCCACTCTTCGACACAGTTGAAGGCGGATGGAGTGGTGAATGTGGATCGTACTAAGCTGAGCATCTGAAGAAATACCCATTCTCCATGCGTATTCGCCCATTTCCATGTACACTGTGTTTCATTTCATTTTCATTTCTCATCCATCTGTTGAGTTCCCGATTCCTTCCTTCGAATGATCAGCACCACCTCAAAATTGTGTTGCCAACTTTTCGTATTCTGGGGCAAACGCGCGGGATGTGGTCTTCATCTCAAGAAAAAAAGGGGGTGGGATGAGATAAGAGAAATCGGGAGATGAACGGTCTGGGTTGTTGAGAAACTCATTCCGCTTACTCTTCGATTTTGTTTGATTTCCGTTTTCGCTGGTTTTCGGAGGGTCGCTGCTTTGCCATCACTGAGAGAACATATATATTCTCCTTTCTATCTCTACTCCCCTTGGCAGAGTATATCTTGTACGGGACCAGAGGGCCTCATGGTTCTGCAAACACCAATCTCCGTGATGGGCGAGGCCGGGGTTGAAGGGATTTTAAACCATTTTGCCAGAATAACAACAAGTCGAAGTGATAATCTGATCTGTTCCCTGAACATCGAGATTTGTGTATCCAAGTCCTTCCGATCAGAAATTGAAATAAAAAGTTTTTATGTCAAAGCTGGTCTCAATTTGCGAGCAGCTGATGTTGTCCATTCGCAGGTGCTTGGGGCCGGCTGACTGGATTCTCAGCACACTATGCCCAGCCATACAAAGATGGTCCGAACCACTCGTGCAAGGCTTCCAATTCCCCAGCCAACATGGGTTATGGGATACGTACGATATTGGTGATTGTTGGAATCGGCAGTTTGCGCCTGTTTGTCACCCATTGTGGTTTCTAGAATATTCATTGAGCAGGATCATACGTGGGAATGTACGCACGTATATTAAAAACCGAGAACATCCCCTTATCATTTGATGTATTTTGCATACCTATGTAGATGCTCAACCGCCATGTGCAGTTGCGTCCTATATAAAACGACGCAATGGTTTCGCCTATTGGCGGCTGAGTTGTGAATGTATAGCTAGGTCTGACGATGAGCGTACCGTTGAGAAGCATGGGGAATTCATTTTCTTCCGTATATATAATAAACCTTGAACCACCCTTTCTATACGCGGGTTTTGCATTTAATTCTCACCGAAACTCCCCGCGACTTTTTTTTTTTTTTTTTTTTTTTGTCGGGGTCAAGATACCCCTGAGCTACTGTTCATTTGTCGTTCCCACAAATGATACGTAAAAAGCCTTTAAAAAAAGTTTGTCTACGTCACGCATAGATTTCGACGGTTTCTTATCAAAACTATGTTATTGGAAATCAATCAGAGAAGCTTAACCAAAATTCTCGGCTCGGTTGAAGCCAAGAATATTGATAAGGGGTTTTCTTTATACCTTCTTCTGCCCAGAGACCAAGACGGGAAATGAGAAGTCGAATAAACGATGGAATTTAACGAGGAACGCAGAGCAGGAACCAGAAGTATTTCCACCTCATCCAAGGATGAGTTCATACTCAAAGTAAACAATCCGGCCTCGGCCTACATCGATTGATACTTTGATAGTTCCTCCGTTCCGTTTTATTTCCCGCTTGTTAGCGCATTTCTCAGATCAGTTTAGCTAGGCGGAGAAAGGGCTGATGGCCCGGCTGCCGGTTGGACGAAATAGTTTGGTTCTCCGCCAGTTTCACCAGCTATCACCACAACGACAAAGGGCAGAAAAAAAGAAAAACAAGAAAAAAAGAAAAACAAGAAAAAAAAGAAAAAGGAACTAAGTTCGCAAGGAGCGGAAGGGACCAGCTTCAATTTTTACCCCCTTCGCTTCCGAAAATGGCGCGAACCGTGGTCGATCTCTTACAAAAGGAACCTAACTTACGCGGTCCATGGCGAGAAGGAAAGATCAGCAAGGAAGAATTAAGGTCAACCTTGATGGATTCAGTCAGAACCCGTCCCTGAATTTCATTGGCGAATTCCTCGCGGCCGTTGTAGTGGCCTGTATATGAAATCATGGATGGTGGTTGTAGTCTGTTGTTGTAAATGCACGAAGCTCCACCGACAAACAGAATTCGTTTTGGCGCCAATGAACAAGCAACCTCTTTATAACTGAGAAGTGCGTGTATCTCGGAACAAATGTAGCCTCGTAAGTTTCCGTCTTGGCATTAATAATAAAATAGGCATAAGGACCTTGAAATTCGCGTCGTCCTGGGAGGTGAGAGCCCTAACCTTTGAGATTGTTAGTCCAGACCTGGGGCTATGAGAGCGACAAGGTAGGGACGGATGAACTTACAAAATGCAGGGGTTTGATAACGTCTTTCGCGGCTGGGTCTACGTTGGATGAGAATTGAACAAAGAAATAAACCGGAAGAATGGGGAAATGAGAATGGTTGCAATATGGTCTTTACAATCCATGTGTTTTTCGAGCTTTCTTCTGGTTCCTATTTTCCATTCAGTCTATTCTGTGTTGCTGATTCGGCACACTCTGTATCGCTCAATTAGTTTACCTGCAACGATCTTGCCCGGAACAGAGCACGGGCAGACGATCTCTGTGCATCGCTGCAAGATCAAACCACGTGAGACAATGCTCCAACCTCCAAAAGCTCGAATAATCTCTGGTCTGGTCTCGGAGCTCGCACCCTCCAGAGTTAAGCCCCTCGGAGATGCCTGGTTCTTGGAGGCGCACGCAGGCTGCCGATAAGCCCAGTGGATGAGAGCATAATTTGTTATCGATGCCTCTAGATGTTTGCTATGGCATACGCAGCGTACGGCGTAGAGATTGTCATAAATATCTCTAAGCGTCTTGATATGAAAGCCTCTGATCTCTGAATGCCCGTTATCACCGCAAATCATTACTGCGTATATGGACGTTTTGGGGCATTGTTGTCACAGATAGAGGTCTTCAGATATTTGAATCAAGGTTAGCGTATTTTCTGAAGCAAATGCCGAGAAGCATGAGAGATGCTGTTATCAGCGAGTAATTAGTTAACTATCTTTGTATGCAAGATCGTGTAAACTCTATGCCATGCCTTGAATTTAGCAGCGGCGTAATTAACCAGGGAGGTAGTGATCAATTCCTGGAGAATACACTTCACAATGGCCTAAAAGCTCAAACATGGCAAGGTACCCAGAGTAAACGTGACATCGGCTTGAGGAGGCATGAAAACGTGCCCGTATTTTGTCTGTAAAAGGTTAGCAATTGGACAGGGAGGACCGGCTTGCGCCAGCATGATCTTGCCCGGATATGGTCCACCCTTCCTTGGGCCAAGGAGTGTCTAGTGGCCTGGGATGACAGCGCTGATCGGGAATCATGATTGCTGGTGTGATGAGTTGACAGATCATTTTTGTCTAGCTCTTGAGCTTGAGTTAGTTTTCAGTTCTAGGGCCGCCCGCTGCGAGCGGAGCTTGGACCGTTGATCAGGCCTAACTCAACTTCTCAGGTGTGCAATTTACTAAGAATATTGATGAATAGAAAAATTTTTTTCCAACCACGCTAGGTTCATGCTGCAACCCAGTGAGCTATGATGCTTATATTCATGGGTATAGAGGTTTAACAGTGAGGTTCACTTATCCCGTGTCTCTTCTTTATTCTGGATGTCTAGGATGCACCTGCTATTGACGGAGCTGAAAAGGATGATTTTCATCCGGGAGCCCCAGCTCATCTTGGCGTCCAAAGCACATCGTGAATGGCCTTTTGGCGTGGCTACTAGTACATACCCGTGGACCCTGTTGACTACGGGGATCAAAAATGATATCATCAAATAGGGACGGGGATAGAGGGATGGTATGAACAAGTTAACTCGTTAGCTGACTAGTTAGGTTCATATGGGGTTTATGTAATTGAAATTGTGAATGAGATGTTACTACAACATTCCTCCACTGCACTTGATCCGCGGTTCCATCCCCATCCAGATCCCTACAGATAGACGCCCAGTTCATTTAACCGCAAATTTGAAGGGACAAAGGTCCAACAGTTGCTGTAAGCAAAACACTGGATTTTAATGGTCTTACGAAAGAGTCTGATTTTGACACTACTATAGCAATAAACCCATTTTGAGAACTGCGGAGATGATGGGAGATCTTAATTGAAACCACAAGAGACCTGTACATAGCCTTGTCTTACTTATATGGTAACAAAGCAGCGCCAGGGGGAACGAACCATCCAATCCAATGCCTCCAACATTAACTTGAGAGCTAGAAGTGTGAGCAGTGCCCCCCACATGATGAAAGTCAAAAAACATATCGAACTCTTGCGCTGAACTGTTCCATAGGCTCCAGAAATGATATTGGATTAACAGCTAGAGGTGCTGAGTAGCAAAGATATAAATGAAAAATCTCTACGCCAGAGCTCAAAATAGTACCAACGGTAGAAATGATAGGACTTGACACTTGACTCTAGCTAGCTAGGTTCAAAAGGTTTTCGTTCCACGCCCATACATTTCCTCCAAAATTCCCTGTTTAAAAATGTTCTTCTCCTGGGACAGGAAATCCCGATGCCCACAGCTCATATGCGATCAAAAGAGGTGGGGAAAATAACACCGTATCAAGGAACGGACACCACTGAAATAGCCGTTGACATGGATTCCTTGGATTGACATCGACTCGACGATGGAAGTAAGGCCGCTTGGCATTAGTACGGAGTTTGTATTGTATCTGTCGGTCTGGTAACGTATTATATTGTTCTGTAACGGAACATGTGCTTGCTTTTTCTTACGTTGCTGATTGTTACTAGGTTGGAAGAATTGTTTGCTTGAACACTGGCATGCATCAATGGCCAACAAGTTTGAAAACCCCAGAGTCAAATATCGTGGAATTCCAGCCAATCAGCAAAATTATACAAAATGGAAAGCCTCACATCAACAGCGAGATGTGTCAGTCATCAAAAGAAAATTTTGAACCTCAACAACATAAACATTGTATTCCGTACACTGTGTATGTGTACTGTGCACTGTCCACTGTGCAATACATACAACCTTCGAAAAAGGATGGGAAATCTATTTGCCGGTGACTTTTTCGGCCCAGCGACCTTCTCCGCTTTTTTCTCAAGCGAATGCCATTTCGACTAGTGTTAGGAGACAACCACCAGAACGAGCTCCAGCCAACAGCGGGGATGATGCTGTTTCGTGCTGTGTAGTGGAGTTCCAGAAGTGCGATATGCCTTTCTCGAATCATGTCAATTTGAAAGCCCTTTTGTCCTAGGGAGTTTTCTAGTCTCGTGGACTAGATGTTCAGGGAAAAGCAGAAGCCCGAACTCTTCTTCCCGCTTATATCTATGGCAGTCTCCATTTGGCTGATAGCTCGTCCAGATACGGGCAGATGATTTCTCTAAGCTCATCTGATCTCACAGCGCGAAAACTTCTATGTCCAATGGGTATGGGTAGATCCAATCTCACCCGTAATCCGGCCGCAGTGCAACACTATCCTGGGGATCTACCATTTGAGCTCCAAAAGAAGGACCAATATTCATGATGATTTGAAACTCCACAGGCAGTTGGTCTGAGAGGATCTTGCACGAGTCAAAAATCACCAAAGTTATTCCATGCATCCCACTTTCCCACCGTTGCCGATGTTTCCACACCAAGATCGCTCATGCGCCGCCTGGCTCCCTTTTTCCCTGCCTTGGCATATCTCCACAACCGAAGCCTTCCCCTCACCAGCCTTTCAGGCATTATTTTGCACTAAACGGGGTCTTCTGTTGAAGGCTGTTCTGGATACCCTCCAGTTCTTCATGATTCAGGATATCCTCAGGTAAACCCCCTCTTTCACCCCGCCCATCAGGATAATTCCTATATTTTTTTAATGGGTTCGTCTGTGGCTGGGCTGAAATATATGGAAGTACCCATGCATACCGTATATTACCCAGTAACAATGTGAGTGGGAACAACTCGACACAGAAACTCAGCAAGGCCTATCCTTGGGTTTCGACTCTGATTTATCCAAGGATTTCGAAGAATGACAGGACTGCGCCGCACCAAGATGGCCAATCCGACAACCAGTTTTGATTTTTCAAGTCCACTTAATTTTGTTTTAAAACCATACTTACGGAGTAAAGCCTTTGGGTAAAGGCCAAGCGCAATTACAGTAAACACATGGTGGTCCTGATACGAGTACCTTCCAACCAGAATGCCGATACCGCCCGTCCAATATTTTGATTCACCAATAAAGTTGACATCGCTTTCTTTTTTGTGTATTGGTTTTCATTTTCTCTGAACGGTGTCAGTATGAGGACTGTAATTCTTTGCCGTCTTTCGTGACTTCTCCAATTTTCAGCCTGTAAAGCGAATGCCCAATGGGATGGATGCGTTGACCGTCAGGCCATGGGAGGCCCGTGGATTGGCTTCGACCCCCTTGCATTCTGTTATTTTCTGTCCTCGTCGCTCTGAGCCCAATACCCAGAGATCCCAGAGACCTCCGTATCCAAAGCCGTTTTGGACTCTCTGGCGGCCCTCTATTGTTTTTTATTTCGGCTCCAACCTTCTTTCTTTGCTTGATAACTACTATTCGTACTCTCCTGACATTTTTTTTCCTTTTTCCGTTATTTTTTTCTTTTTCTTCTTTTTTCCTTTCCTTTCTTTTCTTTCTTTCTTTTTTTTTCTTACAAAAATACCAATCAGTCATAGCTGATCTGTTCCTGACAAGGGTACTTTCGCACCTTGTCACTTTACGCTGTACTCTGGTTCTTTCCTCGAGATTATTATAATTTATAAACAACGGCCTCTGCGGCCCCTCACTGACCTCCCATCTCCGATCAACCAAGTTCGACAAGGTGTAGGCTTGTTTGGCCTGGTACCTGGAATCCGAGCCTCCCATTTGAATTGACCTGTTCCCTACTTGGCCTTGTTCATTTTTCATTTTGCTTTTTGGCCTACTGTCTTTCTTACTTACTGCCATTTATTATCATGCATCAGATTTTCCCTTATCTATAGCTGCAAGATCCGCCCAACTTGCGCTTTGGCTTCATTGGACTTAGCTTTTACTAACTTTTACTCTCCCACCTCTCCTTGGCACATTTTGCTCATCTCCAGCCCACTCCTTACAAACTCGACAGGTTAAGAGACGCAAAGCTAATAGAAAGAAAAGGGCACCTTGGTCCTCTTCGAGTTACTTGTAGAAGGGTAAGAGCAAGAAAAGGGGGAAACATGGACACTGAAACTCAACCGCAAGAACATGATTTCGGCGCGCCTCAATGGGCTGAGATAGGAGGTGGATATGGTCCTTCTCAACATCAATCGCCAATAAACGAGTTCAATGGCTTTACCTATGGCTCTTCACCGGTCATGCCAGTAGAGCCCTCTTATAGCATGTCCATTCCGCAACCGTATACATCGCAGCAATTGCTGCCTCTGTCGACTCCATCGCAATGGCCTAGCATGTTGACCACCCAGTCGACCTTCCCGCCAGTTCCTCTCCCGCCAATGCCGATTTCCTCTATGCCTAATTTACATCCCATCCATACAGCACCAATAACCACCACAGCTCCTACACCGCGACGGACTCTAACGGACAATGATCGACGCCGGATGTGTATGTATCACGAGGAAAACCCACATGTAAAACAAACAGAGATTGGAGGTAAGGGATACTTTCCCATGTGCTGAGGTAATTTTTCTAGAACCTGCCATGCTGACTTTCTAATCCGGATAGCTATGTTCGGGGTGGAACGAAGGTACAGATCGCAAACCGCAATTGGCCTAGAAGTCTTTTCCCATGCTTTCTGCTAACTTTTTTTTTTTTTTTTTTTTTTTTTTTCCAGCACCGTTTCCAAGGTTCTACGGCAAAAGGAAAAATATCTCTACCCGGACGATGGCAGCCGTTCACCAATAAAGAAGTCGAAAGGAAAATTCCCGGACATTGAACGGGCTCTGTCGAACTGGGTTAGGAATCATCAGCGCCAGGGTGGTCAGTTAAATGATGAGATGATCAAAGAGAAGGCTATTTTCTTTGCGAGCACTGTTGGTGGCCCTGAAAACCACCAAAAGATACTAAACTCCAATTGGCTGGAGAAATTCAAGCAGAAGAACTATTTACGAAGCTCTCAGTCGCGGAAGGGTTCAATTGATGCAGTTAATGAACTGGACAGTCCTGGAAATGGACAATCCAACGCATCTTTGTCGAGCCAAACACTTTCTCCTCTATCGCCAACCGGAACAACAACTCCTTCGCCTCTGTCCCCAAAACAGAAATCATCCATAAAGGAGAGCCTTGATGGTGCCTTGCCGGGGTATAGCTCTGAATTCCGGCAGCTCTCCCACTCGCAAAGTGCCAATTCAGCGGACAGAAAACTCTCGCTTCCGACCAGCACAGCCAGTCCTACCCCTATTGTCTTTTCGGAGAACCCTTTCAGTCCTGGAAATCAATCACGTGTCCAGCAAGATTCGGGCAGCAATTCCAGTCGTCCAAGAAGCCAGACATTCCCAATTGCCGTAACAGAACCTGTTGTCAACGGATCGTCGGATCATGTGTCACCTAAAAATGTCTTTCAGCCGTCCACGTCTCCAGATGTTGCCGATGAAGACCATGGGAATGCTCGCCCATCATCAAATGAATCCATAATCAAAAGGAACCGCAGCAATCCAGAGATCAAAACAAATTCCATGCAACCCCCACCCCCACCGCAGCCCACTACTGCCTCCCCCATATCGTCTCCTGGCTCTCCTACTCACGATGAGGCACGCCGTGCTCTGGAGCTTGTTGTGACATATTTCAACAGCCAGCCGACTGGTCTGGGAGCACAGGACTATGTCGCCATCGGAAAGTTGATGCAAAAGCTCGAGTTGCCTCAAAATCAAGCTGCTGGACTATCTGGACTGCATCGCATTGATGAAAATGCGGACGGTCACCGAGTGAGCAAGAAGAGAAGCATTCACACGTTATGACTCGAAGAGGAGGCTAAACTATTTTTCTCCTCAGTGGTATTATCAAGTTACAACGGAAGGAAGAAGCCGCCACCGGCATTTCTAATATTTCATTTTGCATTCAGCTATTTTCAAATTACACATTGGATTTGTTTTATTGTTTATGCGGCATATCGCTCGAATGAAGAAATCAAATATCAAAGAGAAACCTTGACGCAAGGGTATTGCGCAAACAACTATACGCTGAAACTCGTCAACAAATTTACTTTTCGCCGGCCACAGCGGTCGGCCCTGTGTCGCTCTCGACACCCGAAATTTTCTCTTTGAAATATAACGAAAGAGATCATGATACGTTGAAACCAGCTAGGTATCGGGTATCACAGTCCTGGGCCGGGAGGGGATACATATCCGCATGACGGCAAAGCCACGATAACGATAATTCATTGTCCAATGCAATTCTAGGACCGGCTAGACGCTGGCTTCTCCTTTTCTTGGCGCCTCCAAACGCAGGATGGGTTCGAGCGACCGGCAATGTAGGGTCCAGCTCATCGTCAGCAATTCCCGTCGCCAGTCGCCAGATATCGTATACCCTTTTTCCCCTTCTTCTGTTTTCCTTTTCCTTTTCCTTTTTTTATTATTTTATTTCATGGTTATTCGTTTTATTTTAATTTACCTTTCTTGGTCCAATCCACCACTCGGCTTCTGTCAGGCCAATTTCCCACCATTCCGCTTTTTTTTTTTTTTTTTTTTTTGCTTTTTCTTTCCCTTGGTGCTTGCCATATGTGTTTCATCAACGCAGTTTTCATCGGAATCGCACTGTCGTCGGTTTATCGCCCAAGAAAGGATCCACACGGAACAAAAAACACAAACAACTAGCCTTGGAAGAGGCAATTGTAGGTTTCAAACTTGCGCCCCAAGGCATTATTATCCCTTGCTTGATTTATTTACCCCTGAGTTTACTTCTCTCCCCTTATTGGATTTACTTCCCCTTTCGCTTTTCCGACGGGGTTGGAATCCCCGTTTTCTTTTTTGTTTCTTTTTTTAAATATGCACGTCCCATTTTTTTCTCTTGTCTTTTGTGCCAGGGAATCTATCTATATATATACCGCTCGCGCGGAAAGGGCCGGTGGGGATCGGTTCGACATGGCTATAGGGAATTTTGGGAACATAACACCCCGGAATTGGGGAAAGGGTTGCTGGCATTTTTTGGGCATATGGCGATCTGTTGAAGGTTTTGAGACTTTTCGTGACATGTATCTTTCCTCGAGAAGGCTTGATTTTTATATTTTCTGTTCATCACTTTTTCTATTGAAACTCAATCCCCATCCTTTTTTTTTTTTTTGGCCGTTTTCAGGATTCTCCTATTGCAAAGCATCCGGACGGCGCCGAATCAACAACCACATTGGCATCACAGCCTCGAAGTGGTCATATCCCTGCTGGGCCGTTGAGTTTCTGATGTGGTTTGGTCTAACTTTGTCCCGGCCTCTCTTCTGGTTTATATATATACAATCTGATATTTCTGATACTTCTGCTTTCCTGCGTTCTCAGCAGCAATTCCCCGTTCGCAATCCCCAAACCCCCACGTTTATGGGCTCCTTTTTCGTTGTTCTCGCTTTTGTGCTACTCAACCTGACCCGATATAGTCTGATCTGAAAAGCCAAGAAATCCCAACTCAGATTAAAGCGAGAATGTATGTATATATGTCTTATATCACTTCAATCAACATAAGGTACCGCAAACTGAACGTACTACTACTACACCTTGTCTTGCGGGGTGTGCTTATCATTCGCACACATACAGCAAAGGCCTTATTGATAATCTTAGCTATTTTCCTCGCCGATACGACATTTCTTTTTAAGCTTTATCCAGTTTTAACGGGGCACACAAACGGAGCAACAGCGGACTCTACTTGGTTGCGATGTAGGGAAAAAAAAAAAAAAAACCTCGTAGCTGTATGTCACGCAAAAAAAAACGCACTGAAAACCCGGAAGACATATAATGCACCAAGGGGTGTTACCTGTCAACTCTCATATCGTAGGGGGGCTAGCCAGAATTATCACGACATACATTTACTAATTACACTTGAGTTCCATGAAAAAAAATCTTATTTTCTTTTATTTTATTTGTGCCAACAAGTCTATCAACCAGCCTCAGGTTGTTGCCCGATTGACAACTAGAATGCCAGGCGAACTAACACAGCGTTCAAACGAACTCCCCGCAAAAGGAAAGAAAAAACAATTTTATATTGAGTCCTGCTTGGGAGGAAAAATAGCGACCGTTGCGGTTGCAGCCTCTTACATTCTCGATATTATTTCGGCGCTTGTCGTCACAAACTTCGTCACAAAACTTCACCCTGAGCTTGGATGGATGGATTGGCAGCGAATGAGCGGAGAAGGTGAGCAGCATGAACCCCTAGCCCAAGACTGTTTGAAAAGGGGTTGGTTGATTCACAAGTGAGAAATGATAAGCTATGTATATATATATATATATCGAGACTCAGGCGTACGGAGTAAGGAACTATGGATTGTTTGCAAAAGAAGACGAGAGCAAATGAACAGCAACAAGCTACGTATCTATCTACCGTATACTTCACGTACTGAACTGTGTAGTTTCGTACAGAGTACTGTTCGTTAATTGAAACTCCCTCCTTCATAATTTCCAAGCAAACAAGTAGATCCTTATCTACCTCTGTGGGCCCCAGCAAATCCATAGAATGGACAAATGAACAGCCAACAATAACAACGATAAAATAAAAATTAGCGCCCGCAACGAGCCAAACGCAAGTGGAGAAGCCATGTTGGATCTCGGGACAAATCAAATGCATTCTCCCCTTCCCTATTTTGCTCGTCCATCACAGTCTTCACAGATCGTATTGCTTTGCTCTTCATGCCAATCATTGAGAGTTGGTCTGATGAGACCAACTTGAGACCGTTAGGCGGCACGAAAAACCTTCAAAGCCGCCGACCGGTTAAGGGTCCGTTTTATGCATGCATCTATCTACCTTAGACTAACTCCGGCCCGCACACCTGCTTCCTTTTAGGAGAGGTTATCAGCGAGTATTGTCGCATAGGTTGGGTCTTGAAAAAACAAGTAGTCAATAAGGCTGAAGTGAACAGGTCACCTAACAGGGGGCACTATCATATAGCTAGTGGGCGGAAAAAGGAAGAAAAGTAGGTATATGAAAAAGAAAAAATAATTGAAAAAGCAAAAGAAAGCAACCACCAAGAAAAGGAGGAAAAAGAAAAGAAAAACATCACCTCATACGGAGTACATAGTAATTCAACGGAAATAATGCAGCGGGCATATACTAAACCCCCTCAAGTTTACATCGAAATAGTTACTTTGGAACGAGCAAGCCAAAAGCATTGCTGATAGTATAATTCGGGGATACTCCAATTGAACCGTTGAAATCCATCAAATATAAGCTAACAGCGAAGCTGTTCTCACCAATGGGGCTGTTTCGATCCTCTTACTATTCCCTATATTTCTCGGTTCTACGCAGTAACAGGAACGCCTCTTTTGGTCAAGACGAGGTTAAGGATTTTTACAATAGGTAAGTAAAGCGGGTCATGGCGCTAAAGCAAACCCCCTCCCCCCAAATATAAGACAATACCATTATTGCTCTTCAGCGCCGCAGTAACGAATACAGTGGCTTTTGCTTTCTTCTTTTGCTCCTACTTTCGTTCTAGTTTATCATGACTTCGTTTGATGAACCGGGAAAATATGGAGAGGCTACCGGGGAGGAGAGAATGCAGAAAGACGAATATGGTTGGTGCAGAGGAGCGGGTAGAAAGGAATAAACTATGAATGAGCGGCGGACATAGAACGGCGCCTCTCCCTTGATGAGCTATGGTAGCGGCGGGGAAGCAAGGAAAGGGCTTTCCGTGAGATCATTCCTTGCGGGAAGTATATTTCGCGCGCTGTCCACATTATTACAAGACGGAAGGAATAGCTGAAAACGAGGATGCGTGGATTGGCTTCCTGCACAAACGGCTGGTGCATGACTGTGTTAGAAAAGAAAATAGTAACGAAGGGCGGCTAACAAATAAATACGAAAGAGAATAAGCAGGTGGGAAAAAAAAAAAAAAAAAAAAAAAAAAAAAAAGTGGAAGCACAGTTAAAGTGGAAGCGTGCTTCTTAGACGCCTCGTTCAGCCATTAGTTCAGCGATGCCATGTTCGGAGATTTCAGGGAGGAGCTTAACAAGAACCGTTTCAATGATGGAATACATGAGGTGTTTATTACAATATTTATCTGCAAATACGTCCAAGATATCGTTCTCAATGGCTGATAGGAGGGCTTCTTGTTCGTTGATTTCTTCGTTTTCTTCGTCATCGAATGAAGAAAACACTGGCGTTTGCACACGGGAGTCCCCGGCGCTATCCTTAGCTTTTCTATTCGCAACTGTGGAGTCGAAGTTGGTAGTTGTAGAAGGATCGGAGGGCTCAAGGGCGCTATGCACTGCTTGAAATGCATGAAAGTTGGTGTCCGGCTTGCACGGACCAGGAGATGAATATTGCTGGCTGATACAGGAACTCTTCGGGACCTCATAGCCAGTGACATCGTGGGTTGTCCTACTTCCGCTGTTGCTACTTGTGTCGATGATACCGCGAGATTTTAAGTTTAATATTGTAGTTCCTCGGTTCCTCGCTTGGGCGGTTGGGATGCAAAATATCGTTAATGCCACGGTGCGAGGGATGAGGGAAAGTATGCTAACTGCACATTCTCGTCTGCTCAAATTTTCACCAGCATTCGACAGGGCTCCCGACCGGGTTTGTAGGCTTACAGGCAAAAGCTTTGAGGAGAGTGAAGATGCAAGCGAGAGAGTCGATCCAATTTTACTATTGCTAGCAGAGTTACTGATCCCCGCTTCAGCCTGAGGCGCTGTCGAGCATGTGGAGGAGCTAATCGTTGAGATGGTGGCATTCTGACTGGGTTTGGTATTGAAAGGAAAGAGGGTGGTTCGAATTGCAAGCAGGAGAACGGGAAGGAGAGTGGGGGTAAATAGACCCTTCTGGATCGTTTCGTGCAGGAACCTAGGAGAGGGGCCGAGAAAAATATTGTAAGCGGGTGAGCATGAAGACTTTCAAGCATCAATCCGAACTGGGCAATGAAAGGTTCATGGTCAACGTTCACAAGCCAAAGGAAGAAAAGTAAAGAAAGGGAGCTAGTTGAAAAGAGGGGTTTGAACGAGGATCATGACAAGGGCGTTGAAGTGCGAAACTTTTGGAGCCCGCCGCCGAACATGTAAAAGTGAGAGAAGATCAATCATGACCGATTGGAGTTGATGAGATCAATGGTAAAACCGAGTGAGGGGAATGGATGATAAGATTGTCAATATCATCACGAGCCCTTTCCTTGATAGAAACAGCGACGTCATCGGCGCTTGAGGGTTGAGTGAGAGGAGGAGGAAAAAACGGTTTCTTGCGCCATCGCCAAAACCCCTGGGCGAGGAGAGCAACCCCCGATATCGCTAATCTAGCCCGATTCAAAAAATGCTAATTGCCCGAAAACTTTGAACTGACTGGCCATTGGCTAGCCGAGACGGATGAGAGACACCCCAGAGATAGTTGATTTTATTCTGGACTGGAATATTGCCTTGCAGATAGAGCAAGAGAGGATCATGTGGGGGACGATCAGAGTGGATCTCACCATGATCCGCCCATGTTAAGCTGCCGTATTTTTGCAGACGTTGGTTGGCCAGTTCCGGAAGCGAGGAGGAAAATGATCGACCAATGGCAGCTTTCACAGTGATGAAAATGGGCGCATTTTCTTGAGCGGACGGGAGGGAAGGGCCGGTCCCGATGAAGGAGGCCAAGAGCAACCCAATAACAGAAGCCAATGGACCAACGGCGAAGGCGGTTAAAACGACCGGCTTATTCTGGCCTGTCCTGCTGATCCTGTCCTGTTTGCTTTTCTCTGGCAGTGGTTGGACAAGAAAGCTGCTGCACAGCCACTAGCAGAGGAGCAAGCTAAAATACCGCTTTTGCTAGAAAGGAAAGGCCAAAACAGGTGGAAAATTTGCCGCTAGGAAGAAATGAAAGAAAACAAAGACCAAACATGGTAGAGTAAGAAAACGGTAAAACCACGTCATGTAACGGTAAGTAAGTATGAGATGAAAAAAAGATGAAAAAGACGACCAAAGTAAAATACCTCAGTACATACAACGACGGGTAGCAGGTGAGGACAGGGTTTCCTAGGCACGGCAACCTTGGGTGGATGAAGGCCAAACTGATGCCAACTTTTGTCTCGGACCAGAATAACATTCTCATTGGATGAGTGCCAACCACCTTCAGATCAAGTGACCGAAGGGCCATGCATGCAATCACCAACAATCCTTCTGAATCCCTCTCTGGAGCTGCTGCCCAGGATATTTAGCAGATGCAACTGCAACACCGCATGATCCTTTCTTGAAAAAGCCAGGGACCCCAGCACAGGTGACGAACAATTTGAATGATGCCCTACCCGTCGGGGAAACATGATACGCATGCTGGATAGCATAGAATGTGGGCAATGACACGAGAAGGGAAGGCCCCATTCATTCTTGAAAAGGGGAAAAAAGCCGATGCGACTCATGAACTGCGTGAAGGATAACAAAACGCAAAATGATATGTTGGGCTTACCTGTCAAGTATCATTCCCGTATCCCCAAGCTTCCCTGGTCCCTCGACCATCACATACTGTGCGAGAGCAAGGGCCCCACCGAGCCATGGCATTCGCCCAGGCACATCGATTAGTTGCGAAACCATGCCGAATATTCTATATTTGAGAACGGGTCGACGGAGGCTACCCCCGTTAGGCCAGGCTTGAGGTTCTCCTGCAAGATTGACGGGAGTCGATTGTGAGCAGGCAGGTGGCGGTCTCCCTGAAGACACACGAAGCGACGATGATGCCACTTGAAAAAGTCCAACCAATACAAATCGAATAGTCATAAATGTCAGATAGCAATATTGCAGTATTCTCCACAGCAGCGTTGATAAATTTGATTGGTTTGCACCAGACGAATCGTCGTAACCGGATTCTCCTTTGGGGCCAAGAAGGCCAAACCTCTCCAGTCGGCCTTTTTGAATATGCTCCGCTTGTTCATTTTTACGGCCGTCTTGCTGTATTACCGTGATGAGCCGTGTGAGGAGTTCATAGATAAATGGACCATCGCTCAATTTGTCGCTGACGAACTCGCCCAGGATCATATCCGCCAAAATATCGCCAACCAATGTCCTCAAGTAGACATTCTCCAGATCTTCGGTTGGGAGAAGCACAGCCAAAACGCCCTGGGCAAGTAATTGGCGGTATGCTGTCTCTCGCTTTTGTTGCTCTGCAATCGCCGTCGTATCGGAGGCGTCCGGGACAGGGAAGAGCGCCGGATGTGGGTTCAAAGTATGGTAAACCGTGTGGAGATAAGAAGCGGAGCGGTTCATGTGTGGATTTTGGTAGGCGGTACGGAACGCTATATTCCGTTGTCAGCCGAACCGGCTTGGAGGAACAATATCACACGGCTTGCTTGACTGGACTCTCACCAACAATATGTGCTTCAACCAAGGCGGGGATTTCATCCAAAACCAAAGCATCCACATCTACTTGCCGGAGCCTCTGCTCGAGCGCACGAGTGCAATGGGCGATAATTTGGATAATTTCATCGCTAAAAGTGTGATCTGGGGTAATCGTTGAGTACCAGGCGTAAACGAACTCTTTAATTATGATCGCAATTAGAGCATACAGCTGTAGATCTACCTCGTTCGAGCTCGTAAGGGGAGGAAGCAACTCTTCCAGGGGTCGAGGAGTACCCCGCTCCCGTTGGTCTGGCCCATAGTTAGAGGACTGAGAACAGAGGACACGGCGGATCAGCGCCGCCGTAGCTTTATCGTTGGCTGCATCGGTTTGGCTAGATGGCGCACTGGGCTTGCCTGCTTGGAGAGTTTGCGAAGGTGATCGAGGAGTCGAGGGGGGTTTAGAGGACGGAACCGCGAGCGTTGGCTGTTTAGCTGAGGAAGCTATAGGTCCAGACTTGGAGGCAACGGCTTGAGGAGGGCGTGGTCGTCCCCCGTTATTGCCAGTGCTCATCTCCCAAAGTTGAATGCTCTGATAACACCCCAGTAAGCTTGACTCGAAATCATTGATTGATTGTCCGTCGATATCCAGAACGAGGGTCTCCAAAATCAGTGCGTGGTCAGGATTTAATCGTAATCTCGCAGGCTTAGCGGAAATCCAACATTACGGTAGAAGTGGTCGTTGTCTCGTCCGTCCCTCTGCCGGTTGTTCGCTGTTTGACTTGTATAAATAAATCATGCGGCTCTGTGAGTGAACAGCGGTCCGAGCGTAAGGCCGGGGTTAATGTTATGAACTAGTCCTAATTAGTACTGGTTGTTTTCTCCTCATCCTGCTCTTATCGATAAGAGTCTTAGAATAACTAAAGGTTCAGGTTCAGCAGCATATTTTGGCACTCAACTTCACCATCATGCTGGATCAGACACCTGAGTTCCTGTCGCACGAAGGACAGGTGACTCCTCTTTGGTTGGATTGTGATCCAGGTGAGTCTTATCATATTTTAACCCCCACCAATCAAGGAAATGTGCTACTTATACTGATGTGATGCCCCAGGCCATGATGTAAGTTCATCATTTGATCAAACTTTTCGACAATGTATCAAGAAGGAGCTGTGAATCTAATAGACGTGAAAAGGATGCGTTCGCCATTCTCTTAGCTGCCCATCACCCTTCCTTAAAGCTGTTAGGGATCAGTACCGTCCATGGAAACGGCTCGCTCCAAAATACAACAGTAAACGCCGGAAGCATCCTGGAAGCCATTGGCAGATCAGATATTCCTGTATATCCAGGAGCTGCAAAGCCATTCTGCAGGGCAGCTGTACATGCACAAGATATTCATGGTACGCGAAATACATACCATGCTCTACCTATACTTCATGACAACAAGCGGCTGACGGATTATTAGGCGTATCTGGACTTGATGGGACAGATTTACTTCCCGCGCCAACACGACCACCAATGAGGAACCGAAATGCAATCGTCGCTATGCGAGATTCTCTGCTGGAACAGCCGAAAAACACAGCCTGGCTAGTTGCCACAGGAACTCTCACTAATGTCGGGCTTCTTTTCGCAACGTTTCCCGAAGTTGCTGAGCACGTTCGAGGTCTCAGCATTATGGGTGGTGCCATAGGTGGCGGGTTTTCGCATGCCCCTATTTGCAAGCGGGCAGGAGATGAGTCGCGTGTTGGAAACATCACACCTTGGGCAGAGTTTAATATCTACGTTAGTCAATATTGAGGGCCGGTTCACTTATTTTGCTGATAACTGATAAGGGAAAAATTAGTGTGATCCCGAATCTGCACAATCCATTTTTTCGTCCCCGGCCCTTGCACCGAAAACAGTTTTAATACCTCTAGATCTTACACACCAGGTGCTATGTACACCAAAGGTGCAGTCCCTCATTCTGCAGACTGAACTCCAACCAGTAATGGGTACGAGCAACGTGAACCCGACTCCCTCAGTCCTCCGCCAAATCCTCCACTCTCTCCTACTTTACTTTGCAGGCACTTATGAAACGGTGTTTGGTCTCGATGTTGGTCCCCCCTTGCACGATCCCGTTGCCGTTGCTGTGTTATTGTCCAACTTGAACAGTAGCGATAATGGGAGCAGCCATGCAAGGTATATCCATTTCGACGACCGGGATGGAGAGCGCTTCCTCGTGAATGTTGTGACCGATGGTCAGCATGGCTCAGATCGAAAGATTACCGGTGAGGTTGGTCGGACAAATGCAAGTCCCGTAGAACGCGGAAAGGCCGGTGTGACTATACCCCGTGGAATCGATGTCGATGCATTTTGGAATATCGTGTTGGAGTGTTTGAGGCGGGCGGACGATTGGAATGCTTTGCGGGTCGGCAATCGAAACTAGGCTGGGTCGATGGGTACAAGGTTTTTGTGTATATTTATTTTGTAAGTTTGGTGGAAGTTTTACGGCATTGGAATCCTCCTTTACATTCCCATGGTCATCGTTCTTTTACCATTTTTTTTCTATAGATTTATTCGGCAAATTTATATTCGCGAAACAGACCCGTACATAGATGAAATATCAAGAAATATAGAGTCCATTTTCACGGGAGGGGTTGCCAAAAATTTATTTCAAGAGAAGTAGATTATATATGTTCTATTTCTCTTAGGGAGATAATGGACTGGAGCTACGCAATTACAAGCGGTCGATATGCAGCATATTTTATGGCCTTGAACAGGTCGTTCAGTCTCGCCTCTTAAAATGGTATTTTAATGGCCTGGTAGCAATTTCGGTATGCCACCCACTGATAGAAAGGCGCCCGAAGGTGCAAAAATTTCCTTGCAATGATGAGAGAAAAGAGAGAGAGAATAGAAGATCAATAAACATGAATAAAAAAACATTGGTTAGTGAATGCCACACGCAAGCGCTCGTTGTGTGGTAAATAGGTAAGTTTTAAGTCGAATGAGAGGCCCGATTCAATGATCATCACCTCACCACATCAACTCTACGAGAGACCAAACCTCATAAGTTTTCAGTGCAGGTTGACGATGAGAGATGAAAAACGGCTCGATGCTGATTGAATTCATTGAACCAGTCTCCGCTTCTAAACGGCCACCAGCGGCGACAGTCTTATTCGGCTGCTCTGCTCCCGCGCATCACTAGCAACCTGCTTCCAACCCGCTTTCTTTCAAAATATAGCCTATCCGATGGCCTCGCTAAAGAACGTGGTGGTATAACAAGCCGGGCGTTGTCATCCAAGCCCTCGCGTTTTTGCAGCATGATATAGATCTGAGTACTGCCGTGCAAGCAACTTACTGCCTTATCAGAGTCTGGCAAAGTGGGCATCTTTTGATCTCCGAGAATTGTACACGTACAGGTACATACATCAAAACAGCGGTTTTCCACTGCACTAAAAGATCAGTCCTCAAAATGGAGTACTTATTTGACAATTTTATCTCTCAATCTTCATAATTTCCTCCATGATCAAGGCGCAAAGGAATTTTGGCATTTTTCAGCCACCATGTACCCTAAGCGGTGCTAAGAGTCAAAATTGTTACTTCACTTCTCTTTGCTACACGGCGATATTTTCCGGATGATGATCTGTCTAGCTTTGCTCCCTCGGAATGGATTTTATGCAGTAAACTAGTCCTCCGCGGGGAGACACAATTACCTGTAGCTTTCCCGATCAATAAGCGCCTCTACCCGATATTCATGGGCTTGAAAGGGCTACAGCTAAATACTTCGGGATGCAAACTCGTTGTTCCCCCCGCCATGTAAGCTTGACTCCCTGATCTCATATTTCCACTAAATGTTGCTGCCCCTGTGTAGGAAGAGATGGGACATCATACATCCCAAGGTTTTAGTCGACTGGCCACGCAAACTCGAGGGTGAAAGCAGTCGTATGGAAAGTGATGCGGGTTTTTGTGTCTTCCGTCCACCGGCCTAAAAGGTACTCCAATTCCATTTCCGGGTTGATTACATCGTTGGCCTTTGTCTACACTTACCAAAGGCAAATAATGTATCTGTTCCGGGAAGATATATTATTTATTTGCATGGAGTAGTGCGGAAGGCAGTTCGAAACCACACCTCGCATATCCCAATTGGCTTCGCGGGCAATGCAACCCTCATCTATAGCTCTATGCATGTATCACTGGATACCCACAGCCCGCCTTGCATCGTTCTTCGGTGCTAATCCCTGCCAGGTGGAGTCCAGTACGGTCGATCTACAATGGGATGTTCCGTGACAAGTTATCTCATTGCTTGGTCTCATATATGCTTCCTTTATATATATAACCTTCTGTCATTCTGCAATTCTATCGTTTATCAGATTATCCCTCCATGGGCTCTTCTCCAAACCATACGTTTATGTGGCTTGCGTACCGAGAGCTTCCCCGTTCTGACATTCAACATCCCTCCCCAGTCCCTGGAAAAGGAAGTACAAAGAAGGAAGCATGGGCAAAATTAAAAGCATTGAATATTTCCGTGTACCCCCTCGCTGGCTGTTCGTGAAAGTTACTGATGAAGATGGAAATCATGGATGGGGTGAAAGCACTCTGGAGGGTCATTCCGAAGCTGTTGAAGGAGCATTGAATGCGCTATGTCAACGATTTCAAGGTTATGAAGCCGAGTAAGTCAAAAGGCAATCCATGCAAAACAAAATTATCAAGAGCTTCAATAGCTAACCCTACTGGCACAGTGATATCGAGCAAATATGGCAAACAGCTTGGCGACTTGGTTTCTACAGGGGCGGTGCTGTTTTCATGTCAGCTATTTCCGGTATTGACATTGCGCTTTGGGATCTCAAGGGCCGCCGGTTAGGTGCACCCATCCATCAACTGTTGGGAGGCAAGGTTCGCAACAAGGTCTCTGTCTATGCTTGGATTGGAGGTGACCGCCCTGCAGATGTTGAGTCAGCTGGCAAAGCGCGGCTGGATCAAGGGTTCAGAGTCATAAAAATGAATGCCACAGAGGATGTGAACTGGCTTGATTCTCCCCGAGTCCTGGAGTCCAGCGTCGAGCGCCTCAAAGCCGTAAAAGCTCTAGGGCTTGATGTCGCCCTTGACTTCCATGGTCGACTCCATAAACCAATGGCCAAACAGCTTGCTAAGCTAGTGGAGCCTTACCAGCCCCTATTCATCGAGGAACCCCTCCTCTCGGAGCACCCTGAGGGAATAAAACACTTTTCTAACCAAGTCACGACACCGATTGCGCTGGGCGAGCGGCTGTACAACCGGTGGGATGTCAAGCGCTTCTTGGAGAATGCAAGCGTTGATGTCTTGCAGCCAGATATCAGCCATTGCGGAGGTATTTCTGAAATCCGGCGCATCGCCGCAATGGCAGAAGCATACGATGTGGCGATTGCCCCGCACTGCCCCCTGGGCCCCATTTCGCTAGCTGCTAGTATTCAAGTCGACCTCACGATTCCAAATTTTGTAATCCAAGAGATGAGCCTTGGTATCCACTATAACACGGAAGCGGGCGCGTATGATATAACCAACTACGTGACGGATCCTTCAGTTTTTGATGTCAAGGACGGCTATGTGGGTGCGCTGACAAAGCCGGGCTTGGGAATCGATATCGATGAGGATGAAGTGCGGAGTGTTGCGATGACCGCGGACTCCTGGGCTCCGAAGGAGTTTTATGGAGTTGACGGAGGTATTCGGGAGTGGTAGTTTGTGCCTCTTGTATACCCACGATCTTCTTTCCCTCATATCTCTTTTCTTTTCTTCTGTTTTCTTGCTTGCGTTTGCGTTTGCGTTTGCTGCCACGTTCACGGTCGTATTTCCTTCTCGAGAACTGCTTCATCTCCCTTTTCATGCTTTGTTCACTCTGTTTGAGGATTACCAAGCCTCAGCAATTTCCACCTGCCCAAAAGTATGCAGGCCCTGTTCTCCTTCATCCATGTACTCCTGACAACATCGGGCTTAATTACATGGTCTCTGGAATCGAATACTGACCAACCAACAACCAACCGCACAGCCAACAGGGCAAGAGCTGGATCAGCTTTGTTTGATGTGCGTATGTACTGTTCAGAACATTCAGGGGCACACAATGGAAGAGCTTACAAAGTAAAACAACAGAATACAAACCTTAATTATTGTCAATATTTGCATGCATATAAACAAGGAGGTACTGGCTTCCCTGGCCTACCTTCGATAAAAATGTCCGTGATTATTTCAAATGCGTTGAATGTATTTTGTTTTTATATGCTCGTTAGTTATATCAACCTGATCTCCTGCAGTTTCCGTTGGGAAGACTTTTGGCTGTATTTAACTGATTATTTAAAGAATAAACTTGAAGGTATGTGTAGAAACCTTCTCATGCCAGCAGTTATGGTCACGTCCTGGATGGCTTTCCAGATCACAGCTATCAGCAGCAATCAGTCAGGCCGCTCTGGAGTGAGTATTCAATCCCCATTTATGTAAACATGATTTGCCAACCCTCCGCTAAGCCATACCGACTTTGACCAGAACAAAGTCGCAATTATGAAGATGGGCCACTCTACTACTACAATGAGCTTTCCATTGACGACACAAAACCGGAGCCTATATTATCGATCATCAGGGACTGCTGCAAAGAAATCCGATGGGAAGACATGGGTGATTTCGGTATCGGGGTCTATAAGGTTGCGCTGGTCCAGACTGCTGAGGGCAAGTCATCCAACACTACATTGAGCCGCGATCGCTGTATCTATTTAAATGGCTGATTATCCACTGCCCGGTAGAGGTTCCTGGGGAGGGGAGCGGTTGATGCATTCCAAGGGTGGTAAGAGTCAGGCTAATAACGGACCATGGGCCCAAAAGTGAACCGGGATCGCGACGAGTGGTGGGCAGCGAGCATAACGCCATTTCAAAGCGAGATTCAGGAATGACAGTACCCATCCTCATCATCTACTTGGCCAGCTTGGTTAGAATAGTCTCATCTGTGATCTCTAAACAATAACTACTAGTATGTGGAATTGAGGGCGGAAAAATTCGGAAATTGCAAAATCGGAGATTTAGATGAGAGTCCACTTCGGATTCTTCAAGCAAGCAGTGACCGTGAACACCGCTGCAGCTCCTGAACTCAAGATACGATCACAACTCCATCGTATTGCGGTTGTAATTCATTGCCCATCCGTACGTAGTCCAAGCGGGCCATTTCTTCCATGAAAAAATACCTCCGGCGGTCATGTTTGAGAGAAGTCCACATGAACATGGAGTATCATCGCTGAGGGCCATTTGGGACAATTCAGAGCGGAATAATATATACCGCATGAGAGTACTGACCATCGGGGTTAAGAACGATGTTGTATCACGTACTCTCCTGTGGAGTTCCTAGGGCTGTTTCCGTTGATGCGAGAGTTAATTTCACCGGGAGTCGCCACACTGTTGGTATATGGGAGAATGGATACAGGTCAGCATGAAGCTTGGTCCCAAGGTTCTGAAACCATGTTATTTTCTAGTTATTTAGCTAAATGAAGTTTTCATCTTGATGTCAGGGGGAAATGAATGGATAATCTTCGATGAGCCTGTGGCTATAGGAACATGGCACAATGTTGTTTAATTCGGGGTAATCGATTAAGAAAGCTGTCCGAGTGAAGAGAGGACCAGTTGCAAAGCCATTTGACAGGGGAGTTTCAGTATCACAACACGATGCGGGGAATGTCAATGGCAGGAAGGCGAGCAGACGACGATGACGATGGAATGGCCCTTTACCTGTGCTCTGGATCAGTCTACCTGAGCGGAATTCTAGGGATCTGAGATGGACGCGTTGCTTACAGTTCCCGTGGCTGTTCCCCTTCTTCGCTGCGGTCCGCACCGTATTCGTGGGGAGGGGAGGGGGGAGGGGGGAGGGAGAGGAGGAGGGAGTGGATGAGAAGTTGATACTCAGATCGAGGGTTGGTTGGGTTGACTTTCTCGCGGTTGTATCGTTCAACGCTGAAAGAACGAACTACAGTCGAGGGGCGCTACCCGCCGCACCTCGTCTTCTTCTTCTCTGCCATGGGCAATCCCCCTCGCTCATCATCCATCCTTGTCCCGACTCTCGACTTTTCTACCTGATGTGATGCGATATTCTGACATTCATGAATATCGAAACGAAATCTGCCAAGAAATAGAGCATAGCCGACGAGCCTGACAACCTGCCCGCCTTGTACCCAGCATACCCGCCCGTGCAAGTTAACTAACCGATATCTCTGGCCATCACGAAAGGACCAACAATCTTTGAATCCCTCCATCCCTCTTATCTTTATCCTCCTCCGTACGGTATCTCCAACGGCTCGAGCTCCTCTCTATAAGCGTGCCCGACCTCACAGCCGCCTTCATGAGTCTACCAGAAGACGAAGTGAATGCCGATAACATAAGATTTTTGCGCTCGCGCAGACGTTCCTCTCCGGATTCATCTCCGGGACGTGTTCGAAGTCGAAGGCGGCATCTACAGTCCTTGCAGGATGAAGTGAATAGCGGTATGGATTCTAATGATCAGAGAAGGCCCTCAGTGACTGTCGGGGTAAGCCGCCGTATCCCCATTGTTCGTCGCCGAGATCCTATGAATGGTGTCCCCAACTACGAAACTCGCTCCCGCCCATCAAATCCCGCCTACGCATGGGTGCCAGGATCAGATTACGAAGAAGAAGAAGATGCTAGCGTGGGTGCTACGAATCTTATTCAGGAAATGTGGGATGGTAGATTGCTAAGAGCGAGACATACGGCACTGGGATCTCGGGGTGAAAGGCGGGAAGGATCAGCTACATCACCGCGTCTATGGGCCAGGGATCCCAATGGAGAATCGATTCAGCCGTCACGGTATGGTCGGAGTGATCTGGCTACTGCTACATTACTTCAAACAGTTCGTCGCCACCCGCGATTCTCCTCCAGGACCCGTACCCTACAGACCTACATCCTTGACCGGGATCGAGGTGGCCGTGAATCAGAGGAAAGAGACTGGCAACCTTCCTCTACAACTCCCACTACGACTGCAAGCTCAACCACTTCCCCACCTCCACGTTCTTCTACCACCAATCACGGAGATATAATGAGGAATACCGGTGCATCAGAGCCCCGAGATATGTATTTCGAAGATCGATCGTCAGTTGATCGTTTTGAAGAAACCATAAAGTACCTTGACAGAGTGCGGTTCGCCAAATCGTACGATGAGAGCGTACAGTTTGCCACTGCAGGAGATTTCATCCAATACGAATATTTGCGCCGCAATGAGGACGACTTTATCCTCGATACGTCGTCGATCGGCAGTCCTGCAGATTCTTCGTGGCTAAAGCCAGGGACGGTATTTGAAGGTTCACAACATGCTACTAATTATTGTTCCACTTCAGCGATGTTCCAAAATCGGAGACCCAGATCGCACCAAATTGATGACCCCATCGTTATCAATGGAACTGAACTCGGCCGGACTGTATATACAAGCGCCGGCCGCCGCAGTTACCAGGCGGATATTCCTCACGAGTTTGGAGACGGGACCCAAATGGGAATGAACAGCAACAGTAGACATGAACACTGGCCTGTCAAGGTTACGATACACAGTGTTGATTATAATACGATGACTCTTTCCGGAACGATGGAAGCCTACAACATTCCAGATAAAACATCCAATAGCCAAGGAGCGCATATTACTACTTTCCTCGAGGGTGAAATCATCGATTTCAACACGCACTCGCTGGAGACGAAGAATTTCAAAGCAAATGCAGAGATTGATAGTTTGTACTGGCGCGAGCTTGAACCTTTTAAAGACCTGTCTTATGACGAGATCGTGAGGAATCTTGTGAGTAAGAAATGGCTGACGGAGCAGCTAGCGAAAGGTTGGATCTTGATGCGTTGGAAAGGTTAGTCTTGAGCCCGTTCATGCCCTTCTCAATATTCGAATGGTATCCTTAAACCCACTTACGCCGCTAGAACGTTGCTTTATTACGCCATCGCACTCCCGTCAAGGACTCACAATATCCGGTTTCTATTATATCTCCGTTCGTCGCGAGGACGGCCATATCGAGGGCATGTATTATGACCCGGGCAGTTCACCATATCAACACCTCTCTCTAATGCCACATATGCGAGAGAAGATGGTTTTTCCTGCATATAATTTCCGCTAAGTTCATCTGATTGATCGACTGCCTGACTATTCTCTGATCACTTTGTTTTGATCAACCAGCTGGATAAATACTACCACAATCCAAATATCATTTCCTATCGCTCTGAAATTACTTGAATCCGAACTCTAGTGAGCTTTTAGCCCTGCACTTTGATGGCTAGGTATATAATGTAATTATATCCTCCACTTTCTTGCTTTGGCTTTTGTATACTTCACGTTAATCTCGTCCCCGCAACTGGAGTGTATGGGGATGGATTCTACCACCAATAACGTAACCAGGACAGGTTCCCTTTTTATTTTTATTTTTTCATTATATGATTATCTTTTTGCGCGCACGAATTCTAGAAATCACAACGGAAGTGAAGAATGCCATATCATTTTTTGAATCGTTTTTGCCATGACTTACATTTCTAGTCTCATCCATGTCGAACTTTTGACTGAAATATCAGATGCCGTCAACCCCTTGTTTTATCAACCTATCTCATCACTATGCACTTACTGCCTGTTGTTTATATTCGTTCGTTATTTTCCGTGCTTGTGTTTTATCCATTAGTCATTGGAACCATAGATGCTCCTACTACTTCTACTACATTTACTACATTCGTTAACCCCGTCATTGAGTGTATGTTTTTCAGCCTGTGCCTAATTTAACACTTGGGATGCAAGATCGATTTACGATGGGCTCTCTAAGCCAAGATGTCGATCTTGTTGGCTGAGTTTCGCCCTTTGAATTAATTGAACGAATCAATGAAAGATTACCTGTGTATGATGTGATCCTCACTTGCCACTGATATCTATCTTACCAGGTTGCTAACCTTAGAAACCAACAATAATGGCCATAGAATAAAAATGGGATAACAAACAGGTATACCAAGTGATGTATAAAACGGGTTAATTTTAATTAGTGCTGTGAAAAAGGAGGGCCTATGGCCCCGAAAAGTTTTATCTAAGTTCGCTCTCGATTACGAGTTTGAAGCCAGCTTGTTCCCAATAAGCACTCCCGCTCGTAAGTCGCACTTATAAACTGATTTATTTTTTGTCATTTTTTTTTTTTTTCATTTCCCCGCCTATCCATCCGTTTTAACCCCAGTTGCCGCGTTCGTTTTGACTGGTCTATTGCTCGGTCTGGAAGTAGTTGAGGAGGACGGAGCGCTCCTGGGACTCTTCACCCCAGTCACGGAGGACAACGCAAGAGCAGTTAACAACCTTGCGTGGGTTGCCTTCGCGGTCAAGAACACCTGTCAAGTGCAAGAAAGAGCGGGGAGGAAACACAGCAAATCAGTGGTCCGGCTCACCAAACAGAGTTCCAAAAAAAAAAAAAAAAAATCAAAGAAAAGAAAACATACAGAGTCCAACCCACTCGCCCAGCATCTTCCCATCGGGAACCTTGATGAGGGGGATCTTATGCTCTGAGCAAAGCGCAATGACGAGCTTCTTATAAGCGTCTTCCTCGCAGCCCTCGTTGAGCACGCACATGTGCGCTTGGCGGCGATCGAGAGCCTTGGAAGCTTCCCGCAAGCCACGGGCAAGGCCGTCGTGGATCAGAGCGATCTTGAGAACGCCCTTGAGAGCGTCTAGAACGGACATGGAGCTGCCAGCAGTGGTGTCAGCGGAAACCTCGACCTCATCGGCGGCACCGACAGGCGGGTTGGAAGCGGTCTCTTCTCCGTCCGACTGTTTGATTATCATGTATCAGCAGGTTTCGATTTCATTTTATGACTGATCTGGGAGGTGTTGGGGCTCAATTGGGAGCACTTCGGCACAATTATCTGCGTGGGGCAGAGTGAGGAAGAATGGGGATCAATTGTAGACAGAGCGAAAGGGAGTTATACATACCATTGTTGACGTAGGAATATCGATGGGATCGTTTCCAAATGTCGGATTATCCTCAAAGAGGTGAGTGCAGGAAACAGGGGTTTTTATCGGGGTTGATAATGAGAGTTGGCGTGGAGGATGTTCTCTTTTGGCGGCGGCGTGGAAAATACCAAAATTCGAGCCTCGCCTATTTTGGTGTGCCCTACGTTATTACGTAAACAAATTTTGCTTCCCGAGGAAACAAAGCATAATGCATACAGCATACATTAGACTTTACAACTGAATGGATAGGAATTAGTGGACTATGCTTGCTACCGGATCCGAACATAGGAGGTATCAAGTAATAATGACACTGTCACAAGCAATCATTATGGAAGCATTCATTCCATTTCAAGAATAAAAAGAAGTCGAATGAATCCATCAAATTGCATAAAAATGATACAGAAAACCTCCCAATCCAACCTAAATCCCATTTGCACCTTACAGAAAAAGGAAAAAAGAAAAAAAGTAAAAAGGATGTAAATCCTGCATATATCCCACGAATGGCTCTAACATCGAATGACAAACCAAGCGCCGAGAGGGAGCAAAGAGACGCGAGGGGAAGAAGATTGAAACGAGAGAGTTGATAGATTTCATGAATGAGGATGACCATTCGGGGTTACGAATCCATTTGTTAGTGGGGACTTCGGTCCAGGATCTATGTTAGGTGTAGTAGATCTTATCCCGTTGGGAAGCTGCGGTTCTGTCTGAATCGTTTCGGCACCTGGCTCAGAGTCGACATGCATTCGCAGTGTTCGAATCTCAAGACCGTGGAGGTGGGGGACATGAGGAACCAAATCCATGAAATCGGAATACTATAGTCACTATTAGGATAGGAGAAAACAGGTAAGTGTACTTGGGGATATTTACCTTGACCCAAAATATATGTTCCATAGCAAAGTATTTGGGTCGAGTTTCTGCATCTTTCCGCATAACTTCGACGTAGCTGGATGTTAAGGGATTGAGCTCGCCTTCTTCGACTAGAATACGCCGGGTTACCCTCCAAAGATTATTTCTCTGGGTAGGAGTGGCAGACCGCCTTTCCCAACTTGGATCTGTATTCGAGTTAGAGTCCTCTCACACACTAGCTTGATTGATATATGAAGGTTAATGAGTGATGTACGTACATTGCGAGAGCTGAAGATCGTTTGTAGCAAGAAGTGGTGCAACCAGATAGTTGGGAATCCATTTGTCATCCTTAGCCTCGTCGTCACAGGAAGGGTTGATTTGCTTTGTTGTTGCTGTTACCAGAGGCATGAACTTTCTAAGCCAGGTATGGCTTTTAGATATAGGGTGATTGGAGCCGACGAAGTTTGCAGCAGCACGAAGTCGATTGGGCAGAGCGTCGCAACGCCGCTGTTCCTGTTCCTCCTGCTCTTTCCGCAACCTTGCAAGACGAAGTCGTTCTTGTTCTAAGCGCTTTTGGCGCTCTTCTTCAGCCTGCCTAATTCGCCGAAGCTCCATTTCCTTTCTTTTGCGTTCCTCTTCCTCGGCCTTTTCACGAGCTAGTCGCGCAGCGGTTTCCGCAGCTTCCTTCGCTTCCTCTGCTTCTCGGGCCTCTTTGGCAGCTTGGGCGTCTCGAAGTTCCTTCTCCTGTCTTTCACGTTCAGCCTGGGCAGCAACACGTCTCTCTTCAGCTTCCTGGGCTTCCTTGGCTAGCTCTGCCTCCATAGCCTCCCTAGCCTCCCTTTCCCTGGCTTCTCTTTCCCTAGCTTCTCTTTCCCTAGCTTCTCTTTCTCTGGCTTCTCTTTCTCTGGCTTCTCTTTCTCTGGCTTCTCTTTCTCTGGCTTCTCTTTCTCTGGCTTCTCTTTCTCTGGCTTCTCTTTCTCTGGCTTCTCTTTCTCTGGCTTCTCTTTCTCTGGCTTCTCTTTCTCTGGCTTCTCTTTCTCTGGCTTCTCTTTCCCTGGCTTCTCTTTCCCTGGCTTCGTTTAGCTCTTGTGCTTCGTTTTTTGTTTCCTTTGCTTCCTTCGCTTCCTTCGCTTCCTTCGCTTGCAGTGATTCCTGTGTTGCCTTAGCCTTTGTTTGTTTGGCCTCTTTCGCTTGCTGTGCATCCTGTGCGACCCTAGCCTCCTTTGCTTCCTTTGCTTGCTTGGCCTCTTTCGCTTCGGTTGCTTCCCTTAACGTTTTTTCCCTTGCTTCCTTCGCTTCCCCAACCTCCTTTACCTCTGCCGCCTCCGCTTCAGGGCGATTAACATCCTCCATAGGGATGTCTTTGATGTCTGACTCTGATTTCTTTTGCTCCTGCTTGATAGCAGTCGATCCTGTATTCGACTTCCGTGAGCCAGACAGCTCTTTATCTACATGGCTATCCCCGTCACGAGATATTTCATTGCCGACCTTCGGGGCATTGCTATTTCTCCGCCTCGGTTGAGCCTTTGAGGACGGTGCTGGTAATTCCAGAAATTTCTTTGCTGCGCTACTGCTGGAGGATGAGAGTCCATTCTCTTCAGATTGAACGCGTCTCCGCTTCTTTTGATTTTGGCTATCACGAACATCGTCCTCTTTGCGTTGACGGCCACGGAGCTGTGGTGGTTCTGGAGATACACTGCTTCGTGGACGTTTTCGTGGGGGCTCATCCTTTATTGGCTTCACGTCTGGGTTTGCAGTTTCTGTCCGCGGTTTACCTGCGTCATCGCGGCTAGAATGAGAGTCGGACGATATCAGACTTTCCCTCCTCTTCACTCTGTCAGGTGGTCGGCCTGCAATGAGGCGCCGACGCTTGACAGGCTCGTCCCCATTGTGAGAAGTTACAGAGTCCTTTGAGTATTTTCGGTCCGGACGAGCTTCCTGGTCAGACCCGCCTGCAGACTGGTCGAGGTTGCTATTCTCTCTGTTTGGCAGCTTAGATCGATTCCCTACAACCCACTTATCCTTCTCATGACTAACAGTCTCAGACTTTCTCTTATCCTTTACATGGTCTATTTCCCGAGCAGAACGCTCAGTTTGGCGACTTGAATCTGATGTCCTGCTGGCTTTTCGTTGTGAAGAAGGAGCTGGAGATAACGACTCCCGCCGAACGTATTTCTTAACCTCTGTCTCTTTTTCACGAACCCTTCGAGGAGATTTCGTATCAGGTCTGCGATTCTTGAGGGTTCGCAGATGGTTATCGTATGCCCGCTTTAGAAGTTCGTATTCCTTTTCCCAGTGATCTCCTTTCCGTTCTCTTGATAATTCGTAATATGTGCGGCCACGGCGATCAAGACGCGTGGGATCGAATCCTCGTTGGTCCAGTAGAAGTTGAATAACCGCAAGGTTTCCCCTACCGATTGCAGCAAGCATAGGGGTATTGTATCCCGGTTTATTATGGTTGCCAGTCTGCAGTGGTTCCGGGTCCGGGTCCGGGTCACCCATGCCCAACAGAATCCCCAAGACTTCGTCATGCCCACCTTTCGCCGCAGCAATAAGCGACTCAGGATCAGCTTTTTGTCCCACGTTAAGGATATTTGCAACACCAGCCATATCTCCCTTAGCAGCAAAATCTCGAAGATTTTCAGGAGTTGCCTTTGTCCATAGCAAATCGTTCCTGGTTGCCTCACTCCTCACGGTCCTCCTACGAGCTCCAAGAGTAACCGGAGGAGAACTTCGCTGACCATGAACTGGGGGAGAATCACGAGGACTGGCCGCCGATGCACCCCGCGATGAAGGGTCCCTGCCCGAGGAGGTGGCGCGAGTAGCTTGGTCTGTAGACTTACGTCGTCGTTGTCCCTTAACTTTAGCCTCTGCAATTATTTTTCGCATTTCCTCGTAGTTCTGGTTATCAGACGGGACAAGGTCATACGGTTCATCGCCCTCAGCATTGCCAAGGCGAGGATTAGCCCCTGCATCCAAAAGCAATTTAACAACCTCCAAATGGCCGTTCTCCACAGCATCAATCAAGGGGGTGTCTCTGTCAATATTCCTTGTGTCGATTTCACATCCTGCTTCGATTAGAAACTTAACAATATCTACACAGCCTTCAAGAGCAGCGATTTGAAGTGGCGTGTTCCCCGCGTTGTCAGGAATATTTAGATCGTCTGGGCGCTCAGAATGGCGCGCTTTCGCAGCCTCCACTTCCTGCATGGCACAGGCTCTCGCAAGCCTTGTCCGACCATTTTGATCCCGCTGTTTTTTTGCTTGCATCTGCTTTGCAGGTGATATCGCTGCCTGTTCTCCGGACGTTAGCTTACGAAGACGAGCGGATGGTAAAGGAGATCCACTGGCGGAAGACGAAATAGACTCTCGGTCCTCTGAGACTTGGCGGTGTGAATCTGTCGCAAGCGGCGGTGGCGCTCGTCTTCTCTTCTTCGAATCAATAGACGGGTGCGACCCCGAAGTAACTCTATGGTGTAAACGATAAGCAGGTGACGGGGAACGATGTTTAGATAAATGCTGCGAATGCGATTGGTTGGATGTTTCATCCGAAGTTTTGTTGTGGGATGGGTTTGATAGATGTTGACGGTCGCGATGGCGACGGGTCTCTCCTTCCTCCGTGCGAACAACTCCTTCACTTGATGAACGTTTTGTCGAGGGGTAGCCTTTACTTCCCTCTAACCCATCAGAACGCGAGTGCGATAAGCCGCGTGTGGCAGACGTTTTCTCCAAATCTCCATTTTCCTTTTGCTTCGTTTCTTTCATCACCCGTGGTGGCGACGAGACTCGCGAAATCTGTTCGCTAGGATCGCGAGTTTTGGCAGACCTACCATCCACATTATCATTTTCTACCCGGGGTCGCTTTCGAGGTTTCCCACTTTCCGATAACAACGCGACTCGAGAGTCCTTTTCATCTTCGGCTCTCCCATGGCTCCTATCGCGTTTATGCTGTATATACCGTTTCTTTTTCTCTGGCGATAGCTCTTCCCGCCCTGACTGGATTATGGTTTCCGCCTCCGAGTCCGCTTTAACGCTGACTGCATCATCGCTACCATTACCACCACCATTCTCCCGTTCTAGTTTTTGCTTCTCAGCGGGAGAAGCCACCCGTACTAGATTCTTGTTTTCAGCAAGTTTTAAGCTAGGTTCCACGTGTCGATCAGTGTCACCATTGGTGGGAGGAACAGCTGGCAAGGGCAATACTGCATCAGCATCATTCATAGCGGCTGCAGTCAGGATATTCGGCTTCTCTGCTTCATCGTTAGAAGCCGTAGCTGCGGAATGAGGGTTGGCCGCGGATCGAGGTGGACTCGATCACCGTGTATCGGAAGAGCCTAGGGCAAAATGGACGGTAAGATTATATATTCGACTACGGTTTGGCGGGGCGAATATGTGGCACTTGACGTTTCGTTTTGGATGATACGGCGTTGAATAGCAGCGACGTGTCGATGATTGGGATTGTAGTTGGGATTGACTTAGGTCAAGATCGGGCGCAATCTGAGGAAAGGAAAAGCGGTGGGGAGCCTCCGTGCCGCTAGTACTATTTAGGCTTGCTCCCATCCATCCAGACAGTTCCCCATTTACGATTTGAAACAGAGTTCGTCAATTTAGCCCGGGAACCGTATATCGGACTAGGGTCCTGTGGTCCTATTCATCTAGATATGTGAGCGATTGACACTACTGTTGCAGCAATATTTAAAGCCTTACCTGGGTGGTTAGATATACACCTGAGATATAAACATCACGTGATTACTTGACTGACCAGTTATGTCGCAGGACTTCCTATTAAGGATTAGTGTATCGCATAAGGTCCACGGTATCATCATATGCCACGTGACCACACCTATTGAGAACTCGAATCGCTGGCTGCAAGAAGTCCTGATGAAAATGTCAAACAACCCAGAACAGCAGTGGGATATCACCCTCCCAGATGCCCTGGAAGTCCTTCGGAAAAGAATAGTGGGTTACCTTGGGTTCTCCCCTACTGAGATAGCCCTGGATCATATAAAGGCTTTCACGCCAAGGACCTCGTACCTCAACCCGGACAATGCCGACGAAGAGCTCTGGACGGAGAATGATACAGCAATCCGACGCCCCAATCTCATGAGGAGACGGGCTGTCGATGTTAACTCTTGAGAACTCCCAGCGGGAGCTTGGTTGAGATGGAAATCAGCTATATTTATTATTCCTCCCCTTCTCAACCTTAGTAGCGGTCTTCATGGACATTCCATGATAACCGATATCAGATAGGGGTTTCTTGGAAATCTAGTGAGCCTTCAGGAAGGCCTCAGTGACTAGGTTCAACTCACTATTTACAATGAACTAACCTTCCACCTTCATCAACGTTAAATATAATTAAAAAAGCAAACTAATTGCATCTCTTCAAAGTAGCAATTTGTGTGAGCTTCGATTATATCAATACAGTTAAAAAAATATACATCATCTTTCAAATCAGATGATCAGAGTCTGATTGTGATTTGTACTATAGATTATGCAGATTTAGTATCAAATACACGTCTTTACTAACTTTGTATTAGGCCACTAGGGCAAAAGAGCTCAATCACCACCAGCACCGTGGTGGTATAGAGGGTACGAATCACCCAATCCAATCCCCCCAACACTTTGTTGTCATCCTTATTACTCGCCAGAATGCCACGTGATGACGCCTATTTAAGCAGTGTTGCGCCAGCTACGGATTAGATAGTTACAATCAACCAACCTTCCACCTCAAATTGTATGTTCTGAGTGTAATATCAAACTCAGCAGATATCAACTATATTGACTATACATATTTTTATGGTGTATTTTGTATATATTTTTAGCATTTAATATATAGTTTTAATATCTAATTGCATTGTTGAGATGTCGTAGAAATTAATCACCTTGTCGAATTGTAAATTGGTGATCGTTAGGTGGGAGCAGTGCAAGTCAGTGTAATTATGATACCTTTTGATGGCAGAAAAGTAGTTGAGGCCCAGTACAAGAGCTTTAAAATTCTTTTTATAATATACATGAATCTCTATTGTTATATCGGTAGTTATTTCTGTTTTACCTCTATATCATCTTTATAACTTCAATAACCATATATAGCTCTATTCTCATAGAGTTTCAACGTACCACCCGACCCGACATATTGTGTTGCTCTCGCTTAGATAGTTAACAATGACACAACAACGTTATCATTAGACAAATTCTCTTCTAAATCAGCAGCAAGGTCCCACTTGCTGCAAACTCAGTGTAATTAGTGGGCCTTCTCATCACCCTGTTAAAGCAGTTACCGCGTGTCATTATCTTGAGATTTTGACCACATAGGCCAAATGAATACCAAGCAAGACATTTAAATGTACAGTTAGCTCTTGCTATCCTGCTTTGAATAGATAAATAACTGTGTGCATTTTGTGAAAAAAAAAAAAAAAACAGTTAAATGTATATATTTTTTATTCATCATGAGTTCAGTTCTTTCAACCATTTTCAATCTGCTTATAATTGCCATATGCTTGATTCCGGCAGCCAGCAATACTACTTTATCATCAAGTATGAACATTTCTTCTTTTTTTCTTTTTTCTTTCATTCTTTTTCATTCTTTCTTTCTTCATAATTTTCTATATTTGTTTCAAATATGCTAGTAATATATATTCTAACTGTTGTGACAGAGTTAAACAGGATTATTAAAAGAGAAGTATATGATATGCTTTACAGTGTAGAAACTGATACCAATGGGATGTTACATGTAGCTGATGATGGTATATTACGATCATTTGATGAAACTGGCAATGTTATTGACTATAGAAGGTTAAATAATAGTCATTTGAGAGCTATTGCTAGCTCATATTCAAAAGATATTAATGATTATTTATTAAATATATGGAATAATATTGATGGCTTTCAGGTTGAAGAGAAGGCAATTTGGCATCCATCTATTGATCTTTATCCTCTTCCACTTTTACAGAAGAGTCAAAGTATATTTTCTTCAACAACACATCATTCATTACTACGTCGGATTATAGCTTGTGCTGATGTTCAGTGTACTGGGCATACAACATGTAGAGATCTGGGTTGTGAGCAATGTATATTAGTGGATAAGATAGCAACTGGTAGATGCAGTTTTTATTAAAACACTGTGGCGGACATAAAGCCTACATAAACAGAATTTTCCATCCCCCTATTGAAAATTAGTAGCAAACATCGCAAAATAGCTTAAATATAGAGCCTTTTGTTGAAATTCCATCGAGTGCTTGTGAGCTTGGTTAAACTTATCTGAGTCTATCTAGGGGTTATATGCTTCGTTATATGCGGTAACTAATTATTGGACCGGCCCGAAGCGGTTCGTTCCGCATCGCAATCTTCGTTGGCAGAATGCTAAGGGAGTGAGAGAAACTGCACCTCAACCCACCGGTTACTAGTATCTATTGACAACCGCAAGGGTGATTGCTGAAGTTACATGATTTTAAGTGAGGGCTTACTTTCCGAGGCGAATATGGGATGGATTCAATGGACATCTTCGCTCTTTGGAACAGTGGATGTGCTAGACCTCGTTCGGGGCTTCTTTTTGGTTATGGCTAGCACAGTACGAAGCCATGCCATACCCTGTAGCAAGAATTTGCTCGTTGATGGACTCACTGATCAGTCTCTAGATTCTTCTTGCAAACAGTATCCCAATCGTTAGCTCTCGTTTCGTTGCTTATGGCCCACGAGCCACGTCGTCGGAACCGGCAAAAGCTTCACAGAATCGGGAGCAAAATGACCGCACGGTGTCCAAGCTATTCCCTTCGTCAAGGGTCATGCAAATTTTGGACTTGGTAGCATCATTGCGAGTGCCCCACAGCTTCTTTACTCATTTCTATGTGTTATCGGTGTTATCCTCAATTCTATGGGGAACGCAAATATATTTCAAAGGGCCGTTGTTTGAAGCGATATCCTCCACTGTTAGAGAAGGGAATACCCAAATATCCATGTCACGCAATCAGATAGTTCTTTGCTGGACATTGTTGTTAATTCAAGGTATCCGTCGACTGTACGAATCAATTTTCATTACAAAGCCATCCCAATCGAAAATGTGGTTTCTACACTGGATCATCGGGCTGTTATATTACATTGCGATGGGGACGGCTATTTGGATTGAGGGATTACGTATGTGCAGATTAAATTATCCATTTTCGGCCTCTTGAGTTCTCCGTTTAACTGAGATTCGATCATCTAGCGGCGATACGTGCATCTGATAACATACTCAGCGATGTACGATATTCCACCCCATCATTGAGGACGTTCGTGTTTCTTCCCATTTTTATTATCGCTTCTGGAATTCAGCATGATTGCCATCTTTACCTAGCTTCGTTGAAAAAGTACACCCTTCCTTCTCATCCAGGCTTCCTCCACATCATATCCCCTCATTATACGGCCGAGTGCGCGATATACCTGTCGCTCGTTTTCCTAGCCGCGCCGAAGGGAGTGCTTGTCAACAAAACGTTGTTGTCGGGACTGGTATTTGTCGTTGTTAATTTGGGTATCTCTGCTGGCAATAGCAAGGAGTGGTATATGAAAAATTTTGGTAAAGAAAGCGTGAAGTACAGGTGGAAAATGATACCCTATTTATATTAGATCCGCAGCCACGAAAGACGAAATCTCGAACCTAGCTTTTCGTGGATATATCCACTAGAGAGTACGGCTTTTCAGCGGTTTGCTGTTTTCCTAGAAACAAAGGACTCACAACCCATTCATCACTGCGAAAGTAATGCCAAATTCAATTCTTTGGAATGAGGTCCTAGTTGGTTATTATTGTCTGCCCAAGAATTTCATACCATTTCCCAGCTTTGAGACATTGAGCACATCTCGATAAGTCAGACTTATTCTAGTCTCCCTTTCATAACTTCCAGTTACAAATGCTTCTTTATCCCCCAACAGTTCCCAGTTGCAAACAGTTTGTGGATTCAAATCCACGTCCATCATCCGTTCATCAATCCCATGCAAGTAATCCGTGTACAATCTCCCTGTCGTTACCAACAAACTTCGCCTCTCTTGCAATATTCTAAATTGTGATGCTCCCGTCCTCTCGGACCCTTCAAGTCGCAAGTGATTATGATTGACCAGTTTCTCACTCATCTCTAACACTATCGGTGCTCCCAAACTCACAGTCGCGACTACGGGATAGTAGGCGGGCCCGTCTTCATGACGCATGATGCCTTGGCCGGGTAGATACTCATTGATAAGTACATGATTAGGAGCTTTGTGAGGCGAATTTCGAAAGACCTCAAGCTCCGTAAATCGGGAAATAATAGGCGAAATCAACCATTGTGGGAGGGGAGAGGCTAAAAGAGTGTTGGATTTGCTCAATGCACATGGCCACGATTGAAGACGTCGCCGGGAAAGATATTTCCATCGTGGAATGGGAACGGATGTGATCTTCAAGGCTATTAGTCCTATTAACCATGCCAGGATCTATATTATTCTCAAACAGAATATGAAAAGGAAGCAAATTCAAAATACACTTAGAACCCCAGAGAGAGGTCTTCATTAAGTTTCGCAATGAGCTATATTTACATTATCTCTAATTTTCGGTTTAAACATAGGCTTACCTTTTGAAGCAACTGCTCTTCCTCGTGCTGTGTTATAAATTCAGGAATATAATATGCATTTTCAGGAATTAATCTTATTCTAGCTTTTTGCAGCTCCTCAATTGCTTCGCCGTATGCACTCGTATCTTGTTCGCCTGCCATCTCATATCTGACGGCTACGTCTCTGGGGGTCCTGTTTGTGAAAGAGCGCTTGTTGGACGAATATATATATAAAACTGAAGTTCGAGAGGTAGAGTGGTTATTGAAGTTCTGGAACGGAAGGCTATGGTTTTGTCGATTGGATGGATTGTGATGTTGGAGTTTTGATGTTGATATAAACCACCAGCACTGCACCAGCCAATGAATAAGCGCATGAGAGCACACCCCGCCCTTAACCTCACCACCTCAAGCTTCACAACTTGAGATTGAGCTTGACATCAAAAGTTCAACAACGCTTCTCGGGCAATATTATTCTGTCATCTCAATATACATATTTCGACCGTAATATCTCGAATTTCAAACGTCATATCCGCGGGAGCACTTCCATTCATTGGGCATATTCCACTTTTGTTCACAGCGATGGCCAAGGGCAACGCCAAAGACTCGGGTGCGAAAGGAAAAGGCAAAGGCAAGGCGAAAGACAGTGCTAATTCCGATGAGGGAGGCAAAGGCAAAGGGCTAAAGCCTGCAAATTCCATTAATGTTCGACATATTCTTGTAAGTATCTGATTTTTGCGCCTTTTAGCTTTGGGCATTGTCTTTCATAACCGTGGAACATTCAGGATATCATCGTTCCATGGCTAAACGATTTATATTTTAATATTTTAATCATTATAAACCCTTGTTAACTAGCTGTTCCTGGGGGTAGTGTGAGAAACACTCCAAAAAGGAGGAAGCTGCTGAGAAGCTGAGAAACGGGGCGAAATTCGATGACGTTGCAAGAGAATTTTCAGAGGATAAAGCTAGACAAGGTTTGTCTCAATTCCATTTTGTTATCCTTCATTTACGCCTTAATGATCTGGCTCGTTACCACAACATATTCAATCTTCATGCCCACATTGTATCACATCTTTCACGCCCCTGGATCACGTGCGAGAGATAGGATGTTGTTGAGGCGCCCACGTATCCTTAGACTCACAACTTGATTTATCTCATGGTGTCTCGTCGTGGCTACATGCTTGGGAAGTGGGAGATGTCGAGGACTTTGAGAAATTTTTGAAATTCGGCCAATATGGTCATCTTGATCCCTTGTTCCTTTCCCCTTACTTTTAAGCCAACAGTGTCAATTACATAGAAACAAGAGAAAAAGAGAGAGAAAAGATTAGCCCCCCTTTCTGACATGGTACGAAATAGGTGGATCTCTTGGCTGGAAAGTTCGAGGAAGCCTTAATGGCGAGTTTGAAAAAGTTGCATATGAGCTAGAACCCAGTACAACCGCGAATCCAAAATGGGGGGAAGTGAAAACGGGATTTGGGTACCATATTATTATGGTGGAGGGGAGAAAGTGACAGGTGAATAATGTTGCATCCCTCAAGTTGAGCAAATGGAAGGAACAGTTAAGTGGTCTATGGTATGTTCTTCTCCAAAGACAGGCGGGGGAAATGGTCATCTACTTGAGCATGATATCATCTTTTTTTTTCCTTTTTGTTTTTTATTTTGGTCTGTGAACTCGAAAGTATGTTGCTAGGAGGAAATAACTGAAATTGATTAGGAGTTTGGCGTTGTGGGAATGACCAAGTACTCCTCAGTCAAAAGATTTTTCAAGGATCTCACTGGCGAACATAGACGTAGGATACCGCCTTTTCCTAATAACCCAATACGTATTATCATTACCCATAATGGGAAAAAAAGTCTTACACTAGCAAGAAATAATGAACAAACTTGGAACAGCTTTGGTAGAATTGCTCAATATAGCTAAAGTGTGCTGTGCTGTGCTTTGAAGGATGTAAGCAGAAGTATGTCGTCTACTCCGATAATTCTGTATTTCGATGATGAAATGAGAACGGATATTAATGGTCCGGATCATTGGAAAGTATCATGATCTTGGGCCATTAGCGTCTCTCTTCTTTCTGCGTAGAAGGTGTCCGCATCGTCGTGTGCTCTTAGTTTTATCAGTAGAAGCCGATCAGCGAGCATTCTATCATAAAATCCAGCAACGGGTCTGTACTGCGCACGGAGTAAGTAAATCCACGCCGCAACATGTGAGCATAGCGAGCCGAAGACAAGAGCATTTCCAAGTCGCCACTTCATTTCAAGGTGGAGCCATGCTTTTCGCTTGTCAAACAAGCTGGTCAATGATATGGGTTCAGAAATCCATTGGAATATGAAATGAAGACGATAACCCGCCAGTTGATAAACTGGTTTCATTGTCCCGAGCCCGTATTGGGGATCGACACTACTCATCGCTGGGGTCGGATGGGTCGGGAAGCTCCAGTCTCCACACCAGGGTGTTACGGGCACTTGGTTGTGGCTCGGATAAAATCAGCGGTGGAATAAAGGTTAGAACAAATAAAAGTGTAAGCTTATCAAGCCCGTGGAAGTAGCTAAAGCTCAAAACGTGCATCTTGGAACGATTTGCGCCATTTTGGTCAGGTTTGACCGGATCAACCATTCTGGGTCGCCAATCAAAGTTATACTGACCTGGCAGGCACCGACGCGAATGGATGGTGAACAAGTCCAGAGCAGGCTGAGCCGCTATGTGTCGCACCATCGTGGGAGAATCATAGGTCGGGGGCCTTTCCCTCAAGGCCAGCAGATATTCGGCAATCTGTCAGTCGGCGTGTTTCTTCCCTGCAAAGCGGTACTGGGAGAAGAATCCAGAAGGAAAGAAGAGCATCAGTATTAAATGCTTCGATACAGAAGCTGCTATCTTCGAAGATTGATATAGTAAAGGAATTGAACATGGTTGAGCCTCAGTATTATTGCTCCCAAAAGGCTCAAAATATCTATTTTTTCAGTCCAATTCCCTTACTGAATTACATTCTGAAAATGTTAATTAACAGAGAGAGGGGAATTTATAGCCACTGTAGCATAGGCTAGAGCTCGTTTGTCACCCTCTGTTGAGGATTGAGAGGAAAAAAGGAATATGGGCAAGAATGGAAAAGATCAGAGCAATCTCATCTGGGACTTGGAAAATGTCGATGTTGTTGTCAGATATCATGAATGGAGAGGATAAGCTCCAGCATATCCAGCCTTAACTTCACTGGGATATTAAAATGTATGTGCTTCCTTGTGCCATTACCTTTTCAAGGTATTCGTGGAAGGTTGGGCCTCCAACAACAGTGGAACTTGGAAGAATGAATGCAGGCGGCGCTTGGCGAAACATAGGGCAAACTCTAGCCTGTCCACGGGATGCTCCTGAACGAAAGCACCGAGCAAATATAATCTATCCCTATCCGGAGCCATGAATTTAGTGTGGCTTCCAATGGTGTAACTTCGCAGACAGCGAGGAATATATGGTGGGACTTGACTTGGCCAATGAGTACCTGCTCTACTTTCTGGAGCCAGTTTGCGAAAGGTACTGGCAATGGCCTCTCTCAAAGGTTGAAATTCGAATAAATTTTGTTTCCCGCTGGCCCGGTGAAAAAATATTGTTTTGTGTCAAGCACAAACAGTAAGGACAGGCGGTATCCTGCTCTGTTTCATTTCCATTCTAGAGGATAAACCATTACCGGACGGCATATTAAAGGCGTTGCATGTTGTCGCAGGGTGTTCGGTTTTCATGCTCACGCTCACGCCATCAGAGCCAATCCTGATGGCATTTGGCTACGTTCGACCCATTCATTGGCAGAAAATGTGGAGGTACCCATGCTAGTTGTGCAACAAGTATAAAGAAAAACTTGAAAATCAGTCCAGAAGCCTTGCGACATCGATCAATACATCATTAATCAGTTGAACATATTGCATTGTCTGTTTCGGAATCAAATTTGCAGCATGGCTGATCCAATATCTTCGATAACTGATCTGCGGATATTTGTCTTCGCACTCGCGATATTTCGTGAAAGGACGAATTTTCTGGCTCCGAGTTTTATAGCGAAACGTAATGAGAGTATTAGAGAAAAGGGTATACCTTCTAAGGCCAAGGGAAACGAGTCTCCTTGCATGTCAGCTTTGATTATTCTCTCATGTTCACCTCAGAAGTTGGTCACAATTGGCTTGGCCCTCCCCTTTGGCGCATCCATCCATCCAAGACCTTCTCTATGATCACCTGCGCGCGCATTGATATTTTGCGTGATTCGCTTCCCGCCTTTTTGAACATACTGTGCTCTCTGCCCTTATTTCATAATTAGCCAACTTTAGTATAACCTCACTGTATCAGCTATCAAGGTCTCCGTCGCACGTTTGTCAAGAGGGCCGAGCCGCCTTTTTCCCCACCTCGCAATAATTCCCGGATCTGCATCTGAGGGTATTCTCACAATAGCGCCCTTCGCATCCTGGAAGTGGTACTAATATTGACCCGGATGATTCAGCTCCTCCGCCGGTCCCAGAAAACATGTTATCAACTTAAGCCACTTCGAAGCTCTTTCGAAGGCTGAAACGGCTTTACCGATGGTGGGGATGGTAAGCTTCCGTTCACCGACCTCCGTCGACTACCAGGATCATGGCAGGGATGTCAAGGCGTGGCGGCGTGGGAACTCTGGCGCTAGCGCGGGTGGTCCTGATCCACCACATCCCACTTGTCCCCAAGCACTGAACAAAACCTTACATCTTATACCCCCGGTCAGCACGTTATGGCATGCGCATGTTTGTCAATTGTTGGACGGAGTCGGGGACACGAACCATAAATAATGAAAGGACCAACTTCAAGGTCAAATAGACAAAAGGGGGAAGACAAAAATAAAACAGTCAAGAAAAGGGAACAACTTCTCTTATTTCTTCTTATTTTCCTCATCTAACCGTTCCCTGTCGATTTTCGATTCTTCCGTCATCGTCCTACCTTCCTTTTTTTATTTTTTTAATAAAAAGTCAGAAAACCCATAACCCTGATCAGCCTATACATGCAGCTCCCGATATTTCCTCCGTAGAACATTCCCTCACCTGTTCCGGCTATCCAGTTCTGTCATATCCATCCACATCTGATATTATCTCACTTCTCTCTTCACCTCCTAGAATCCCCGCCTTGCTTTTGTCGTGCAACGTCCTCGCATTTTCTCAACTCCAATAACCTCTTTGTTGAAAGGCTTACCAAGTCATCCAAAAAACCAAAGCCGAAAATCCTCCTGTAACGTCACTTTCGCTGCGTAGACATGCCTATAACGTTTAACGACATGCGCATAGTCTCAATCTGATGTTCAATCCTAATTCTTCATCTCCTACCCCAAACCCAACTTCTCACACTCGACCCTATAGGAAAAGCTTCACTCTCCCCGCTACTCCTTCAAAGTTGGCTCTTCCAAGGGGTGAATGTCGATTTATATTGCTCCATCCATCTATTCCTAACCAGCGCTGCTCGTGCCAGGGGTTTCGTCGCAATGAATCCTGTCCGGGCACTACTTGTGAATGTGGCCATCAGGCATGCTACCACATACCTAGTAATATGGTAAGCAGTTCCCAAGTAAGTGAGCCTGTCTCACCGCCAGCGCTGGCGGCGCTTCTAGAAAGGGTCTCTCAGCTAGAAGAGCAACAGCGACATGATCGAAGCCTTTGGGAGGAGGCATTGAAGGAGGAAAGACGGGCGCGTCGTGAAGATGCTAGAGTTCTGAGGGAGGCTATGCATTCGTTTTATAAGTTTATGGAACGGGAGGTGCCGCAAAAGTTTGCTGCCGTGGACGACAAGACTGATAGCTTGCTGGATCATGTGTCTAGATTGGAGGAAAGAATCGGCATAATCGATGATTCCACGATGGGGTTGGAAACTAGGGTTTTTGATCTTGAGGGTGACGATAGCGATGGCGATGACCTTGGTGATGTACATGGAAATGGTGTCGATACCCTTGAACGGGAGGGCATGAAAGCAGAAAAGCCTATAGGGGAAGACGAAAGGAATCCTAAACGAGCTAGGCGAAAATGGCAAACGTCTCATAAAGCTGACATGGAGCAGCGAATGAGTTCTTTCAAACTGGACGGCGTCTTCCAGCCAGACGGTAATTATCATTGCCAAACTTCAATGATGCCTTCTAAGAGCACTGCTGCTTCACAATGCCACTTCGTTTCCATCTCAAAATCACCGAGAATACCTTCTTACAGTCCCGCCACGGACTCTGCCTTTCCCCTAGATCTTATCAAAGGGCACAGCCCGAGGACTGGAGCTCACACATATGTCCACAGGCTAACATCCCCGTCTGGAGACTTCGTCACCCCTCTCTTATCGAAACAAGAAATCCCGCCATTTAAAACCATCCAACACGCGACAGCTATCCACACTGCAAGTGTTCCACTCATCAAACCACCTCGTCCCCGCTCTGCCTCTGCCATGCAAAACGTGGTCCGGAGGGACTCAGCGAGTCAGCAGCAATTCTTCAGAGCATATCCTTCGCCTGAGGAAAAGGGCATTGGGCCGTACTGTGAGCTGCCAAATCCGCCGCCTGGGAAACGGAAGTTTGATGCTGAGGGATATGAGCCTGAGACACGACAACGGCCAGTGTTTATCCCAATGCCACCACCGCTATCCCTGTCCGCCTCTCATCTTAAGGCTTGAATCGTATTTTTCGAAAGGGGCCCAAGTCATATATGAATCCGAGGGACAGCTTCAGCTATCAACGCGGTTGGTTTTTCAAACATCTCTTCGCCCAAAGTAACCCTCTTCTAGAACAGTGAAACTGTGATGTTACAACCGGTTAACGTCTTGATGACGACGACGATGATAATAACGGAAATAATTCTGGCAATCGCAATGGAAACGCTCCACACATCATATACTTATGTCTCTTGGATGCTGCAAGACATTGGATGCTGAAGTATTGTGATTGCGGCACAACGTGTCTCCGCCCCACCATTCTAAAGTGTCGCGCTTTCAACTTCCACTCCTCTGATCTAACTGATGTTTTCCATCGATCTCTTTATTCTTCTTCTTCTTCCTTCGATGCAGCGCTGAAAATAAAAGCCCACTTACCAAAATTTACCACCTTAATATAGAAATCAGATAGAGTATATCGCCCTCCATCAACAACCTCCCTTTTCAACTAGTCCTAGTATTTAAGTACGCCTCCCCATTTTTGAATCGCTTTCATTCAACTCAATATTTTGTTTTCGTTTTGTCAGCTCGCCTTTGCTAGATTTCATTTTTGTTTCCCGACACTTCTCCGTCCGCTTGTTATATTACCGTCATTCCTATGCATAATGATTGTAACAGAGTTAGATATAGACCTTCTCCACATACCAATGCAACAAATATGATATACAGAAAAAAAAACGTGTTATAGTTTCTCCCTGTTGGTATTGCCTCTGCTATAGACGGACGTTAACAAGCAATGAAGTGTGCTTAGCAGAGGTAATGGATATTTAAGGAAAATGTGATAAATACGCAAGCTCTAATCCGACTATCGGACATCTATGCTATCCTTGAACCTTGGTGAAAATCACCATCATGCAACATTAATACTAATTTGGCGGTAAGCCATGTAGGGCAACCCCGTGTCGACTATGTCAGCACATAACTGAGCTTACCTCTCCATTCATTGTAGCACATGAGTTTTTTGGAAGGGATACATCATGGGGAACATATTGGTGAAGGTAATAAAATGCAAGAGCATGAGGAGGGTATAAAAATATTCTGCAAAGAATCCAAAATAAAAAAACTAACGCCGTCAACATGTATAATACAGCAAAATGCTAATTAACTCAACTATTCTGATATATTTTTGTATATCATATATATATACATATATACATGTGTGTGTGTGTGTGTGTTGCTCCCCTCAACAAAGCTTTACAGCTGCTTCTCCCCTTTATTCACATTATTACTCTCCAGCTTCTTCTTCTCCTCCTTCTCTGCCAGCTTCTTAGCCTTTTCTCTCTTCTGCACCACCCCTTCTGCCCCGATGCCACCAAAGACCAGCCCAACGCCTATCCATTGGCCCCCACTCAGCCGATGGCCGAACCACATCACGCTCAACAGCATCGTAAGCATCTTCCTCGTAACTGTAACAGTGACAAGCAGCAGGGAAGAGAAATGCGCCAGAGTGTGGAATATAAATAACTGGCCAATTGCACCGCAGGCAGCGAAGGCAATTATATCCTTTGTTGCGGTTGGGTGGCGGGATAGGAACGCAAGGGCAGAAGCTAGCTCCGAGGTCTGCGATAGGTCGATGGGGAGAGGCATGAGGCGGAGAATTGAGGTGGACACGTGTGGAGTGACCAGGAGGTAGGTGGTTGTCAGGAGTGTGCAGAGCAAGTTTTGCGCCACCATCATCTGCGGGCCGGTGAAGCGTGAGTATAGTTTTGGAGACGAAAATATGTGGTCCTGAGTCGTGTTTGTGAGGCCGTCTAGGAGCAGGTTTAAGGATAGGAGGAAGAGACCGTAGATGGAGGAGCCGTTTCCATTATTACTATGGCTGTTTTTTTTCTTGCTGGAGGTGGGGTGGTGGAGGGTAAATGTCGCAACGCCAATGGTAACGAGAAGTATCACGCCGTACTTGTATAGGGGATAGCGTTTGCGAAAAATGGCGAGATGGAGAAACATTACTGGCAGTAATTTGCAGGACTTTGCAAGGACGAAAGTGAGGTAATCGATGTGTCCAAGGCTGGCATAGCCGAAGGGTGAAGCGAGGGAGGAGGATATGCTGATAAGAACAAGGGGGAAGAGGATGCGCGTTGTTGGGAAGACCGCCGGACTTTTTTGGCCCCGTGGAGTGGAAAAATAAAGGTACATGAAGCCTGTTATGGCCGCGAAAAAGGACTGTATTGTATTCAGGACGACTGAAAACGTCCATCGTTCCGTTGGCGGGTTGGGGTCATCCGCTCTTGGATCGTAAACGGCGTACGAAGTAGTAGTGATGGCTTCTTGAAGAACTCCCCAAGACAAACTTTCAATTGCATGCAGGTGTTAGCATTGGAGATTAGATAAAAACTGGAGTACATCACTTCTTACAATGACGCATATATTCCTCCAACACATATAATTAGTCGAAGAAGGCCAGGTTCGCCCCCCGCTGACGACTTTGCGACGGCTTCGGGAAAGCCTTTGCCTGATGTGACACCATTGGTTTGCCGCATATTATGTCCCAGGAAATCTGGAGGCGCATTCATCACTCCGGATGATGGAATGCGTTGTAACGGGGCTTTTTGCTTTTGGCGCGCCATTTGGATTTCAGAGGTATTGAAGTTGAACTTAGAGCCTGCGTATGGAGGTGATGATAAATGAGGCACATGTAACAGAGAATAGGAACCGAAATAACTGCAGAGATAAGCAAAACTAGACGCTGAATTAAAACAAAACAAAAGGGAACGTCTATATTGAAAGAAGGATTGAAAAGCGGTAAGAAGCAGAGGTTCAGATTCGAAATGCAAAAAAATTGAAGAATGAGAGTCGCGCTTGAACTCTACCGCCCAATGATGCCATCTGTTCTGTTGGTTCTCCTGAGGCTCTAATATACCTCAGCCCACTTTAGGGCTTGGCTGGTCACGCATCCCGGCGCTCCATTGAGCTCAGCCCTATTTAGGTCCGTTCCTTTTCTTATTACTTACCAACTACATACTACCGATTATGGAGCGAAATCAACCGTCCAGGGATATATTCAGGAGCATTATTCATATCCAAATTCATATCACGATTAGTAATGAAATTCCTGGCTAGGATTGAATTCCCCGCAGATCTGAGCTCCGACTGAGAGCCCGCTTGATGCAAGATACTTCCTGAAGAGCTAGCTCTCACCGGGCACTGAATTGATACCCAACCCGGTCAAACCACTCATCTACAATCGTCATACAATCAATCCACAGCTCCCCGCACTTCCATATACCTATCCAAACCTGCCAAATTCGCAATGCGCGCCGCAACCGCAGCCACCTCACCCACTCCCTCGCCTTCCGCCCTTACAGCCCTCACAGCCCCCACTGCTCAAAACCCCATCGCCTCCCTTGCCGTCCAAATATTGCATAACCTCCAGCACCAACACTTCTGGACAGCCCTGCGCATCCACGATCCGTACACCCTCTCCCCGACCCAACGCATACCCCTAATATCCGGCCTGCCGCCTCAAGCCTACTATACTCACCCAGACGAGCAAGCCTACATGCTAGACCATGGCATTAGTACGGACGATGTTCCCGTAGAACGCGAGTGGGTGATTCCAACGGCACAGGGACAGGCATGGAGCTTAAGAAGGCTGGCGGAATGTTTTGATGCGTTGGAGTTGCCCGATGGCAAACATGGAGACGGGGTTGGGAATGCGAATGAAGATGATTGCAGTGGTATGTCAGAAACGAATAGCGGAGAAGTGAGAGAGAACGAGAAGAATAAGGATCAAAAGGAGGAGAAAGTGGAGGCAAAGGAGGAGAAGAAACGGAGTAAAGAAGAGATATTTGCGGACTATGAGCGGCGGCGGAGGGGGAAGGAGTGGGGTGGCAAACGAGCTTTGATGGCGATGGTTAATAGAGGAATGGGTGGGGATGGGACGGTGGTGTACTATGTGGTGCTTGAGGGGAGTGTAAAACCGAGGCAGAATTGAAAGGGGGCAATGATTTCCCCTCTGGAAATTTATTTTATGGGGTACTGGCGCCAGTCATCTCTGGTCTGTTTTGGGGATATATTAAGGAAAGAGTATGGGTGATCTTGGTGGCCAAATATCAGTCATGAACCCGTTGTCGTTAGGGAGACCCAAGATTACTTCCTACGAGGCAGGAAGCGTCAGTCACAAATAACGCAACGCAAAATGATTTTATACAGGATACTGAAAAGCCTCACCCAATTTGGGAACCAAATCCGGCGACCAGAGTGGGCATTGCAGCTTGACAAAAAAGGGACTCGGTTGTCGAGAAGAACGATTCAATTCTGAAAGTTATAACAAACGAGAAATCATACCTCTATCCTTCGCGATCCAAAGGCGAAAGTTAAAACGAATAATCCGCCCTTGGTCCACCCTGACATGCGCCAATACCAGATCAAACTGGGTATCATATCAAAGCCAACCAATTTTCCCATTTGGACGAAAGCAAGAAAAACCCTACAAGAAAATCACCCGCCGCGAAAAATGAAACTCAAGGATACATATACATATATATATATATTAAAGAGAGAGAGAGAGAGAGAGACCCTGTTAGTAATCAACCACGAATCTTCTCCAGCTCCTGCTGGCAACTCAAACAATAATCCTCATACCAATACTGGATATCTTCAATATCCGTCGCTGCGAACCGCTGCTTCAAATCCGAAACCGTCTCATCGCTGCCGTCGCGGTCATTTAATCGTTCCCGATCTTTCAGTAGAGTCTCGATCGCGTGGCACTTCTGCGTTTCCTGTTGGAGCCAGCGTTCCCATTCCGCCTGGACTACTTCATTTTCTATCCGGTTAACCACCCTTAAGGCAACAAGGAGGTTGTGTCGGTAGATCCCTAGCCGCTCTCTCGTCCGTTGCAGCTGCAGCCTTGCGCCTTTTGCCCTGGAATCCTTGGTGTTGGTTTCAGAGGGTGTGATTATTCGTGGCATATCTGAAAATCCTAAAGCGTTGCTCTCGCGGAAAGTTGAGAAGCTAGACCAATCCAAGGTTATTGAAAGTCAGCTTGCTGCACATCTGCAAACCGATAAATGACAAAATATAACGGACTGACCAAGAACCTGGATTGCTTATGTCAATACCTGTAGTATTAGCAATCGCATCATCCATGTCTTTAATATATACCGCCTTGCTCATAACACGATTAGGTCCAACACCAAGCCGGGTCATGAAGTTGCCGGCATTACGCTCATGCCACCATTCAACGGTATCATGGTACGAATGGAAAGCATTAATAAGCACGCTAAACGCGAGCAACAGGAGTATGATGCTGTGAGCTCTGCAAGTTTTCCACAGCCATCGAAGCAACCCCCAAAACCAAATCATCAACGACGATACTGCACTCTGTAACAAAGACCCGGAAGTTTCAAGTAGAAGTGGGATGATACCACTTTGCTTGAGGGGACGGCGAAGATAGGGTTTTAAGTTTTGCGAATCCTCAGTAAATTCAGTGCCTCGAGTTTGGCGGCCAATGTGGCCGAATAGTGCTATAGCCATTTTTGTTTGGTTATGGGAGCCAAGCCGTTTAACCTCTTCGGAAACAAGATCCACAAGATCAAGCGCATCCTGTTCAAGATCGTTCAGGGCTTGCCTATCGATTATGCCTGGTAATCCGTCACATTAGTTATTTGATAGGAGCCGGCATATTAATTCCGGACACAGGTTAGATGAAACAACAACTTACTTCGAATGATATATGGTTCCCATAGCCATTCCACCTTGGTGAATATGGCAAGCTTGCATCTTGATTTTGAGACATAGGTAATAACAATTTTACTAACAAGCCTGAAATAGCGTTTAAAAGGCAGATGCCACGGCGTCCGTTTATCAGTAACTACGTAGCACAAGTGGTCGTTTAGAACATCAACGATTTGATAGTCAGATACATCAGTGAGGCGTAGTCGTCCTAAGTTTTTATTAGTTTGGGTTCAGAAAAATCTATGGATACGAAGCTATTGTTTCGCTTACCGAACGTGTCTGCCATCTTTATTTGATATTTGATATCGCGTCTCAAATGTGCAGAATGAAGACTCGACCACGGACCTTGTCTAATGTCTTGTACGTGTTATCCTGTTAGTTTGAATTACGACTAGTACTCAGACGAAAATATTTAAAACTTACTTTGGGCACTCCGCTGATGTTGAAGCAGTTGGCAAACAGCACTTTTATCCCCAAATAGAACATGGAACAAGGCTTTCGAACTGATATCATAGAATTTCTCGGCAGCTAGGAGAGGGGCACCCTGCGGCACATAGTGGACGGGCTGAGATGGCAACTTTATTCGAAGTGAGTCGTGATCATGCTTGCGTTTATTCATATTCAAGTCATGGTCAGGGCGTAATTCTGGCTTAAAGGGGGTATCAGAACGTTTCCCGGCAACGTTACGCGACGCCCCATCGACTGGGGTGTTCAGGGAGACATCTTCCCAACTCTCCATACTTGGTGTCCGTGTAATATCCTCCATTTTTATCAAAGATTTAAATATTTTCTCCAAATTGGGTGGTTCCTTCGCCTGCGACATGTTGACTATATAATTCAGCCTCTTATGGATCATTTTCATAGAGTCCAAAAAAGTTTTTATTGTAAGTCGACGTGGGATATCGTTTCCCTCTTCAACATCTAGGTGAAGGAACAAGAAGTCGCAATCTCTACCGGGAGCAGCCGTGACATCAGTAATCATATCGAGGTCGACACAACTTGTAAACACGAGACTGAAATGATTGCTGTAAAAATAGATGCGTCTTGTCGTGACGTATGCTCTTCCCGGGAAGTCGTGATGGTCATTCAAACTTAAACAGGCTCGAAATACAAAAACAAGAGTTTCATCTTTTGCAATATTGGGGAAAAGAAGTCGAAACTGTGCGTCGTGTGGTTTTAGCTGTGCAGGATAATAGCTGGGATACTCGGATGCAACCGTGGCACCGTCCTTCAGAGTTGATGGATTGCCACCATCAAGACTAACAGTTTGTCTGTGGCGACCTGCGAGACGATCATCTTCGGGCGGGCTGCAATTCCTTGGAGCTTCTTCAACAGATCCCTTGGGCTGTACGCATCATAAGTTAGCTAGACAGTAAGAAAACTACCACCAGATAAAATATTTGAGAAGAATAATACCTGGCCATCAGTTCCTTCCGCCAATACAGGTACTCCTTTACACTCCAAACTGTTCATATAACCCCAATGTGAACTTCCCCAAAGGTTTGCCATCATACCGCTGGGCATTGCCCCTGTCCCATCTGGGATTCTGACCCCAAATCCGATTTCACTGCTCACAATCACCGCTGCTCTACTCATACTAGTAGGTGTAGGAGGATTCGCCAAGGTTGGAGGTGCAAGGGATCCCACCGGGCCATCTCGAGTGTTGTAATTAAATATGTTGGGATACCGCTGTCTATATTCATTTTCTGGGGCGTTTCCGGATGCTTGCGCGCCGAGAGGGAGGAGAGTGTGACTGGCAGCTATCAGGGAAGCTATACCAGGCGTATTGGACTGAGGTGATGAAGTACTGGTTTGTTGTAATCCTGTTGCGGCACGTCGATGGATATCGAGCTTTTGAATAAGCCTACTTGCATGGTCCCTTCCGCCGCTTTCCACCTCATGCTCGACTGCAGTGGACCGCCTTGATGGCAGGTCGCTACTATTCCGGATTGCAAAACCATCACGGTCTGTAAGCGGGGCAGTACAAACTCGGTCTATGATGGAAGGTTCATCATTTGCACCGGGTGTGAGGGACTCCGAGGTATCTGCAGCAAACTCAGGTGCCGGCGGCTGAGATATTGAGAAAGCAGGGTCTTGGACTTGCGGATTTCCAGGAAGGGAAGCTGGAAAAGGACTATCGAGGGCTTTTCTCTTGGCCGCTTCAAAAGACCCGATCCATTCTGTGAGCTCCTTTTGAGTCTCAGCTTGTAGCAATATAGTATTGTTCTTAGTCTTGACCTCAAAGCAAAATCGGCGTTCCTCTTGAAATGCAGGTCGAATACTGCATAGAAGAACCCCGATTCTCTCACTTTCTTCCACGCCGCCGGTTCGAGAGCTATGTACCAGGCACCCGAAGATCCCATGCCTCAAAAAGGTCCAACGGCGGACCCAGGCCGTTCTTGTAGGTTTCCCAGTAAGGATCCTCAAGTTCAACCAACCTTGTTTTTCGGGCCGGAAGGTATGGTCCTTCCCCATCTTAAGTGAAGCGGGACCGTGTGAGCCTAGATATGGCACTGTAGATACCGAATAATCGTCAAGTTCTCGAGATGGCCGAACAGCCAGCTCAGCAGCCTCTTCGATTTGCTTTCTAGCGGCGAGCAGGTCACGTTTTGATAGTTTCTCACTTGTCTCAATCTCGTTGGACCAGCCCTTTATTCTATCCATCTCCTGGCCCCATTTTGAATACGCCAACGAATTGGCTTCGCGCAAAATCCTGAACTCCCGCCATTGATCGAATGAAACGCGCACGATGAGTTTGTCGAGCGCATTTTTTATCTGCGGCGATTGGACACAAAAGTCCATCGACGCTTTCAAGTAGGCTTTGCGAGCTTCGTGTAACTGGAAGGCATCTTCTCGCAACGAAGACGGTTCCTTCGATTTGCCCTGAGCAGAATATTTCGCTTGTAAAGTGTCATGTTGTTTTTGGGTTACTTCAAGTGTACGACGCGTTTCCTATAACATTCATTGAGCCGTCAGTGAACAGCAATACCACCTAGGGACGGGCAGGCGGAGTCCAGAACCTCCACCCCGAGCTCCACAAACCTTGAACTGTCGCAAATCATTCTGGATGAACGCCCGTATAGGTTCCGCAATCAACGAGTCGGACTTCTTAACAGTTGAGATGACAGCGTTCCAAAAATCTTTCACAATCTCCCCGTGTCGTCTCAAGGCAAAGAATGCATAATCATGATCGATGGCCGCTTCCGAGATAGCGGCCGGGGCTGGGATATTGGAGATCAACGCGTTTGCCGCAGTTTCAAGCGACGCGAGCTCTGAGTTCAGCCTGACGGCGCTCCTGGCCACTCCATCCAGCCATTTCTCCACAAGATCGATCTGCTCAGCGAAATGCAAGGCGCTTGCGCGAAAGGTCGGTGAATCGAGAGCGGCCTCCTTCAGGCCCACCGGGCTGGTTGCAAATCACCCTGTGTTAGCTAGCTACATCCCCAACAAACCAAGAAAATAAACAAAATAAATATACATGGTACTGATGGGGTTCGCATCCTGGGTGCCAGAGGAGGACGCTGGCTGGGATGTGGCCATGTAGTAAACAGTCTATGGGAAATACACCGCCGTTTCCATAGATCAGGAGGAAGGGGCTGTTTCAAATAGCCAAGCAATTATGACTGGTTAGCGGAAAGGCGCATGATATGAACACACACACATATATATATATACGAAAGCATGAGATATGTCAGAGGAAAGGTGTTGTAGGTGGCAATGACGGTGGTGGGCCGCTGTGGGACAATCCGCAGCTCGCCCTTGACCAAACTCTACCACAGCGCCCCAGCTCCCGCACACCGCTCTCCTCCCATTGGCCGCGAGGGATGAAGCTAAATAAATACACAGTCAAGAAGGAGAAAAATAACCCACCAAGAAAAAAATATAACTTGTTTGTAGGGCTGGATTTCGCGCCACCAACCAAGCGCTTTTTATTTCTCGTCTCAGTTTTCCTTATTGTATCCTATTGTTATTGCTCTCGTTAGTGTTGACTACCATTGTCTTGCTCTATTTTGTCCGTCCTGTTTCAGCGTTGTTGGTCGAGAAAATGGAGCCGCCAGCCAAGAAGCAGAAGAAACTGCTCATGGACGATGACAGCTCCAATGACAGCAGCGATGATGGAGGAGCCCTGCTCGGCAATGGAAACAACAACATCGGGTTCAAAGTCAACGAGGAGTACGCGAAGCGGTTTGAGTATAACAAAAAAAGAGAAGAAATACAACAGTGTGCGTTGTTTCCTTCTCCTTTTCGAGATCTATTTCTATTTCTCTCTCCTTTCCTTTGGTTTTTTCTTTCCTTTTGTTTTCTTTTCTTTTCTTTTCTTTTCTTTTCTTTTCTTTTTTTTGTCTTTCCTTCTACTTCCCGGAAATTGCCCACTAACATTATAAAAAAATATCTATAGTGGAGGACAAATACGGCAAAACAACCGGCCTTGGGAAACGCAAAAAGCTGGCGGATGACGGTGCTGACACGTCAGACGGATCCGAAGAAGACGAGGGGGAATCATCCTCTGAGTCCGAAGATGAAGATGATGAAGGAGTGTTAGCAACCGAAGACCTCGACCGCGAAATTTTTGATACATTAAACGCTATCCGCTCCAAGGACCCCAGGGTCTACGATGCCAATGTCAAATTCTACAGCGAAATCAAAGAAGCGGAAGATGAGTTGGAGTCATCGTCAGCTAAGAAGGAGAAGCCTATGTTCATACGCGATTACCATAGAGAAAATCTGCTGCGCGGCGGCGCCAATGGTGGCGAGAAGGAGGCGGAGGAGGAACCAAAGACCTTTGCACAAGAACAGGCAGATCTGAAACGGGAGATTATCAAAGAAATGCACGCCACCAATGATGCAAGTGATGGAGGCAGCGGGGGCGAGGATGAGGAGGGCGGCTTCCTCATTCCGAAGACAAAGCCAACGGTCCCTGATATTACAAAAGCACCTGTGCTGGATGTCGAATCTGCAGACAAAGACCCTGAAACCTTCCTGTCCAACTTCTTGAAATCCAGGGCCTGGGTCCCTACCGAAAAATCGAAATTCCAGCCCCTAGAATCCGATGACGAGGAAGAAGAGCAGCAGGCCGAGGCCTTCGAAGAAGCATACAACTTCCGTTTCGAGGATCCCAATAAAATCAACGAGGTGCTAGTGACGCATTCTCGAGACACTACGTCCAAATTATCTGTCAGGAGAGAAGACCAAAGTAGCAGGAAGAAGAAAAGACAGGCCGAACGACTGAAGAAGGAAGAGGAAAAGAAGCAGCGTGAAGCGGAGCGGAACCGTCTACGGAAACTGAAAATCGAGCAGCTTGAGGAGAAAATTGAGAAGATCAAGGCAGCCGCAGGCCTGCGAACGTCAGATTTCAGTGAGGAGGATTGGGCACGTTTTTTGGATGATGGATGGGACGATGCCAAGTGGGAGGAGGAGATGGAGAAGCGATTTGGTGAGAAGTACTACGCTGAGGCCGAAAATGGTGATGATACTAGTAGTGGTGGAGGATTACATGGTGGCTCCAAGAAACGAAAGCTGAAGAAGCCCAAGTGGGATGACGATATCGACATCAAGGACTTGGTTCCGGATTTCGATGACGAAGAAGGGGAGATGCCCCAGCTCAGTGACACGGACATGCAAGATGCAGCGCACGAGGGCGGTGATGAAGGAATCAATGGCGATGGCGATGAAGAGGATGCCGCTAAACCCAAATCCTACAAGCACAAGAAGAAACAAGCCCTACAGGAGAAAAAGGAGAAGCAAAAGGAAGCACGAAAGGAACGCCGGAAAATCGAACAGCTCGTCGACAAGAGCCTTGACCTCGACCTCGACACAGCCCTGCTCCCGGGCGCCTCCAAGAAATACAGCGGCCAGTTCCGCTACCGCGAGACGTCGCCAGTTAACTTCGGACTGACTGCGCGAGACATCCTCATGGCGGATGACAGCGCCTTGAACCAATTTGCGGGCTTGAAGAAACTGGCGTCGTTCCGTGACCCGGAGCGCAAGAAAAAGGACTTCAAGAAGCTGGGCAAGAAAGCACGACTACGGCAGTGGCGCAAGGAGACGTTTGGTGATGAGAACGGAACCCCTGCCGACTTTGCGCTGCCGCTAACGGCCCAAGAGAGTACATCGGCCGGTGCGGAGGGGAAACATGCGACAGATAAGAATAAGGATGATGGGGCGATGACGGTGGATATTCGAGACGGAAAAAAGAAGCGGAAACGGTCTAAGAAGAAGAAGCATCAAGAAGGGCTGGATGAGGCATAATAGCTGGTTGGAGCTACAATGCTTTTTACGGATGTGCCGATATTGACGTCGGATGTAGGTATAAGATCTTTGCAATGAATTTCACTTAATTGACAGTTTCTTCAATAATTTTACTTTGTTCTATCATCAGGTAATCAGCAGAGGCTTTCTTTCATTTGCATCACCGACGTCTTGTGCATCACGCATCAGTTGAAGTCCCCCGCGATCCGGTACTCGCACAGAGTACACTACACTCTCGATTACCGGAGGTCAAAACCAACAAGAACGCATGATAATTGCACAGAGTATATGTTGCTGTATGTGTACAATATTCGTCGGATTTGCCCACAATGCACAAAAATAGACAAAACTTTCTCCAAAAAAAGGAGAACAAATTTTTTTTTTGGTTCCACGCCACCTTTCTGGAAGAGTGACGAGAGACCTACCGTAGCTAGCCAATTAGACCCATGATAATATTCTGAATCCACCTTCTTAGCCAGCTGCGTTCTCTCCTGGCGACAACGGCCGAGGGTTGGCATGCGACGTAGTGTCGAGATAGGCGGAAGGGCGGTGGCATCGAGGTTATATAGGTGCATGTACTCGTCGGTCACTCGTTCCACGCAGAACAACATTCCGAGAGTCAATGTTCTCCGGCCATATCTCGTAAGACTCTGCATCCTACATCTCCTCTCCCCACAGTGGCCCAATGGCCCAGTGGCCCCAGCATGTTCTTCTCCACCTCTCTCCCTCGCGCTTTTCTATCGCCGTTTGTTGTTCGGGAGATCTCGGCTTGAGGCAGCGTGGCCCAAAGCGGCTTAGCGCGGCAGAAAACCCTTCGCCCTGCCAACCGATTTTATTTCTTCCAAACTTTTTCTTTTCTTTCTCTCCGTCAGATTTTTTCTCCTCGCTTCTTCTTCTCCCATCCCCAGCACATCCCACCGTGAGGCTTCTGTCTTCGTTGCCCTACTCTCCAATCTCCCCTCCATCCTTCTCTCTTTCTCTCTTTCTTTAGTGCTGTTTCGTTTTTCACACAGCCCAAAATGGCCAAGCAGCAAGATAAGTCCTTCATGGGCATGCCCGTAAGTTACCTCTTCCCTCCATCCACTATGGGGAAAGGAGTCAATATGTTCTCGAATTGGGCCATGCGCAATCGCGTCGTGTTCGCTTTGGTGGCGGGTAGCATCGCTACAAGGCCTTGGGAATCGACGCTGCGATGATGGCCCCTTCGATATGCTCCAAACCTCGGTTGATGATGGCTGTTGATGACCATCCATTTTTGCAAACGAATGGCGGCTAACGTTTGTCATTTTCTGCTTTTCCATCTCCAGGGCTTCGTGGTCGACTTCATGAGTATGTGACCTATAGTCCTTATCGTGTTGGTTGGATGATAGCAGTCGTCGCGGAGCCGCGCTGCTATCATTGTGAACAGATTGTCAACTAACACGGTTTTGCTTGCTACAGTGGGTGGTGTCTCCGCCGCCGTCTCGAAGACTGCCGCCGCCCCCATCGAGCGTATCAAGCTCCTCATTCAGAACCAGGTACGTCGCTTAAGCACATTATGACAACTTTTTGTTATTGTAAAAATTTTTACAATTTTTTTTTTCAAATTATTTTCTCGTGATTGTGCTAACCATTTATTCAATATAGGACGAGATGTTGAAATCCGGCCGTCTTGATCGCAAATACAACGGTATCATTGACTGCTTCAGCAGAACTGCTAAGAATGAGGGTGTCGTCTCTTTGTGGAGAGGAAACACTGCCAACGTCATCCGTTATTTCCCAACCCAGGCCCTCAACTTTGCTTTCCGTGATACCTACAAGTCCATGTTCAACTTCAAGAAGGACAGAGATGGATATGCCAAGTGGATGGCTGGTAACCTGGCCTCTGGTGGTGTAAGTATTCACGCGACCAAACCAATACCACGTTTTTCAATCAAGCAATCCCGGCTAATTGATATCCTCAGGCTGCTGGTGCCACTTCCTTGCTCTTCGTTTACTCCCTCGACTATGCCCGTACCCGTCTTGCCAACGATGCCAAGAGCTCCAAGGGTACTGGCGAGCGTCAATTCAACGGCCTGATCGACGTCTACAAGAAGACTCTCAAATCTGATGGTATCGCCGGTCTCTACCGTGGTTTCGGCCCCTCCGTCCTTGGAATTGTTGTCTACCGTGGTCTCTACTTCGGCATGTACGACTCCATCAAACCCGTCCTCCTCGTTGGTCCCCTTGAGGGCAGCTTCATCGCCTCCTTCCTGCTCGGCTGGGGTGTCACCACTGGTGCTGGTATTGCTTCTTATCCTCTGGACACTATCCGTCGTCGTATGATGATGACGTCTGGCGAGGTATGTATACTTTTTTTTATTCCACCCTAATTATTACTATTGTTCGGGAAGTTTTTTTTTTCTTTTTCTTTGGCTGACCTCCGTTTCCTTTTCCAACACGTAAAGGCTGTTAAATACTCCTCGTCCCTCGATGCCGCCCGAAAGATCGCCGCTGCGGAGGGTGTCCGATCCTTCTTCAAGGGTGCCGGTGCTAACATCCTCCGTGGTGTCGCCGGTGCTGGTGTGCTCTCCATCTACGACCAAGTCCAACTGATCCTCTTCGGCAAGGCCTTCAAATAAGCGCATGTATTATTCCACAGATTCCTTCAATATTAATTCCTTGTGGTTGAGGCGATGGAGCCGGCAGGGAGTGGTGTGAGCGAAGTTTTGTGCGCGGTGTGGTTTTGAGTGAGCGGTGGCGCAACCGGAGTGTCGTATGGGAGGGGAAGGGGGAAAAGAAGAAAAATAAAAGGCAAAAAGAAACAAAAAAAAGATAGAAGATATGCATCAAGAACTGTCTCTTTTTCTTTTATCTTGGCTGCATGGTAACAAACAAATATGGCTTCTTTTTTTCTTCTTTTAAAACATGTTGTAACTTTACTACTGCTACTACTGCTTGCCTGCGAGCTTCTTTTATGTTTCTCTGTACTTTCTCTTGTGTGTATGTGTGTTCGATTTTGGCATTCCAAATCAATTCCCTTGCTCCTTTTCCTCTTTTCCTATTCTATCGGTATTTCTTTCCTCCGCCTGTTATACTACACTTCATAGAGAAAGCTCCTTTTGTCCACCGTGTCACCTACGCGCACGGCATGTGACTGATGATGTCAGCAAAAAACCGTAACTAGCTACACCAAGTATCCTCCAACGTGGAGTTGTATAGTTACCTCCGTTTGTGCACGAAGCCTATTGTCTTGTCTATTGGTGATCCCAAGCTCACTCCCGCTCGATCATCGTGCTATCCCACACGCACCTCACAAGGGAGACAGACATGAACTTACATCTCCAGAATCCCCCGCCAAGAGACCCATCTGAAGGCGAAGGCGCAGTCTCAAATGCGCCGGAGCCTACAACATCCCCACGCTCCTCCACATCTATCCCGACACCTGTTCCAATGGACAGTAGCAGTGGCCGCAATGCTGACTCCGCCCCGCCCCCCTCCCACCCCATCTCATCCCATTCAGCCTCGATAGTATACACACCAGATTCTCTCTCCCAATCACCCACGCAGACCACTGCCAATCCGCCCACAGCAGTGGATCCATTGTCCCCTCCGCCACCAGCACCAGGACAGACGCCAGTTCCCATCCTACCAACTCAAACCGGAGCGGGCACAACCGCCATGCACCCACCACCCATCCCTAACTCTATCCCCCCACCACCACCGAAAGCAGGCCAGATCCCAGCCGCCGCCTCCTCTTCCGCTTCCGCTTCCACCTCCCGATACCAACCAGCCCACCCCGCCCTGCAACATCAACAACAACAACAACCAGAACAACAACTACCACCCCCACCCCCGCCACAGCACAACCAATCCCTCACCCACCCGCCCGGCTACGTGCAAAACCCAGCCATAAACGATCCCCGCAGCGCACACACCTACACCTACACCCACAACTACCCCTACGGCGCCGCCTCCCCCGCCCCGCCAGCAAACACAAGCAACGTCGGCGGCAGCTGGCGCTGGGACGACGCCCCCGGTGGCGCGGGGGGGAGGTATGTGTATCAGGACGGCAGGGGGTGGGCGGGGCCGGGGCCGGGGACGGGCCCAGACGATGTCGATGAGGGTGCGTGGCCTGGTGCGGCGATGTGGCGGGGCGCGGTGGAGTTGGTGAAGACGGCGGGGAATCGGCTTGCGGAGGCGGAGGCGGGGGTGTGGAGGTGGGTTAATCGGCGGTGAGGTGGGCCGTGGGATTGGGAAATGGAGGAGGGTTAAGGGTTAAGGGGAGGGGTAGGGGGTAGGAGGTAGGAGGTGGAGTTTGTACATTATGGGTTGGGGATTGGTTGGGTTGGCTCTTTGGATTTGGATGATTTGGGCTATTGTTATTACTGAATGGACGTTTGGTTTGGGTTTGGAGTATTATGTTATTGTATGAACTTGATTTGTATGATATGGGTACGCTTTTGAGACAGCTCCTCCCCCTCGAACATTGTTCTTCTGTTTTCTCCTCCTATTTTTTTTCAACTTCAGAATCCTCTTCAACACGCAACAACAAAAAAATAAAAATTTTAAAAAGGAGATGAGGTTTGCAGTTTGAAATAACACGATCCGGTGCAACTTTTCCACAGGTAGTCAGAATAATGCTATACCGAGATACAGCCGCTCATAATCCTCCAATGAATGATTGAGCGCAGAAACCGTGCGATATAGCTACTAAACTATACAAAAGAATGACAAGGTATATATATTCATGTGTAAGGAAACAAAAAAAATAAGGAAGTAAAAGCACTTTGCAGCCATGCATATTCAACTAAAACAGGAAATATACGTAATATACCTTCACAAACAGAAACAGAGGAAAATAGCAGCTGTATGTGCCATATATCTGTAACTAATATGTAATATATCACTAACAAAACACACGGTATAGAGGTAATGTATACACAGTATACACAGTTTATATATAAGGTTATGTACATCATGCAGCAAATGATGAGGGGTTATAAAACTCACAGAAGAATATAATCAAAGGATCAGATATAAAATGAAGAGAAAAGCAGTATGTAAGCCTCTCAAATCAATTCTAGATAGTTTCAATGTGTCATTAAAAAGAAAAAGAAAAGAAAAGAAAAGAAAAGAAAATTCATAAAAATTGAAGTACTCAAGCATCAACTCAGTACTGTACATTTAAGACGACCGAGGTAGTGGAAGAAGGGCGAAGAAGAGACAGATCAGAGATAAGTTATGAACAGAATGCAAGGGGCAAGGAAATAATATTCAGAAGAAAAAAAGAAAAGGAAAAAAAACTTAGTGCGATACAGTTAAGATGACCAAGTTTTTGCACCCTTTTCTTTTATTTCTCTCCATTATTTTTCTCTCCTTCTTTTCTCACTGTTTTATTGATGCTTCAGCTCCTCCTCTTTTTTTAATCGTTTATCTTTTTTCTTTGTTTTTTTTTTCCGCGTGCCGTTTTTCTCCATTTTTTGTTGTGTCGACATAAATCATGATGGTGTGTCTTAGGTGCGTAAGACAGTTTCATGAACGGCGAATACATGCAAATAATATATCAACCAAAGACAGTAAAAAGGAGAAAATTAAAGAAAAATGAAATGATACAAGAGATAAAGGAGAGACAACATAGGAAAAGACAGAAATAGTGAAGGACAAAGTGCTCATGCAAATGGGGAAATGCGGGGGGCATTGAAGACGAGGAAGATTCAAAAGATGAAGTGTCGGGTTGAGAAAAGATAAGAGAATCCCTGACCTGCAGTAAACATAGGAGTAAATAAGAGGAAGGCCACCAAAGAGGTTATTGTTTTCTCTCAAGAAATGGTTGCCACAGAATTGTCGGTAGCTGATGATCAAAGCCCCCAAAAATATTGAACGTAGAGATGGCCATAGAAGGGCGGGCATATTGTGCACAAAATGATATAAGAAATGGGACAAAGAGACGTAACCCGTGCTTAGGCGCTGGAGTGGAGAGTAATGGGAATACGAAAGGAAACAAAGGAGAAAAAAATGTAAAATGAGGAAAACCAATAAGTCCAGGGACCCGTTAGAACCGGAGATAGGTATGGAGGTTATTTCAACGCCTTGGTCATTGGACCCCCAACCAATATAGTTATTCTCGGATAAGAGTAAAAATAAGTAGGAAAAGAGCTAAGAAAAGTACAACAAAGGAAAACAATAATGGAAGGATAAGAGAAAAAAATACCTCGTGTTAATGCATATGGGGATATAGACAAGTGAAGAAGAAAAGGAAACAATGAAAACACAAAACGCCATGATAATAGGGAAAAAAAGCCAAACCCAATGTTTCGCCCAAATACCTTTCCCATCCATTATCCCACTTGAAGGTCGGAGCGTTTTCCCTTGCCCCACAATACTGCCAGACTAGCAGGCATGTGTATGCGTATCGGAAGGGGACGCGTTGAAAAGATTGACAATCGTGAGAAGTGAATAATAATGTAATAATAGTAGTGGCAGTATTAATAAAAATTAAAAGTGCAGTCTGGTCCGGCCCGGCCCAACCAAGGAAGAGATAGATGCGGGAATGAAGATGCCGTTATGTTAAAATAAGTGATTAGGTAGGTTGATAGATCTGCGTGTCGAACGGGATGTAAAAAAAGTATAAAAGAGTGGTGGTTACATAGAACCGAGTTGCAAGAGCGCTTCGACTGCTGCTCGTTCTTCGATATCGACTGGTTGAATGGGAATCCCGCCAGGCACAGATTTTGTGAGAGCCGAATAGGAGGGTCCACCACCATGGCCCCGACCCCTACCTTTGGAGCCAGCCGCATAGGTGTTATAATCATAGTAAGCATTGGTGTTGTTGATGTCAGTACCACCCTCAGGGACACTAGGGTAAGACCTGGCCCTGAGGGCGGCAGCTCCAATCTGCGCCCAGTCCTCTTCGTCCGTGACATCTGCCTCGTCCCAATCGCCGTCCATAGGTATTTCATCCTCAGGGGTTTCGGACGAGGAACAGTATGACGCTCGATCATCTCCATCGAGTGACATTTTGTCGGCTTCGTGCTCCAACATGGTGATATCTTCATGGTCTTTGCAGTCGAAGTCGGAGTGAGAGAAAACAACAGAATCTCCTGCCATCGAGGATCCATACTGGCCAGAAAAGTCGCGGGGCCCTCGACCAGCAGGGATTTGGATCCTGTGGGAGGATGGCACACTGCCTGGAGGAGACGATGGTCCATCTTTAGTATGTCTGGGAGGTTGGTTATGACGTCGTGCATCCCACCTGCCCCATCCAACCTTTTCAAACTCAACGCCTCCATCGACTCCAGCACCTTCACCATTTCCCCGGCCTTCCAGGGCTCCTACAACAAGTCTGCGTGCTTTAGCTGGAGGGATCCTGGAGAAACCTGGTACTGACGTAGTCAGGTAGCCGATAATATGTCGTATAGCCAAAGGGCCATGCGTCAGAAGGATATCGGGGAGGTGGTATTTGGCCAACATGCCAGGAGAGATCGCATCCGACCCGGCAAGGGAGCTCAGATTCTCTGCCACCAAGGGGGGATGGTGATGCTGGTCCTGGCCTTTGGCATGGTCGACTGCATCCTGCAGGTCGATATCAGAATCGACATGCAAAGAGACATAGGGTGGCGAGGCCGGCAGGTTCGAGTGGTGGCGTTTGAAACCATGGGGATTTATGTTAGGGGAGAGGGAGTTGGGAGGCGTAGGTAACATGGTAGGTTGACCATGGTGACGAGTTGGAACAGCAGCCAAGCTGTCCCTGCCATAAGAGAGGCCACTACCACGCGGCTTGGGGATCTCAACAGAGGCGGTCTTGCCAGCAAGTGCCATGGCAATGCTGGACGAAGCTGGGCGAGTCGCCATGATTGCGGATACAGAAGGTGGATGGTTGATATTCTGTTCAGTTGGAAGCATCAGGCGACATATGTTAGCCATCGAATCAACAGGAGCAGTTGTATACATGAAAAATTAGATATCAGAAGAGGCGGAGTTATTATAAAGAGGGGAAAGACACGCGTGGCATTCGAATAGAGCCAGGCGCAGTTGCACGAACAAAAGAGGAGTATGGAAAAAGATAGAAAACACCCACACCACTCGAGAATATCCCCGCTCAAAAATTTATGATGGCGAGGAGACAGACGAAGATGAGCGGGATGGCTCAGGTTCAGCTGTATGCGACACAGGACAAGGGCAGTTTTGATCGCGAAAGGGAGACCGAAGGACAGTCTCACTTGGAAGGAGGATTAATTATGTAGAGTAGAAAGGGAATATGAACGAGAAGAAGTGAAAGGCCGAGAAGATGAAAGAAGACGACAAAGAAGAATGAAACAACGAGAAGGGAACACGATGGCGATTTCAGTTAGTATACGAGAACCAGCAACACTTCGCAGATAGAACTTGTTTGGATGAGATGAGGTTGAAGTTGGCTGAAAGATGGCGACGGGCGACGAGAAAAGGACGGGGAAGGGTTAGTCAGTCACGTATGCCTTAGTCAGGCGTCGCTGCTGGAGTTCGTCGTTCTGTTCTGTATCAGGGACAAGGGACAAGGAGACAAGGGGCAGTCATTGGGCCCCGTTGCCGGTGGAGTACTTCCCCATACAATCCACTATGGAGCGGTACCTTAGCATGGCCCGGCCCATGGGCCCAGCCAAACCACGTGACCCACGTGGGCGAATCAAGAGTGCTTTTTTGGACGAGGACAACTCTGCCTTCCGCGCTTGGTGACTTGGTCCCGCAATCATAGGCGATGATTTCGTGATGGAGACTGCTCGTTCTCGACGACTCTGTGGGCAGATATGCTCAAGACACATGGATGGAGTGGGGAGTCTGAGGGCATACCATGGTTACGAGGTGGCTGCACCCAGGTATTTACTTCAGGATTTGTCATTTGGTTGATGTAGCTTCTTCCTATTTTTATTTCAGACTTTGCCTTCCTGATGAATCACGCGTAGCATTTGAACTTCAACTTCACGATCCATCCTCGGCTAGCCGTGTCTGCTTGAAACTCAATCATTCATGCAGTGCGGAACGAACGGTGGGGTTTGTTCCAAACCCCTTCTCATTTTCGTTCGTAGAAACATACATGCGATGCAGCCCACATCAAAAACCCTTTCCAGACCCCTCCAGCCAGTCCAAGCCTGCCAACACCACACACATCAGTGTGGTTGGCTGCGGCCTTTCTCCTCGAGTCTGATCCACCCCTCCAAGACATGGAGGTTCAATTACATCATGCATTCCTTGCGTTGAAAATGCTCGGTTGCTCAAAGCAGTGAAAAGTGCATCAGCCAGCAACAGAGAACACACTCCGCTCTTCTTCTCTGCTATTGGCTGGCTGACTGTGGTTAGAGCTCTTTTCCGACCCTGCAGCCTCGGTCAGCGAAGCCTGGGGAAGAGTCTTTTCCACGAAACTCCCCAAATCCCCATTTTGCTGGCGCATGGGCCAATCGATAGGGACCCAGCTACTTCGGCAAGAAATGGGCCATTCCCACAATTGACATCAAACAAGACACAAAACAATCGCGAACATCATCTCTGGATGGCTCATCCGGGAACTCTTCTTTATCCGCCCCGAAAACAAAGTAAACAAACACAGGTACCCAACCCTCACTGCAATACGCAAAACTTTCCCAAGGTACAGCACATGTGGGCTCTGTGGCCAATTTTACTCGCTGGGAAACAACATGTAATGAAGAGTTTTAACGTTACTAGTAGGCCATTGAACGTGCACATCGCACGTACCGCCTGATTTTCTATTTCTTTATTTTTGCCAATCGTGACAGGATGACAATATGCGAGATGATTGTCTCAAGAGGGACAAGAATCAAGGCGTATACAATACACAATTAAAAAAATAAAAATAAAAAAATTCCAATTGGGAAGGAGATTCGTCAAATCCATGAAGTGTGGATGCTGTCGGTGGTTGTTGACTTGTTGCCCTGCATGATCGCTGCATACAGTGGAGCTTTCAACTAAGTTAATGGGCTGGATTCAGCAATATTTCTGATGGAGGCCAAGGTATGATGAAAATGAGGAATATACACGCGCAAATACCCAACCGTTGTTCCAATGAGCATTTCTTTTGGCTACTCATCATCACTTCAAAAAGTATAATAATAATAATAACAAAAAGTCTACGGTGTCCGTTTGCCCTGCCCTGCCCCGCCTTGCTTTCTTATCTTTTGTTTTATCCTCATCTCATTTGTCTCATTTTTCATCCCCACCCACATTCAGAAAATTTACCAGAAAATTGAAAAAAAATACCTTGGGGGAGAAAACAAGCTTTACTCCAGAGACTGTGGATTTTTATGTGCTTCTACAGTCAACGTACGTAGAGAAAAAAAAAAAAAAAAGAAGCCTTAAAACCAAGAAACAACCAGACTGATATCATCATAGAGACATAACTAGCCTTTCTTTATTTCATGTGTAGCTCCTGAGGGACCCGCATTGACTACAACCTCGTTAGGCTTTTTATATATTAAGAGTTTAGTTTAATAATTTGATCATGGCCTAAGTAGTAACGAAACGTGTCTCGAAAAGGGAGTTTCAATTCTTGTTTCATTTCATTTCATTAATTTTAAGAAGGGAGGGATCATTGTCTTGAGAAACCTGAGCTCTAGGCCCGCCATCCACACGATGAACTAATTCTGTGAGAGTGATGTAGTTAAGGCAGGTAGAACAACGAGCCTGGTCATGGCTCTAGAAAGTTAGCTCAATGGCATGAGTCCGATGGGAGATGAGAACTTTCTTACTCCCCCCCGTTCTACCCATGCTGGTTCTCGTCGGGGAAGCAGATGTGGAAAAGAATCCTGTCGCGGACGGATGACGGTAGGCGGGAGCAAACTGCCAGGCCCGAGAGAGGTGTATTGTAGGTAGGGTACCAATTGAATAGTTGTTCAAGAGCGGAGCAGAAGATGTACGGTCCTAGCACCATCCATATTCAGATATCAACCGCCCCGACAACATCTAGCTCCCCCTCCCCTTTCCCCCACTACCCCTTCTCGCCCCGCCCTTCGGATTTCTCGCCTTTAACATCCACTCTGGCGTCTCCAGCACTAGGCCACCCTTCTCCCTATCCCATAAGACTCCTAACCCGTTCTTTCTCTCCACAACAACATCAAAAAACTCCAACCCAACTCCCTTCCGCCCAGCAACCCCAGGCTCGGCCCCCACAACCCCAATCCCCAAATCCACCCCCTCACTCAAAATAACTCCATTCTCGCTTCTCCAAAACGGCACGCCGGCCTCCAACGCCTTCTTCAAATCAATATATATCAGTATCTGCGCATCAGTTCGCATCCCGGATATCACCCCGCCAGCACCAGCACCAGCACTCCTATCACGCACAACAATAGATCCCCCGCGCCCTTCGGGTAATACACTGGATAGCGCCGGCCCCGTGGCGAAATGTATGTGGTTCCTGCTCATGCATCGTAGGCCGCCAGACGCGAGTATCAACGGCCAGGCGGCATGGTAGGTGCCGTGCACGACGGTGTCCGGGAGCGCCGGGGCGGAGGAGTTGGCGGAGGGAAGGGAGAGCTTTTCGAGGAGGGAGGCGGCTTCGACGGTTTTTATGCTGTGGCCTTGCGTGGCGCGGATGAGGTAGTGGGTGGGTTCTGGGTCGTTGGCGGCTAGGGCTTGGGCGGTTGCGGTTGCGGTTGCGGTTGCAGTTGCAGTGGGAGAGTCGTGCTCATCTTGCTTGCAAGGGTCTGTGGGTGGTGTGGTCGTAGTCTCCGAGGCATCATGCGAGTGTGGGGGTTTATACAGGAGACCAAACCGTTGTTTGTCGGAGGTGGAGACCGCGTTTAGAATTTCTGGGAAGGTGACTTTTAGGGATTTCAGTTTCCGCCATGCTAACTATGGTGTCAATTTGTGTGGTCCTGTTAGCGTTTCTTCTTTTCTTTTTGGGGGTAGTTTTATGAAGCTTTTGCTATGAGGGGTGGTGCCATTCGGTGCTTCCTTCTGATGGGTGGAGGGACATCATACAAGATCAGCGACGTTGGCATAACCATGCCTGTCAATTTTCAACCCTTCTCTTTCCGCCGCGTGCCGTAAGATGTAGCTTAATGCCTTCGAAACGACTACCTCGCGACTGAGCTCGGAACGCCCCTCTCCGCGCCCACGACCCCGTCCCCGGCCAGAATGGGACATGCGAGCGGCGCTATTCAACCCAATAATCGATAGCTGTTTGAGAACACCGGATCGAACCAGCCGATTTGCGTTGCACGACGGCTTTAGATAAAAGCGCTTTGTATCTTTTTGTAAAAAGAAAATAGCTTGTCTATTTTATCTCTTGGAAATGAGAGCGTTTGATGTGGGTTAATGCAGTGAGTCATTGCGCAGCTGGTAGTGGGGGGATTAGTTAGTTGAGTGGGATCTAAAAATTGATAACTATGAGGAACGAAACGAATTGCCGCTTGAATATTTGGCGGCCTTCTAGCGCCTGACGATTGGAATTCTCTCCTTCGTTACAGGATTGAACGAAGCATATCATTCATTTACGTGGAGTCGTTAAAAAAAACATTTAGCCACGGTTTTAGGTTCGGCAAATTCCATGTGGGTTAGTTACATAGCTACATCGTTGATAAGGACGGCGATCCCAAGCGCCATAGGAAAGTTGACCTACTACAATCAACAACGGTAAAAGACGATTTTAAACAGATTCCGATTTGCGTGGAATACTTCCAGGGGTTAACTATCTCGGAATACTTCATTCGTAACAACTGCGAACCACCAAGACGAACGACATCGCTATACCAAAGCCTAACTAACATGCACGAATCCGCCAAAAAAGAAAAGAAAAGAAATAAAAGAAATAAAAACACATTTCATCTGTCGCATATGCAGTGACATTCAGCAACTGGACAAATCCTATGCTTTTTGAACCAGTCCCTTGCATGGTGAGCATGGAATCCATGATTGCAATTAATGCAGAAGACCACAAACCTTTTCATCACATCTTCCTGAGGTGCCTCACTTGCTTGCTTGCTCGTACTTCCGCTAGCAATACCAGCTCTGGACATCGGATCTGTGGTGCCTAACCATAAAGAACAAATCCCGCATCTGGGCATATGTCGCCCACACTTTGGGCAGATAGTACCTGACTGGGATGCGGTGCCGAGGGGGCTTGCTGTTATTGAATGAACGACTTCCATGCCGGTCGAGGGGAAAACCGGGTAGTCAGGTTCATCCTGCTGGGAGAGAGGACGAGTACAGTAGTTGCATGTCAAACTGATTTGTTGCGGTGGCGGTTTTATGAGTCTGTGGCCATCCCAAGTGACTGCCAACTTCCGTGATTCAACGTCAAACCTAGCCCTATCTAGCTGGAGTTTCCAGGCATTCACTTGCCGTCGATACGTCTCTCTCCAGGCTTCAAATCGGATACTGTTTGGTGGATCGGTAATGAATCGCGGGACAGTATGGCTCATAGCAAGAACAGGTGTTTGAATGTCGCCAAACTTGTCTATGTAAGATTGGAATAGACCCATTGCTCCATGGTTAAGGCCAGTAAGGATGACTCCTTCAACATCCCCTTGGCGTATTGCATCCATAGTCGCATCCCCCAGGTAAGAACTTAACTCGTTGTCGGGAAGCCAGCGGAGAGCGACCTCCACTCTATATCTTAAAGGAAGGGTGACCTCCTTAATCACAGAATTCCAGTCACCTTTGCTCATCAAAGCTAAAATAGCCCGAGCGTAGGGGTCTGTGAGCTCCTGGGCGATTTCCCTACATGTCTCCTCCCAGTCGGGGTCGTTTTCCCCTTTCGTCGCGCCGGTAATAGCCATGGCGAGAAGTTTATGTGCCTGAGTAGGATGATTTTTCCTGAGAGCCAAGAATGCTAATTTCGGTTCGTCCTGGAAGAGCGCCAGTGCAGCAGCCTTAGTATGTTGACGAACTTCTACAAGATTGTTCACCGCTGCTTCCAAATCAGCAATAGATTCCGCAGCTCCAGCGATGCGAAGGCATAGACGGCGGTGGGCCGGGAATCGAGTTGCGCATCCTTTTCCTTCTGGAATGCGAAGTTCCTCTGTGAGGCCTATGATGAGCTGATCTATATCGATATTTTGGTTCAAATTAGATCGGGATACGCGATTCTCAAGGCTCTGACCTATGCTTTATGTTAGAATTTTTTCGGTGAAATTCACAATTCCGGGTTATACGAACCAAAGCTCTTATTCCATATACTATATACACCAATATAATTCATATCCACGGAATGGATGATCATAGAATCACTGGCCGAATTTTCCCTGGCACCTATTATACTCAGCTAAAGGCTAACAGACAAAAGAAGGGGACAACGTACGCCCTACCCAATCCCAAAACTCCCGCAGTCCAGGGTCGTCAGGGAAGAACTCTTTGTTCGTCTCGCCGTCGAGGAGGTAGCCCTCTTGACATCGTAATCGAGGAATGGACATCCAGGCTAAAGCGTCATGGATTGTTAATGGAGTGTCAAATATTCCTGCGGATAAAGATCTTTCAAAACTCTCTCGACCAGAGATATGCTGAGTGACATCTGGTTTAGTAGGATACTCCGGTGATTTTTTGTCCTGGCCATTTTTATTATCTGTTTTGGTGACTGAACTGCCGTTCGGTTGAGTGGTCGGCGATGCACAACGGCCCTGGATTCTTCGCACGGTTTTGGATATTTGCGAATTGGATTCTGATGAGGGCCTTACACAGCTCAAATTTACGTTCTTTTCTGAAATGTCTCCACGGACTAATACACTTTGAGAAGAAAGAGCCACAGGACATGGCTGCGATTGAAGTGTGAATAGAGAAACAGACCGATTGGCCAAAAGTGTAACGGTGGTCGGTTCACTCGACGTGCTGAAGTTCAAAAAGTCAAAAGATGCTACTTTCCCATCACGAGGAAGGTGAGGGTTCCGGAAATCGCGGACTGTCTTCGTGTAAATATGTTCGTGGTACGATTTGGCGGAATATCGTCCCAGGGTTTGATCTTCTAATGACGTTCGGTTTTCGTCTGAAACATATTCTTTGACAACATCATACGCCTTGAAGTCCCCATCACTAGACAGCATCCCTAGGCACCCTTGTTTGGTTCTGGAGAACCGTAGACTCCATATCGAGGATTTTGGGTCAATAACATTTTTAAACTCAAGAGCTGCCGCAGTCTGAGTGGAGTCCGTAGTTGGGAGTGTCCCAGATGAAAATCGAGGTCCCCAACGGCGATCCCAAATACAGATGGAAATATCTCCCGTTGGATTGCACGACGCAATGTAATTTTCATCCAACCAATCAACTGCTAAATTATGTACACAGCGGGTGGGAAATTGTAAGGATGGGTTTCCTGGACCCTCTACATCCGGGAAAATGTACCAGTCAGGTAGTGAATAATTCAAAACGTTGGAGATCACACATACCTCGTAAATCGTATATTCTGACGAACTGGCCTTTGACTCCTGCAACTATGGTATCTGGTTGGTCTTTGAAGAACTTGATACTGCTAATGGGCTCCGAACTCGCAAGCTTCCAGAGAGGCTCTAACGCGTGTCTATCGGATCCGTAACCTCGAGAACCGCTTACGGAGAGGCGCTGATTTACGTCCCAGATATTTAGGCAAAAGTCATTTCTCACTTTATCCAGCCCAGCCGCTAAGAGCCCCTGAGTACTAAACGCAACGGCATTGCAATATCTCTGATTCCGGATGGGGAAAACAATCGGAGCTTGGTAGTTATCGTCCATACGAAGAATAGCTGCCTCCCCCGACGCCAGACCAACAGCTACCAGGGTCTCGTCAACTGGAGACCAGTCAAATGCACGAAAGATGGGGACCCTGGAGTGCGAAGCGATCACATCGTAGGTCAAGCAAGCGCTATCTCTAGATGTCACCTTGCAGAGCTTGAACGATTTGCCAGTTACATCGACATAGAGGAATTTTTGTTCAACCGCATTTGAGGTTGGCGACCAACGGATAGCTGTTTCCATTTTGCTCAATTGGTGGGTGTAGCTCACACCGGATGAATGAAATATATAATATTCAGCCTGTATCTAGCGCCATCATGGTCACCACAAAAGAAACGCTGCGTGGCCTGCTTGAAACTTGTGTTCAAAAGAAGTTCAAACCAAATACGAGTTCACGATGTGCAACAACCAAGGAGAGTTTGGCGGTGCTAGCCTGCCAATCCGTCCTTCTGGTTGGCTGGGCGAAGCTGGTGGTTGCGAGCTCCGGACCGATAATGATCCGTGGGCAAAGATGGAGTGACTAAGCGGCTGATAGCTCCAAGAAGCTTTTTTTTATTATTTGTGCCTTCTCCTTGGCTTGAACAGTGTTGATGAGCAGTTACTCTTTGATTGTCGTTACAATCATAATAAAACCCAGTTTACAACTCATGAATGAGGACAATTCTCTTTTTCGATTGTCCTCGTTGACACCCATACAATACCCAAACTCCTGAGATTCTCACTTACATCATGGCGTTTCAGAAACAAGGAAAGCGAAAGGATATGGCAGATGATTCAATTTCTTTCGAGACTTCAAAGCGACATCGGGGAGATTATCGTAATTTTCGGGAAGCGTCACCAATCGTGAGGGCCGAGCAGGATGATTGTCGAAAATACCGTGATCGAAGGGAGCCCGGTAGTAAACTTGGCAAGCAACCAAGTAGGCCCCAGATACGCGATTCAAATACATACGGCGGCGAAAAGCCAGAGAAGGATGACCATGCTTATGCTGCAGGACGCTCCACAGCGAAGCCATTTCGTTCTCGCGATCCAGACCTTCCCTCCGCCAACGAGCTTAAAAACAAAATTCGCGACATCAAGCGCCTTTTAAAACGTGGCGACCATCTTCCAGCTGACGTCAGAATAGAGAAGGAAAGGGCGCTGGTGGGATATGAAAGGGATTTGGAAATTGTCGAGTCTCGAAAGAATCGGGCAGCAATGATTAAGAGATATCATTTTGTTAGATTTTTGGGTACGTTTTTGTCGGGATTCACACACCCAACCGCTTACGGTTATTATTATAGAATGCTAACATGCACGCAGAACGGAAAGCAGCGACCAGGCGACTGAACAAACTACTGAAACAGAAAAAGACACTCACAGAATCAAATCCAAACCTGGATAAAAAAGAGCTGGATTTCGTTGAAGAACAGATATACGTCACCCAGGTGGATCTCAACTACGCCATATACTCCCCCTTGACAGAGAAATATATATCTCTATACCCGAACCAGCGTCGCGACAAAAAGACTCCCGAACCGGACCCCGAGGACTCCAATATCATCCGCAATAATTCCGGTGAGAAGCCACCGCTGTGGTATACAGTCGAGCAGAGTATGAAAGATGGCACGCTCGAACTGCTGCGGGACGGGAAACTTGGGATTGGCATTTCCGGACAGAAGACATCGAATAACGGACCGTTAGCGGTGCTAGGACGTAAGAATAATGAGACCGTTAGTGGATCATCAGTGGCCACGGAAGGGGATAGCAAGCAGCAGGGAAGAAAGAAGGATAAGGAAAAGCAACACGATGTGAAGAAGAGTAAGGAGCAAGAGGGCTCGAAGAATTCGGGACCGAGAAGGCATGATGTGCATATGGATGACCAAAACAACGATGACGGTGATGATGACAGTGATGGCGGATTTTTTGAAGAGTGACATGTCATTTACAGAGAAGGACTTTCTATCCACACAAGGCCTGTATACCCTGATAGGAGCTGTCTCCTTTTCACTTGATTGCTCTTGAGTTTCATCCTGTTTTACGATTTGTATGATTATGATACCCAATCAATTCCTGGTTATTATTGCTCATCTATCATAAGGGCATGTACACTCTGGACTTGTACTCTAGACTCGCATCCCATTTTAACCTAACACCCCCCCGGCTAGCGCCTGGAAGCAAAAAACCACACCTGCAAACAAACCTACCAGGATGCGTCTAACGAAAGGGAGGACACACGATCGATTAGATTCTCCTCCACTACATTAACATCATCCTGCTAAAAGGCCAATGGCAAAATAATGACTGCCAGATATATATCTTTCGCCTGCGCCTTCTATCTTGTTCTGTCCGATATTTATTCGAACTGTCTTGACGTTAATAGAATCCAGGAGAGGTGAATGTATGCATATATAATAAACATCTGTTAACCATGTGGAGGCTGGAGGGGTGCCGTCGATGCGAACAGCAATCTTACGGAGAGAGAAGTAGTAGTCGAAGAATGCCTGCATTCATATATATATATATATATAACAGAGCAAAACTTCAGCGAGAGAACCTACTGCCATTTAATAAACAGAAAAAGGGAGAGGGGGAGGAAAATAAAAAGAGAAAAGGGAAACGAGAAACCATAAATACATCAAACCGGAAAGGAAAGAGAAATAAACAAGAGAATCAAAATTCAACGGACCACCGAAACCGACCTGATAACTACCATAATAACAAACACCACACAAACCACATTTAGACCCGCCCATATGACACGTTTTATCTCAGCGCACACTCAGATTTTCCCCTGTGCGCTAACTGCCCATACATCGCCTTCCAATCCAACTAACATACATAAAACCACCTGCCCTCCGCTTGGCCCTTGGCCTCACCTCCAGATACCGTGTATTCGTTCAGGATGTGTATCCCACGCCAATCCGAACGAGAGATAGGCAGCAATGCTCAAAGAAAGCACTCCTCTTATCAATCATCCATCCATCCATCCTCGCCATTTTGGGAAATGGGGTAGCTTAACATCAAATGCGAACCAGTGCTTTCTCTTGTTTGGGGACGTAAAGAGATCAAATGGTAGAAAGGGAGGTGGGAAATTCGGGGTTAAATAAGGTGTGAAGGAAGAGTTGTGAGGGAAGGGGAGGGGAGCAGGAGATAGAACGATTTTGGAAAACTCCAAACACGTGAACCGAATGCATTATATATAGATGAACAAATCATATGTATATATATATATGGTAAGAAAGAAGGCAAAGAGACCAGTAAATTGTGATCTCGTGATCTTGGAGATCGATGAGTATGTCAGAGAGGGGAAAGAGAAGACAAGATGTGAACCAAATGTGAAAGGCAAAAGAACATGGTGATGGGCAGTTAGACAAGCCCGTGAATAACTATCACCTTGCAAAGTAATTGCAATAAAATGCACATAAAAAACAAACAAATAAGAAAAGAAAAATGTGGAAAAAAATAAAGGACGTAAAAGAAACATATTTTGAAGCCACCCACCAGAAGATCAGGAACGTTGACGCCATACATTCTTTTGTAAACAGTGGTGTGCACTCACATATTTTAAACCTCCCTCTTCTCTTCCCGTTTTCACATAACTACACAACCCCCACTCCTCGCCCTCCTCCGGCCTCCCAACGGGACCAGACCAGCCGGTCCATACGCACTCTCATCCCCTTCCTCATCCTCATCAAACATGCGTTCCACGTCCCTTGCTCTCCGCCTCCTCCGACGCGCAGCAGCCACGCCCGCTTCCTCGTTCGCCATCATGTGATCCGCCCACTTGCGCTCGAGCCTTATGGCCGCTGCAAGATTCCCACGTAGCACGCGCTTCGTGTGCTCCCTGACCACCATCTGCCAGCCGTAGAAGCATTTGAGGTCAATGATTTCTTTTGGGTAGAGGATTGTGGCGCTGGGTGGCGGGGTAGGGGTTGAGAGCATGGAGTTTTTGGGAGTGACTTGGGTGGTTTCGCCGTCTGTGGTTATGGGTGTTATTGTGGTAATCGTAGTGATAGGGGAGATGGGGATTCTTGTGTTGGTGGAACTGGAGGTGGAAGAGGAAGGGGAAGAGGGGGAAGATGAGGATGAATATGATAGAGATTGGCTGGACCCGGTGGCGGTTTTCGGAGAGACGGTGTCGGTTGTGATAATGGGATACTGCCGTGGCACGTAAGTGTTGCTTGACAGCACCTCTCTGATGCCTGCCCAGGTGATATTTCCGCAATCGAAGACGGCAACTCGGAAGCCAGGGCGTGGGAAACTATTGGCATATCCACGCTTACGGGCTTGACTGCAGAGCTCCATAATGGTAAGATCAGAGACTCTTGTGTTGTCGAGGTCAAGAGAGCGGAGGTGGGGGCAAGCTTTCAAAATTTGTAGCATTCCCGCGTCACCTAACCCTTCGCAGTAGCTAAGATTCAAATGCTGGAGGGTTTCAGCGCACTGCGCCTTTGAGAGTTCAATTAAGAACGTGTTAGTTAACTTGTCTAATTCCTCCACATCAAGATGGGTTAGGCGTGGGGTGGTTCGGACGACTTCTATAAGGGCACTGTCCCCTATATTGGGGCATTGTGACAGCTGCAGCCCTTCCAATGCCGGAAGGTTATGAGCAAGGCTTTTGATCCCCACATCAGTCAAAGCTCGGCAGCGGGACAAATCCAAATGTTTCAATTTCCGACGGGGGACGACAGCGCGGCCTGTCAGAAGGTCGACCTCGGGATCAACACCCTCCATGAGAATCTTCAAACTCGTATCCGATAAGGAGGAACAGTGTGACAGAATTAGCCTTTCTAGGCTATTAATCTCAAACAACTGCTGCAGGAGTTCGTGATTATCAAATGCAGACAGTTCATTTGCCCGTAAATCTTTCAAGTGGGGACAGGAGGCGACAATCCGTCTCAACCCTTTGGCGTCGACGCCCTTGCACCAGGATATGTCGAGGAATTCCAGTCTGGGACAGTTCTGGGAGATGGTTCTCATGGAGGAATTGCCGACAATCGACAGTCCAGATACATCAACATGAGTCAAGTTCGAATTATTCCGTATTAACAAATGGAAGGTTATTCGGTTAATCTTGGAATCCCTTATGCATATGTTGACCAGATTCCGACAGGTATCGGATATGCGTTCTCCATGGGCCAGCCATGCATTTTCCAACTGGGCGCAGCCACGGAGGTTCAAGTCTCTCAAAAAGGGGCCTGCCGCGGTGATCACTTTTATCAATGCTTCACTTGGTATATCGGTGTAATAGGTAGATGCATCCAGTTTAGCCCACAGCTGTCCGTCGAAACACATTTTGTTCCATGCCTTGCACACACGGGAGCATCTAAAGAGGTCTTTGGCAGGTAGATACTGCAAAATGGACATTTTGATTTCCTCCGGCATATTTTTCCAGAATTCAAACTGAGGAGGCTTCTGTGAATTTTTCGTAGCTGGCGCCATTTCCTGACTTTCAGAGAGTGTCATTGGGCTTGGTAGAATATCGCACCTAGACGTTGGTCGCACATCTGCAGGGAGCGGGATAGAGCCTTGCGAGCTGCTATTGATGACGGCAGCAGCAGCATCTGACATCACAACCCTGATCGGGACTCTGTTCTCATCCTGTATTGTGTGGCTGTCGGGGGGTACGTTATTGTTATTGTTCCTGGCCGAGAGAGAGTCAAATATCTGGGGCGAGGCTGGGCTTGCAAAGCATTGTGTATATGACGTTGAGTTAAGAGAGACACAAGACATTGACGCTTTTCCTTGCCGCCGGTAGCCAAGGGACGATGAGCGTTGCCGGCCAGTTTTCAAGAGCGAAGGGCTTGACGCGATCCGTTGGAGTCCATTCAGCAGCCTCTTGTGACCCTTGCTCCTGGGGCGCATGCCAGAGTGGTTGTCCGCAGATTCCATGCTCATTGGTGTAGTCGCAGCTGGCAGTTCTACAATTTCATCCGGCAGTATCGAAACCATTGTGAGTTGCGTACGTATGACTTGATGCTTAAAAGGTAGGGGGATTTGCTGGAGATCGAATCCAGTTCGATGGTAGGAGACAGAAGATAGGACAAAGAAACCATAGAACGTTGGGGGTTCTAACTGCGCAATCAGGTCAACGGCTGTCACGAGGAGAATACGATAACAGATGACGATGAGTGGCAGCAAACGAACCGTCCACGGCCCAAGCAGGCGAACGGAGAGCTGATATCTTCCCCAGGAGGTCTGCAGAGCAGGGACACAGAGCGGGCAGCGGGCGTTAAAAAGGCGGAGTGTGCGGGGAGTTGTGGGAGAGGACGGGTGCATGAGGTCAGCGGCCGGCATCCGCGGTAGCGTCACTCTCGGTCGAGGCACATGTCACCGTGGGTGACCTTGTCTGCTTGCACTGCAACAGCATGTTATATATAGCAGACACCACAATGTTGGCCACGGGATCAGGACGCCAAAGCAAACCTACGCCACCTGCTGGATGGGAGTTATTATTTACGGAAAGACAGAAAGAATATTAAACAGCTACTGGCGGAGGCTCCTGGCCGACGGCGGCAGGTGAGCGAGAGATCATTCATGACCAGACCGTGGGGCCAGCGAGACAAACGTCATACTAGTAAGTTATTGCTCCCACCAACTAGTAAATCCAGCATCAAGTTATCGTTATCTTATCAGCAGGCCACCAAGCGTGGACAAGTGAGGCCTCCAGACAATCTGTTCAGGTACCGCATGCTAGCAAATGGTGGAAGCAAATATATGTATAGTAACTACATGTGCAGTACGTATGTACAGAACATGCATATAGAACAACAGTACATCACATTGCTGTGTGGAACGGTACGGCACCTATGTACCCCGTGACATTGGCAGTTTGAACCCGATCAAGTTTAGTGCACTTCCCTCCTCCGAAGTAGATAGAAGATTTGAGGAGTACTTGGATAGGAGAGGAGCGGGAGTACTAGTATCGATGGGGAGATCATGTTTTAAAGAAGCCCTAGTCTACTATGAACACGGGTAATTGAGTTACTTACTTTGGTGGAAGCAGTAAGTAGTAAGTCAAGGTTCGCGGACCTGGCCCCTCATCACTACTAATGTCTCTCGTACACAGTTTGCAGACCCATACTCAGTCCAACCAGTCAATCCAAACCCTCTATACAATTTAGATCTCTCGGTGGCATCTACGAATTTTCAACGTGTCCAGCTATGCAGGTGTCGTGACTAGTAACTAGGAAATGAGCAAGACACAAAAAAGAACAGAGGAAAAAAAGTTATAAAATGAAAATGAATTTGAAAAAAAAAGAAAAATGATAACTAAATATTTTTCTATCTATCTATCCCATTTATAAAAGCCATATTCATAAAAACAGCGACGAAGAACGGGGAAGTCGGAAGAAGGATCCTTAACCAATCAATCATATACAATGATATTTTGCGAGAAAAATGAGACCTGGTGGTGTATTTTCTTCAATTCCCCCACTTGCCCGCTTTCTCTGAACCCAAGCCATCCTAGCGTCAAATGTGCGTTACGCATCATACGGCATGTACACGTTGGTCGCAATTATACATGTAAGAAATATCCCGAAACTTAAAGAAAACCCATTCCACAAGTCGTTGATGCTGTGTGATTGTCGTCATCATAAAATCCTCTGTTGTTGAATTGTCAACTGGCTTCTCCACTACCAACGACCATGTCGTTGATATATAACGAAATGCCAACTCCAAAAATGCGTGCCAAGTCTATCGTTCTATCGTCCCGAGTCATAAGTTCCCTGCATCACGTAACAGCACGACCACCTTCATTTAACCTTTGAAGCAGAAGCTGCTGCTGCCAACGCAGCGGGTCTCATCCACGGGTGCTGTATGACTCCCTCGATGGTGAGGCGTTGATCAACGTCCCGATCGAGCATCTGGCGAATCAGATCGATGCAATCTTCTGAGAAGGGCAGGTATGGAACGCGCAGCGGGTGGTCGAGGATCTCGTCGATATTGTAGAAAGGATTTTCTTTGTAGACGATGGTGTAGAGGAGGATACCCAGAGCCCAGACATCTTGTTCCTTGCCACCGTAGGATTTACCTTGGAGGACTTCGGGGGCGGCATAATCTATAAACACGCAATCATGATATCAGCTTTGTTTTTTCTTCTCGGGTACCAAGAGCACTTTGATTGAGAAATTACATCCTACAATAGAAAACACAAATTGATACGTACCTATCGTACCAACAAATACGTCAAAAGGGCCTTTGCTGATATACGCCGCGCTCCCGAAATCAATCAACTTGATCTTTCCCTCCCCATCAAGAATGACATTTTCATCTTTGATATCACGATGCACAACATGTGCCTTCGTATGGAGGTGATGGATCGCATCGACGACCTGGTAGAAGATATTCCGGCACTCGTCCTCATCCATATTCGACCGCAGTTCAATGTAGTCAAACAAATCCATGCCCGGAAGCCCATGAGGAACCATCTCGATGTAGTAATTGACATCGTCTTCGAAGAAGCCCTTCATCTCGACGATGTTAGGGTGCCTTAGGCCGTCTGTGCGCAAGTAATCTAGCACATGAATTTCCAAGGGGACAGTTCCGAGGCGTCGGTCTCTGGTCCACGTGTCGACGAGAATCCGTTTCTTGGTTACGTATTTGAGAACTACCTTATTTTCTGGGTTCCGCTTGCTGCGCGCCAGTTTTACTTGCCCATAAGCGCCTTGACCCATTTCCTCTAGGATGACATATTCTGATATCGATTTCTTTTTTGGCATCTCTTTCCTGAGCCCTGCGTTTCTTACTTCAGGCATTGGCTGGACGGGTTTGTCTGTCAGAGGTTCCGATGCAGCTTCGTTTAATTGCAACGATAGGAGGGACTGCTGAGCTTGGTTCTCAATCAATGGCGAATCGACGCGTGGAGTCTCTATGGGGGGTAAAGTTGGTGAACGCTGACCAGGGGAAGGCTGTTGTGGGATAGAGGGGGATTTCGCCGAGAGTGATTGGGGAAAATTGTTCTCCTCTTGCATAATTGAGTGGAATTGCCGTGAGTATGTTATCCACAACGCATATACAACTTCAGTAACGGCAACAGGTGCTCCACTTTCATCGTCTAGCGCTGGACGTTCGTTGATGTCAGGCGTCGAGTTTCCAGGAAATATGGTTTCGCTTTTAACCACACGCATTTGAACATCCACCATAATCTCTTTTCCGTCGCGGTGACGTGATGGGAGACCGTAAGGTCTGAGAAATAAAGATGCAGCATTAGCTTTCCCCTCCCGAAGGACCAACAGCGCCCTTGCTTTTCTGAAGCTATGCTCTGGTATCACCATACCATCAACCAAGGGAACATTATCTTCTTCCGTCAAAATGTTCAGGTATTCATCGAAATGTGGGATTAAATCCGTAATCATTAAACCTTTAAGATGCTCCTGGCCAAAAAGGGCAGCAGAGAATACGGAATTCGCGCTGATAACATGCAGAGTTGTTGCAGACGCAACCACAATTCCGGCAACATGTGGGAAATGGGAGATACGAAGATCACGAGGAGACGATAATTCAGTAATGGTAATCGGGATGGACGCCTCATTTTGTATCAGCGCCGTGAAGTACTTCAACTCGACAATCTCTCGGAACACATCTTCTGCATCATTCTTTTTCTGGCGTTGCGGGACGTTTGGAATAATATCCGTGATAGGAACGCCAGCCTTGAGCATCTTTACTCCCCAAATAGGCTCAATATCCCCATGACTCTCGACTAATCGTCCAGCATCATCAAAGTGTAAATAGGCCGTATTTTCTACAATTTCTTCCAATACCCATATCAACCCCCCACGTTTTTCGATCACCCAGACGCTTGCTGACCCTGTTAACCCATTCCTCTTCTGGATTGGTACGACATCACCGCACAGTAAAACACCACGAGATTTCTTGGAAGCGTGATTCGGTTTCTGGGCGGATCTTGTGCCATCAGGACTGGTGTCATTGCCACCCTCGGTTTTCGCTCTTCGAGCTTTTGCCGCGTGTGAAGGGGGCTTGCTGAGTAGGTGTGCAGTCACGCCGTTTCCCATACCGAAGAAGCGAGAATTGACGGTGTTCGTTTTCGGTTTCTCCTGTGGATCGGGCTTGCTTGAATTATCCAGAGGAGGCTTCCGTAACTTCGACTCCAGCCACTGCGTCCTCTCCTTTTGGAAGAGATCTAAGATACTTAGATTTTTGACTTCAGCTTCTGTCACACCAAAGCCTAGACATGCAAGATCATTGGCAGCGAGAATCGTCCAGGGCGCTTTTGATCCTGTTGTGAACACAGCCTGCGAAAAGGGAGACCATTTACTACTATGAGTGTGAAGGCTTGACGCACTACTGCTTAGGCCATAAGGGAAAATGCCGCTTTGAGAAGGCATTTCACCAGTCGAGTAAGGCTGAGCTAGAGCCTCCGTGAGTTGATTTTGAAGTGCAACTGAACTCAGATCCGTGAAGGTTCGTTTTAGATTAACACGCCTCGATGAAGGTGCAGACCTCATCCACCGTATTTGAGATGTTAAATGATCATCTGAAATAGGACTTAAATATTGACTTCCTCTAAGAATTTGTTGGGGCGAGGTAGTTCCATTTCCCGACGAATGTTCACCTGTGGTCTGCGACAGGGGATCATCTGCGTTCGCGAACGCCTTTTCAAATATATTGGCACCTTCAATATCTGGCGGACCAGTTAGAGGGCCTTTTGCTAAGCCTGAGTGCACATTGTGGTTTTCGTCATGTTCCAGCAGATTCGCCTTAGCTACCAATTCCATCATACTCTGAATGTCCGCGTCTCCACTTAGCCGAGCCTGTGCGTTAGCAAGATGGACATTGCTCGCTGCAAAGCCAAACCGATCTTTCATGAAGTCAATGGATCGTTTCAACACGTTTTGTCTATTGTGTAGAAAGTCTTCGGATTGCTGGGCGAACGAAAACGAATGGAGGGATTCCGAAGGAAAGCGATGCAGATCCTCGAGGCCGAGAGGGGATCGATCGGTTGAGAAATGTATCGATGGTGACCGCGACGAGGCCGCACTTTGAGGTGCGATTGGGGAGGTGAAGGCAGAATTTGATATTTTTGGGAGAGTTGGAGCTTGCCGGATACGTTGTAAACCCGATGGACCGAGTCCGTGCTCATGTTCGAGTAAAGTGGATCTATCAAACGGCATAAGTTTGTGAGGACATTCTTCTGGTGGGTGACAAGAGAAAGGAGAAATGTAGAGAAAAATGCGGACCTCGACACGTAGTCAAATTCCAAGGAACTAGCATCCAATGACTGTCTCTTTTGTGAATAGTCAGTATCATTTGTGGTTCGCACGGAAAGATTTTCTGTCGAATGATTTGTAGGCCCTGATGGCAGCAGTAAGGGTGAAGGGATTTGTCGTCCCGGAGGCGACATGAGAGAACTGAGCTCGCCTGTCTCAAAAGTAGTCAGCCAAATGTCCGGGATTTGCTAATTCCACATTTTTGACAAAGAGTTCCCTGTTGATTAGAGAAGGTCATTCAATCGGCGGTCCCTGAAATGCTTATTTGGTCCTTCTCCCGAGAGCGTCATCCCAACATTGAACGGGACATGCCCACGGGTTCGGTGGCAAGGCGTGACTAAAGATTTGCTTCCGCTGCCCATCCACCGTAAAATAGCCTAGCCCCGCCTAAAGCTCGCTACTACACCCCACAGCGGCAGCGGCATATGCGGGTTTCCTCTTCGACCATTCTTCCTGGGTGGAGGGGTTTATTCAATCCAATCCTCCCCGCATTGCAAGTCTCATCCACCAAACAGGAACAAACGGATCAACAACAGAACAAACTTGCACTAACCATCATCCTCAGTTGTATGCCGCCCCGATGGCCTCATGATGTCCGATTAATGAGCTACCGACGGACGCCTACCGGATGTTGTTGATAAGATTCAATGCTGGGCGTCGTGGGTCTGGGCGGCCCGCACTGACGATCAGATGTGTCCAGACGACATGCGCTTCGGTTCTTCACACGCCCTGTGTTTAGGGTGAGGGAAATCGGTGCAGGAGGGTTTGTTCAGTAGTGGGTGGTTTAGGATCAAAGGACGTGATTCCGCACTGTTTACCAGGTACAGAGGGATACAGAGGGCCGACAAACGGCAGGAAGCCAAAAAAAGCGGTTCCACTTTGATCTTCCCCTACTTTGATTGCTGTTTTGGTAGGCGGCGGAGGTAGAGGCGTTAAATTTCCGCGGCAATCATGGATTTGATGGGTTGATTGATAAGTAGTTTAAATGCTCATCAAGGAAGTACGGGAGGAATGAAGCTGAGCTACGTGGGTAGCCAACTATAGAAATGAAAAGAAATGAAAAGAATAAACGGAAAGGAAAGAAAACGGCCGTCCTCTCGAGTGTCAAATGACGGCGTCTTTTCAAGTTGCTTTGGATGTCGACCAAGAAAGAAGAAATTGGGAGTTGAGACACCGCAGACCGTGGGGCAAGCCGCGGAGGTTCATTCAGCCACCAGGCGAGGGAGTGGGGCGGTGCTGAACCCCACGTGGCTGAGTCGGTTGGAGGAAGATACGATACTAGTACGAGTAGCACAGGATACCATGTCCAGTGCTGCCGGAGAGGCGGCGTCATTTGCCTGATAACTAGTAATTATCTGTGACAAATGTCTTTTTTGCATGCTCTGATTGTCACACAACCCCGATTCCAACACAGAAGCTGAACCTCTCCGATCGTTGCGGAGCCACCACTCTTGATGTGCACTTGACACCATCAGCCACGGATAATGAGGATGTCTTCACTATCAGGGTGATCGGCCTGGTGGTGCTTTCTGACCGTGATGCGTGCACCTGATTTTCTTTTTTTCTTCCTTTCTCAAAAGGCGTCCTCTTTTGACATGCGTAGTATTGTCAAATTTTACGTGTAAATGGATGGGTGGTTTCATTGCTTGATCTGGGACGAGGATCCGTCGGCTCACTCATTTAACTGAATAACTAGATAATGTAGCTACCGGAGGCGGAAAGGAAAGCACAGCACAACATTGCTATCCGTCATACGAACAATAAATGGGTAACCGGTAAGGAAACATGAAAAGGTGCTAAAGATAGTTGGCGATTTAATAAAAAGTCATGCAGGGGAATCATCTTTGGTCAACCTCTGTATGCCTGTTGTAAAGGCATTTATTATCTATATGACTTGCTGAAACAATGGGGGTGGGGGAACTAGACGTGAATTTCGAATTGCGGAATAGGATCCCTGGTTGAAGGAGCTCATACCGCATACCCCCAAAGCTATACGTCTTGAAAAAGAAAAGAAACATTCTGTTATGACGTTTTGGCTACTCCACGCAAGCTATCTAGGACAACGCCATCCTCTTCATCTCCGGGCGGTTTCCTCCTCTCATCAGCCCGGTTGTCCCCAAAAAGCGTGCCTGTACTCCGACTCTGCTCTGGGGGGACTGCCACGGATGTCACAAACCCCGAACGCTCCCTGTTATCACCCAACATCCACGAAAATGGTGACTCTGCTATGGGTGCGCGCGTTGCCGGCGCTGCTGCTGGTCGCAATGGGACCGGTTTGATAATGTCTGAGGCCTCTGAGTCTCCGTTGTTAGGCAGTTCAAGGAATGCTGAGTTATTATTTCCCCTCGGCTGGCCGCTGGGGGTGTTGTTTTCTTTGCCCGCAACGACGTTGGACACAGGTTCACTTGAACGTGCTCTGGCTGGAGCCTGTGTGGCTGATTTTTCTTCGTCGGGGATTGGGATAGTGGGGTCTTCTAGGTACACTTGCACAAATTGCAGTTTTGCCAGAGCAAGATCGATGGCCTCAATGCCGGAATTGTTTGGATGCACTTGCTTAGTATGCAACTCGTTAATGGCTTCTCCCAACATTCCAGCCAAAGTCTGGCTCCGGCTCTCAAGAGCGGAAATTCTAGCATTTAGCCTACGTATCGTAGCAAGGCTGATATGTGGCGGGCTAGGCGAGTCGTGAGGCGGGCTTTCGATGCGCCGGGGTGCGGGAGTACTTGCACTGGAGTGCATGTTTTGGATATTGCGTCTAGCTTCAACCATTGCGCCACGAACGGCTTTGGTTACGCCCCATCCCTCTGTACGGCGTTGTAGCCCTTCCGACACGTCCTGGAACAAAGAATCGAGCCGTCGTTGGTGGTTTCTTGCGGGAGAAACGCTCGGGGACGGAACTTCGCTTGGCGCACTGCTGGGTTCTCGGCTTGTAAGTTTCTTCCTTCTGCGAGGCGGAAATCGTGCGACTGCAATCTGAGTCGGTGGAATGTACTGCTTATTTGGATCAGGTGCCTTTCCTGAATACTTCTGTATAAGTAGTGATGCGCCTTCGCAATTTGTGTTTTTTTCGAGGAAGAGACCGTCTTCTACGAAGGTTACTGGCTTGCAGGGAGTCGGCGCAGGATATCGCAATAACAGTCCCAGAGCAGAAGAGTAATCCGCATCGAGCACTAACGGTTTTATCAGCCATAAGTATCAGAGTAAGGTTTGACATACACATGCTTACGTTGCCACCTGATCCTGAGAAGCATTGCAACGCAAATAGCATCAATTAGTTCGAGTCTCATTTTTTCGGCAAATAGTAAATCCCATATGCTGAGCACTTCTTGGAATGAAAATTCTCGGCCAAATAGGAGACGTATCCAGCGACTATAAAATATCAGCAATAACGAAGCGCTTTCAAGTTAACTGATACTCACGTTAAGAATATTTGTGGAAGTATCTCTGTAACTTGTAGATGATCTGCCAATTCCGGGTCAACAGCCCTGAGCACTACTTGATGGATGTGCTGGCTCCGAGCAACGATAGGCGAAATATCTGATTGGACCCCAGGTACCTTTTTGGCCTCTTGCTCATAAAATAGCTTTCCAGTCTGCATGATAGCACAGAAGATCGTGAAGGCATCATGTTCTGTGTACTCCATATCGAGGACCTGCAGCATCAAATCGTCCGTTCTATTATGAGAGGCTGAAACATCTATGGACTTTTTGTCAATTGCATCGTGTTCTACAATCCACAAAACAGGTGCTAGTAACTCATGCATGCCCTGTCGGTAGCCAAGGTCGGCATTCAATTTTGTGTATATGAACAGTATATCTAGCATCCGTGCCTTTGTCGTGGGCTCCCGAAAGAAATAGTTTTCCTGCATGCATCTTTCCACATCCTGGTATATTTCTGCCCTTATAGCTTCATCTCGTCGTAGGGTTTGCCAAGGAGACTATGGGAAGAATAAGTTAGGCACAGGGTGACAGGTCACCAAGTCTTCTAAGGTCGCAAAGGGGTGCAAGCGCACCTCATCATCCTCGGCCAACGGGTCTGCTGTAGACGGTAGGTCATCTGGATGCTGTATATACTTTAGGAAGTATTCCCGCAGTGACTGGTACGCAGCTCTCGAGTCAAGTATCTGGACAGGCCAAGAAGCGGTATCGAGGTTTTGATGAATAAGAAACGCCTGGTAATTTGTTGAGCACTAAACAGCCAAAGAAAATGCGGTTTCATGTAGGCTGAAGCTGACCTTCCAGCACACCGATCTCAAACCATCTTCACATGGTCCCCCACCATGTTTGTCTCTCAACGCGTGCTTGAGCTCGGCTAACGAGGATTTGCCGTTGAAAAGCGAATGCCAACGTTTCCTTCCTAACCTATTAGTAGGAGGAACGAATAAATGAAAAGGATAGGTCATACCGAGCTTCCTCCACAGTTTTCATGGCATCGTCGGACTATCCTTTCTGCTTCCTCCTATGCTTGTGGTTCACAGGTTGAGTGGTGACAAGTTCCTAGCTTGTAGTCAAATTACGTCACATCGCTTATCTCACCCAGAGATCCCCTGTTTAATTAGTTGATCATGGTTCAACCGATGGACCGTGCATACAAAATTGTATTGTGAAGTGTCGCGCACTTGGGGATTTCCTGATCCCCTCTGGTGGAGTTGCAAAATGATCGTTTCCTATTGTGGCGGACGTAAAGCTTGCGAAAACAGAATTTTCTGCCACCCCCTGAAAAGTAGTAGCAAAACACCGCAAAAATAACCAAAATATCCACGTATCTCTAGAATCATTCAAATATCATCCAATTCATTCAAATACGCACCTTTATCATCAAATACGCACCTTTATCATCAAATCTGCCAATATGCCCCGCAACACCCACTGTTCTACTGCCTCACAAGCTCGTAAAAGGACTCCAACTACTCTGTGTCTTTGTCTGCCCAAACTGCCTGTTCTGGATGTTCCGGATAATGACAAGAATCCAACTGATGATGAGAAGGAGGAGGAGGAGGAGGAGAAGGAGGAGACACAGTCAGAAGATCCTCGATTTCTGCAAACACCTACCTCTGAGCCTGAGATCTCATTCAGGCTGTATGAATGGGTGATTATCAATGGGATAAAGGAGTCTATAAAGATCAAGTTATGGAATGTCACAACAAATGATATGACTGTCAGCTTCTATTGTATTCAATATACTGCAAAAAGAATAGCTGAAGAGTATGTTATGAAGCAGAACTGCAAGGAGATAGAAGTTGCAAATTGTATAGCAGTCATCTCATCAAACAAATGTGGATCTTCAATCAAAATCACCCTTGAGAAGGAGACAGATTGGAGAGAGATTATCACTCTTTTGAAGAAGTTATATAAGGAGAAGATGAGCGGATTTAGCATTGAGATTACCACCTCTTTTAATCTTCTTGATATCTCAACTCTATTCTCAAACACCTCTGTAATACGCGGTCCTGCAGCTTTCATTGGAGTGTCGGATTCACAATTAACAACCCAGACATTGGCATCAAAAAGAGCATTAGATGTCAAAGAAGAAGTAATCTCACCACCTGCCAAATCCCCTCTCTATCGTCCTGCCAAATCCTCTCAAATTCATGAAATATCCAATGATGAAAAGCTGCCGCCTACGCGTACAAGATCCACGGCCACTAGCCAGCAGCTGAAGGAGGCTCGAAATTGATGGTCAAATGAGTGTGATTCTTTGTGGATTGGGTGTGAGATAACTGCTCACTGGTGTTGTCAAAAGATGAATTGTCATAACTTTGAGCAGGGCACTTGTTGAATGGCTTTTGATGATACTCATATTCAACTCCTGAGTAGTGAGATTGCCAGTTGGATAGATGATGTTGAACATGGACATGCAATAGTTAAAAATCTGTCAAGAAAGATGACAAAAAGATTAATGGATAGAAAGGAGAAGAAGGAATGAAAAAGTGAATCTATCTCTGCTTCTAACCCTTCTATACAGACACCTCAGATGTCAGCAGTTATCTTCCCTCCCTCAACTTCTTCTTCATCTAATATTGTGTCTTCAAGTGAGATAATCAATGTGATGGTGATGAAATATATGATGGAAGGAATGGGAGGCATGGGAGGACTGAATTCAAACTTGTCATCAAATCCAAACCTGCTGTCGAATCCAAACCTGCTGTTGAATTCAAATCTGCTGTTGAATTCAAATCTGCCGTCGAATCCAAACCTGCCGTCGAATCCAAATCTGCTGTCGAATCCAAACCTGCCTCCTATTCAAAGTAGTCCAATCCCTCAGTTTGGTGAACATGTGGATCTGTTTATTGATGAGTTCTTCAACTGGTTGATGACAGAGAGATCTCAAAGAGCAGAAGCTCTTTTAACTGCAAAGAGCATTATTCAGAATGAAGGATTTGAACTGGATCATATACAGACAATGACAAATGAGCAGGTGGTTCAGTTGAATATTGGAATGGGTATATTCTTGATAATAAGAGATGGGTTAAAGAGTCCTATCTGGCAGTCATGGTTGAAGGAGATTAAATTGTCTTTATCTGCTGTTTGTAGTGATGGCAGCAGACCTCATACTGCTTCTGCTTCTGAATTTGAAACTTAGATATTATATATCATCATAATTGAATTGCAATCTGAATCTTTCTAGATTTTACAATACTATCCTATATGAGCAGATCTGAAATATCCTCTTGCATCTTCTTCTCCCATGAAGTTCTCAACTGCATGATGCAAGAAGGCTTCAAAATCTCCATCAAACTGATTCTCTAACTGACATCTGTATCTTCTAATCCATTCTTTCAATGTGTGAAATGACTCCTCTATAGGATTATAATCAGGAGAATATGGGGGTAAGAATAAAAGTCCAATGCCAGCTTCTCTGCAGAGATCTCACAGTGCTTGTGAACAATGAGAAGAGCAATTATCCATCACTAGGTAGTGATAACCTTGTTGGCATTTGGGCAGTATCCGGACACGTACAAACTCATTGAACCTCTCTGTATTATAGGACCTCTGATATATATCATAATCAAGATATCCATTGACACTTATCGCAGGTAAGATTGATCATCTGCAAGATCATTTACAGGGCCTTCTAATGTGACAAGGGAATCCTCTGCTTGATCATTTATATCATCAATCTGCAGTACATTCATTTGCAGCACTCTCATCTAAAAATATAAGTTGATCAGGTTGATACTGAGTAACTTGAATACATCATTCAGCTCGAAGTTCTTCATCGCGTTGAGTGGCCATGGGTTCAATCTATATCAAATAGAACTGACAGATTAGCAGGTTCTATAAGTGACAATTGCAATAATTAATCACCTTTTTCTGTGTCAAATTCAGTTTCTTCAACAATCTAGATATCAATTGAGGGTGGATATCAACATCAAATTCATCCTTCACAAAGCAGACAGCCTCATCGCGATATGCAGTTGGATATGCCTCAAAAAAATCCTCCAAATCTGACAAGATATCTGGTGTGATCTTTGGCTTTACACCCCATGTTGAATGAGGACTTCTAGCAGTTCCAAAGCAGTGAATATTTTGTTGGATTTGATATACAGTGGCCAGATGGCACTCAATGGTCCGCGCAATCTGAGCAGGCATATAACCATTGTTTAGAAGGTGTACGATCTCATTGGTGGTAAATTCGCTGAGCTGGGGGGGCATATTGGCAGATTTGATGATAAAGGTGCGTATTTGATGATAAAGGTGCGTATTTGAATGAATTGGATGATATTTGAATGATTCTAGAGATACGTGGATATTTTGGTTATTTTTGCGGTGTTTTGCTACTACTTTTCAGGGGGTGGCAGAAAATTCTGTTTTCGCAAGCTTTACGTCCGCCACAATAGTACAGGTTAGTAAACCCCGGTTCTTGGCATGTTTTGCGTTTCCCTTTGGACAGTCCTCATTTTTTTGAGGAGGCTTTGTTCTCATCGAAGATCTTGCACGGAGCCGGGACTTTCGAGTGAAGCGATGAGTGAATCTATTCAGCAGACCATCGGTGTGGCGTTAATTTAAGGGTGCTACCGGTTACCATCGTGATGACGGATGTTGGCTTCGAGCTCTTCACTACCCCGGGAACGCAGACAAGTCGAGCTTGATATCTTCTTCGACTATTTTATATATCACTGCCATGTCTGCCGATCTTCTAGCTGCTTTCGGTGAGCCGAACGCTACCGGTCAATGGGACCAGTCATCTCAGAAATCGCCTCCTGAGAACGATCGAGCCTCGCGATTTTTTGACCCAGACAACAACAAGGGGTGTGGGGCCTGGGGCTCATTCTTATCTACCTCACGAGATGCCCGCGCCGCAAACAAAAGCAATAGTGAACAGGGTTTCTGTGCCCGCACGCCTACGCCAGATTTAAAGCCAGCCCAGGTAGCGTCTACTTCAAGCAAAAACCTGTGGCGGGTGGAAAGCGGTACGGATGTATTGTTTGATGCATCCACGGAAGATATAAAAGACGACGATGAAACTGATGAATGGGGAGAGTTTGAAACAGCAAATCCTCCCGGAGTGGACAGTAACAGTGGTAATGCTGATAATTTACTATCCTGGGATACTAGAAACGATACTGCTCTTGATATGGCATCTGGCGCGACAGAAAGCACAACTGCAAAATTTCACCAACAGTCGTTGCTGGATTTACTCCCCCCCAATGTTAAAACGGATGATAAAAGAGCAATCGAGGTAGCGGCGGCTGATGTTTCTCCTTGGGACAACGCGTGGACAAAGTTCGAAGAAAGCAGTGGCAGTAACATCGTTCCGTCAAAGTCTGAACAATCGGACGATGATGACTGGGGGGATTTCGCAGATGCTACCTGGACTGCCAATACAACTCCGGCAATATTTCTGGAACCATCCAGACCGGACGTTGCCCTGCTCGAGACAGCAACAGCAGAAGTAAACCAGCCAGTATTTATGCAACCCCCGACAACCCCCATGATGCCCACAAAATCTAATACTTTCCAACATCGCCCTATGAATATTCCCCCTCCATCAATCCTTCTGCCTCTATTCCCGCCGCTTCTAGAACAATATTATCAGGAATCGGTCAAGTGCAAGCAAGTAGGGTCGAAAGATCCGAAGCTAGTTTCATCCCTTGAAAACGATTTGAAGGTCATGGCACGTATTCTAGCCGGACGTACACTTCGTTGGAAACGAGACACCGTGTTAAGCCAAAGCATGAAAATCGGCCCCGCAAACTCTGGAAAAGCCGGTGGAATGAAACTCAACAGCGTAAATAAAAGCGAAAATGTGAAGGAAGAGAAAGAAGCCGTTGAGGTCCTTGAAGCGTGGCAGAAGCGAAGCAGTTATCTGAATTCTTTCCTTTTGTCCGCTGGTGGACGCGCAGTACCCGTTCTGCCTAAAAACGTGCAAGTGAGGACGGGGACGGTTGAAGAGGACGGAGCTTTCAAGGCGTCACATGCCTGTGGACTATGTGGGTTGAAGCGGGATGAGAGGATTCCTAAAATTGATGGGATCGTTCACGACAATTTCGGAGAATGGTGGATTGAGCTTTGGGGACACACGGATTGCAGGAACTTCTGGGAGGCTAATTGCAACAGACTTAATCAACGCTGAGGAGTTTTGCATCACGGACAATATTTGTGAAGGGAGGGAGTTGTGAAGGAGTTGGCGGCGGTGGGTTCCTGAGGCTATATTGCTTGGTTTTGCTCATCAATAAGTTCAATCCACCATGAGCAAAGAATGCAGTAGCGCCAGGCATCATCATACCAGAATTGGCTCTCCACCCACCTCATCTTGGGATATTTAATTTATTTACAGCGATTTTAATAGTTAGTTAATTTTTGTTCATTGGTTCTCTGATGAAGCGACAGGTGCCATGGTGTCGACATATTTAAATAAGGTGCCTGAAATTAATATAATTAATATATCAACATCCATCATTTCAAAACATTATGAACCTCCCATAGGGTCTGATCTTAGTTAGGTTCCCATCAGAAAAACCATGGAAAAACTGAATGGGTATCGAGATACGGCAATATTGACTAGTTACTAGCCAAATCGTTGATAACTAATTTATCCCGATGATGTCATTGTAGCAGGCAATCATTTCACAAGGGCGACCTGCGGATGCTCGGGAGACATCAAAGCCGACCCCCATATGTCCCATGTTGGTTCTTGAATTTATCCTCACGACCTCGACTGCCTACTTCCATGTTGTCATGGGCGCGAGATACATATGTGCGGAATAACATTCCTCCCTGAACTACATGTTCCAACCTTGTCCGGGGATGATCCAGTGACCTGCTCATCGATCACGGACCAGTTATAGTTAGTTCATCTCAATCCGCTCACGCCCCCCATCTCTCGTGGGCTTATCGCCATTGCCTAGCCCTCCTCCTTATCCTCTCTCTTCTCCACACCCTTCTTTCCCAACACACACACTGTTTTTCTTCGTCTGCTGGTCTCGTTTGACAACCCGGAAATCCACCGAAGGGAAGTTGCCTGTAGCGTCTATCTATCTATCCATCCATCTTCTGGATCGGCCTGTCCCCCTCAAGTCTTCGGCCCTGCGTTTGCCCTTCGATTGGGCAAGTTTATGCCCCAGCATACCTCCCTCGGAACTACCGACAACACAAGTCGTTCTAACTCGAGCCATAAGAGGTCATCGCTGCATCTTGCCGGAAGAGTGAAATATCGTCTTCGGGTGTGTGAGCACAAAAACTTGCAACTGCCTTTAGAACTTTCACCTTGATACTAAGGAATAGTAGCGGGGACCCGTTCTCTTCTGACGAGGAGAATCCGCAGAGAACGGCAGCTAGAACCAGAAAAAAAAAATAAACAGAGAGAGAGGATCCTTGTGTGACGTGACGAGGTCATTTAATTTCTAAAACTCTCCTCGTTCTAAATCATCTTCTCACTATACAGACGACCTCACCCCTCAAAGAGCTGGGCCTCTTCGCTTTTCATTTGAAAAACATTTTTATATCTTCACACATTTTTACTTACCTTAAACGAGAAAAAGCTGCTTCTCCTAACTGCAGTTTGTTGCTTCCAGTTGATGTCAAACCTACATCCTCCTCACTGAACCCCGCCTTGAGAATTGGAATCACCATCGAGAGAACTATTCCTTTATTATACCCCGTGACAATTGACGTGGTGCATATCACTGGTTTCCGTTAGGCGAACAGTGGTGACAGCCCTTCGCAATGGGTCTCTCATACAACATCTACCTCACTTCCAATAAGATCTTTGGGTGCAAAACCTGCAAAACCCACTTGGCTGATTACCACGATATCATAAGTCGAGTAGGCTGGCCCCTGTTTTTCACACTTTTATCAACTTACCTAGCCCCGCCCCCCCCCCCCCACCCCCCCTTCATATACTCACTGCTATCTCGTCCTCACTTAAAGAGAAATTGACCTTACCTCTGACATTCTCTCTTCTTCCCCATACTAGAATTTTCGTGGCCAACATGGCAAAGCCTACCTCTTCAATAACGTAGTCAACATAACCAAGCCGAGGCTGTGGAGCGGAGCATGACAACCGGCCGGCATGTTGTTCGAGACATTATGTGCCGGCAGTGCAAAGAGATCGTCGGGTGGAAGTACGATAAAGCATACGAGACCACCGAGAAATACAAAGAGGGCAAATTCATCCTGGAAGCTGAGCTGCTATGTATGGTATACTAGAATGCCTTCGGTTCGGGCTTTCGACTTGCCTCTCCTTTTTTCTCTCTATCTTTCGTTTCATTCTGGATTCATAATTTATTCTCTCCGTTTCCGTATCATTTAGCCTCGATCATAATGGTGCAATGATCGATGGGGTTCTTTCAAATTCAGCCCTTGAAGCGAATTGGACCTTCCAGCAGAACTGCATAGCAATTTAGAACATAACATCATAGGGTACGGCGAAAAGGGGTGTTGGGTCGGTTTTGGTTTGATATTTTTCGTCAGTTTTCTCGTTCTTTCAATTTTCCTTTTCTGATTTTTTCCAACCCCCTTTGTTTCTCTCTCTTAACACGTCGGAACTTGTTTAAGTCTGCAAAATGGCGTTGCTATCGGATTCTGGGTTTCGGGCATTTTCCATTTATGAGTAGGGAGGGGTGGTGGATATATTTCCCTCCTTATGATTTTTGTATCTTTTTTTTGGTAGTGGTTGCTCTACTCCTCTTTGTTTTTCCTTCATCTCCGCCCCCATGCTCAGCGCAGATATCAATGATTTTATTTTGTTCTCCTAATTTTCTTGTCAGTGTCTCGTTCTGCTCTCTGTTTTACTGAAGAGTTTTTTCAATGGCGAAGAAGGATATTATATACTCATAGGAATTCAGTTTGAGTTATTATTATTCTAATTTAATTTAATTTTTTTTTCCATTCATTATTTTATTCTAACTCTTGTATAATTTAGGTAACATCATTCGAGAAACTATTTGTTTTGTCTCCATATGGGTTTCTAAAAGGTCTCAAATTTCGCAATTCCCCACCTCCAAACGTCAAACGGCTATTCACATTTATGATGTTCCCAGGGGATATTTATATATCTGCCATACCTGCTGCATGACCCTCATCTGTTATCTCCAGTTAACAACCCTTGCATTCATTATGTCATACGCGGTATGGGTGCTGAGGGCATATAGCATACAAAAAAGGTCCACCTTGTCCACCCCATGTTTTGATTAGCTTTCGGTTTTTTTTTTTTTTTTTTTTTTTTTTGCTTCATTTCATAATGGCCTTATTAGTTGCTTCTGTCTCCATGTTTCTTCACCTATCTCGATTGAATCAAGGGATTCCCCCTCCCGCAGTTAAGGGGCGTTAGTTAGTGACAAGCCCGCAAGTGGTTACCTATCCCCCACATTTACCTCGTGGTTAACAGCTGGCCCTTGAAATATTTGACGGTTCATCTGGGAGAAGGCAATTTTAACTTTTTTAACTCGGTGGGATTTGAACTCAGTGCAAACCCAGTCTTTTACATCGGAACAGATTCTTTTCGTTTGTAATCTTCAATCCGTAACCAGTAAATTCTAATTGAAAACTAACTATTGACATCAAATCTGATTGGTCAGGTGTTTCTTGACCTTCTTCAAATTCTCAACCATGAGTTCTTCCATGTTGTTAACATCTATTTATAGTTATGACTGTATTATGTGGGTTTTTTTTTGCACTACTTCTTTAATCGTCTTCCTCGAAGAATTCAATTTTAGCTGAAGTTTTAGCTGAAAAACATTGGAATTGCCATCAACTGGTTCACTTTGTTCTGCCGAGTGTATGCTCGATAGACACAAGATCCAGCTCCATCCATTGAAGGACTTAAAAGCACCTTAGAACATATCGGCTTCATTCAATATTGACGAATAATTTCTTACAACATCTTTGATGGCACACATCATAACTGTAGACATGAGATTAAAGTCTATTAGAGTCTATAATAAGAATTCAGTATTGGTAAAACAAGAAGCTATAAATAGCGAATGGTTGATACCAAGGAGATAAGCCAAGATGTTGCAATGTTACTGAACACACAGATATTAGATCAATCTCCGAGGGTGGGGGATTATATTGCTATTGATGTCATTCTTCAGCATTTCTGGGCTCACATTCAATAAACTGATCTCAAGCATTGTGAATCTTGAACTGTATAGTTTCATAATCAGTGCTACTAGCCTACCTATTGCACCTTTCGTCCACTTCTATATCGTGTACAAGGTGGTCTGTAAGCTCAACGCTGCGGTTGTGTTGTTCTAGCTCAATGCAATTGATTAATCATGCTTTTCTGAGTAGTGTAAGGGACAAGGCATCCGTTCATGCTCCATGTGTTTTCC